TACCATCAATTTCCCCCAACATGACTTACTTTGTTCTACTCGACTCTCTTTGTTTTACGCGGTCAGCGGGTAAAAACGCGATCACAACGTGGCATCTGCCGGAATATTTGTTTTCTGTTTCAAGGGCTGAAGCTCTTCTCCGATGCTGCAGGAACTTGGATGTTGCGTGGACAGGATAACGAACAGTTTTCTTGCTTTTCCTCTTTCACATCCATGCCAGACATGGGCGTCAAGGCTGGCAGAAGCCATCTTGCACAAGTTGCGGAACGACAGCACCGGCGGCGTCAGGTTCTGCGCCTGCAATCTCCGCTGTCAGAAGCAAGTAAATCGAGCGAAGTTTTCGTAAAGCCGTGAAGCGAGGCGCTTAGATTGCCGAGGAGTTGACTCGTCGTCGATGGTGGGCACAGCAACATTAGTTGTTTTAATAGCATCCCAACAGGTATAAAATGCGGGGCTTTTGACACATTCCTCCAGAACCAGCCCCCCCCCCTCGAGTCCTCTCATCTTATAACCCATTTCACCCACCTTTGACTCGATGTGTTCCACTTGCCAACCCAAGACCACTCAGGCTCTGCCCCCAACCTCCATCTCGTCGACGATGACCACAACGCCCGACGCGAAAGCAAACGGCACAGTCGATTCTCCTGTAAACGCGTCCACTGGGCCCGTATGCTGCCATTGCCATTGGCGCGGGGGGGAGCACGCGTACGTGTTGCATATTCTGCTCACTTACAGTCTGACTCTGCCTCCAGGTCCGACTGCCCATTCCGTTCGTTGCATCCTTCGCTTCCAGTCTCAACATAGTTCTCATGTTATCTTCCAGGTTAGAAAGCAAGGCCTATTTCTCGATGCCTCGGGTCCCTGTGGCTACCGCTGTCTCCTTGTGAGTCTATCCATGTGGGTGCTGTCGCTGAAGTTGATTCGTTCGTAAAAGGCTTCCGTATATATGATCGCTGTCGTGTTCTCAATGCTCTTCGGCTTCAACTTGTACATCGTTTAGAAAGCTTCTTGTATACTATGTCGTTGTCATCGCTGTCAAGATTGTTTGAACAGGAACTTACTTTTCATCCTAATGACATCGCGAAAAGTTTTGAAGACATTATCCTTGTGAGGTGGTCAGATTGATCACTCGAACATGGTCGATAAAGTCCATTCAGAGTCGTATCGTTCAATAGAAAACCATATATCTCCTTGCCGTTGAAGCGTTTCCAGCGCCGAGGTAAAGGCCTGGTCCAGAACCGGCGTTGTCTCGGGCTGATATTGCATTCGAAGCTCAAAGCGCCGTCCACCTCCTTTCACTGAACCACCTATACCGCCGGTGTTGACACCCATGTCGAGAAAAATGCTGCGACGCGATAAGGCAAAGTCCAACATGGCGTGTGAATCAAAACGAAACACTGTCGTACAGGAGAATCTACGAAGTCGGGGACAGATCGCGAGTCCCAGGCGCACCTCGGGCGCTGCCAGGTGGCCGTAGTCGGCCAATGGGTCCGCGGTCGACGAAAGATGCTGTAAGAGCTCATCGGTAATGACGACAAAGTCCGAGCCAGAATTTTGTTGAGCTGGAGTCTCATTGTTCGAGTCCGGAGGGCGAATAGAATCAGCGAGATGAAGAATTTCGAGACTTGGAAGGGCAGTAAGTATAGCCAGGAGTTGCGTAGTGGTGATGAGGACTCCGTGCAGGCCCAAACAAGTGAGCGTGTGGTCGCAGGAGGAACGGGCTAGGAATGAATTGAAGTGGGTCTCGATCCACGGCAGAGGTTGGTTCTGGGCTTTCATATGAATGCTAAATCGAGTGAGAAGCGGCAAGCTCAGCGCTTCAATCACTTCGCCAACAATAACCGCACTCCTAATGGAAGATAGATTTCGACTATTGCGCAATGTTAGGGAGAAGGAGGTTGCAGTATCAGAGTAAGCTTGTGGGAAACGAAGCGACGGCAATGTCCTTGATACAAGACCAGAAACATCGAGATTGGTGATGTCTACGGTATCGAGATTGGGGCAACGGGCGACTAGATTGAGAAATGCGGAGAGCTCTAGCGCATTGCCGTCTTCATATTTCAAACGACGCAATTGATTCCAAGGAAGAAGGGGTGGGCGTATAGATCCCGACCGTCGAAGGGTAACCTGATTCAACTTTGGGGCATGTTCGAAAATTTTTAGGTCGCTTAGCGAGTCTCCGTGTATCTCGAGCGTCTGGAGGATGGGTACGTCTATATGATGATGGGAGGAGAGGTTCGGGAAAGCACCCGAATGGATCCATATCGTCAAGTCACGCCATCGTGCTGACGATTTTGTTAACTGGTCCAGTCTTAGTGTTTCGAAAGGTTGTCCCGTGACTTGTAGCTTGAGGCTTAGAGGACAGTCCCCACTGCGCATCAAAGCCGCTGATAAAAGCGGATCGAGTGTACGCGCAACAGAAGGAAGATACCACTCTGCAAAATTAACTTGTATTGCGGCCCAAAGAGACGGTGAACTCATGATGACTGTCCGCCACATAGAGCAAACCCGGGATAGCCGTAGAAGATCGTGCCGCGCAAGCTGCTCCATATGTTCTTGTGGAGTCAGCCTACTCCATGATGTGAATCCCGCCGAAAACACATTTGCTCGGCTGCAAAGAAGGAATATCTTCAGGAGAATTTCCGTCGGGAGCCTGCGAATCGGCGCTACAGCGCTTTGGGAGCGCTCGAGATGCGTCTGGAGGATGTCACGTTGTAAGGTCGCTTGTTTGAGAGTATCAGCGAGAACTGCAATATCAGTGTCGCATCGGGTCAAATCAACGCGTAACGACTTGATGAGTGAGTGAAATGCGCCATAGTTGGGAGGGATAGAGTTGGTGCGGAGAAGAGAAAGGAGCTCTGAGTTTTGTGAGTCTGTTGGCAAAAGTTTGGAGATGAACAACCCATGGATGATGCAAGTTTCAAGCATCGCGTCACATTTCACGTGTCTGTGACGATTGTCAAGCTTACAACTTTTTGTCCTTAGAGTACGATTGTTCTAGCGATAACATGTATGGCTCGGTAAGGTCAAAAATCTCCCCATTGTTCGCCAACAACAAGATCATGCTGAGAACTTGTCCAACCTGCGTCAATACCTCTGCTTTGGAGCCCAGACATAACATCCTTGGCCAACGGACCTAAATCGTCGTCCAGGTATAATCGAAAGAATCCAAGATTCGCACAGGCATGAGCCCGGAAAGACGCTCTAGAGTCTGCCATTTGGAGTACCGCCTGCAAACCCTGACTTGGGTGGTAAGCATAGACGAACCATCGCAGCTTCGGCAGAATAACATCGGCCGGTGGCTCGCCTTCTCGTAGTGTGAGCATATTGAGAAGGTCGTATCTATCCACTTGTCGAGATGTTTCCAAGAGAAGTGCTTCGAGAGTCGGCAGCTCGCTGAACAAGGCCGCCAGCATCATTGACGGAGCCGTACAATTGAACAGTACAAGCTTTGTCAGATTGCACTGAGAGCGACGAACAAAGGGCAAAATTTGTTCCATCTCTGGCTCTTTCAGGCCATCATGCTCCTCACACCAGAGTCCGAGGGCGGAAAGCGCTGGGGCGGTGATTCGTTGCAGGAGTGGAGGGTTCGCCAGCCGTAGAATACGCAATGTCGGAAATAACACGGCCTCGTCTGAGAGGAGATCGTTCTTGTGAAAACCGTCAGTAGCACCCAAGACACACTCAACGAGATCCGTCGCTGAGTGCAGGAGGTCATAAGACTCGGACTTCTGTGTATCATATGTCCCGCGAAAGTGCGTTATTTTTGACCAGTTAAACCCCAATTCGGGTGGCGAGCAGTCCATCGTGGATGGCGACAAAAGGATAAGGCGACGAAGGGAGTGGGCAGTCATGAAAATATCATCTGGAATGATAGCTTGAGCACAGTCGAAGAGTTCTAGTCGGGCCAAACATGACATTTGGCCCTCGAGAGCGCTCATCCAGCTGAGATCAGCGGCAGCTCCAAGCATATCCAGTTGTAATGCCACCCAACGGTGAGATGTAGGGAGAAGAATGTCGAGTATTTCCTGAGACACCGACATGGTCTCGCTTGGCGTGCTAATGCAGACACGTAACAGCGCGCCTTTGGTTCGGGTGAGTTGGTTTTGGAGAGAGTCCGGGTCTTGACTAACATCACTGTCCACCACAACGGTATCCCATAGAGATGGGTAGTTTACCGCGGCATTCCTCCAGGACCGACAGATGTGTCCCAAACTCCAGGGTGTTGCTCTTCGAATACCTTGTGCCAATGACCGCTCTGAAGACACGACCAAATCAAATACTGTGCACACAATTTCCGGTGGAATGCGGTGGACCGGGGACAGATTTGTTTCGTGGGTAGACCGTTTATCGACCATATCCAGCAGTGTCGAGTGGCCAAATGCTTGCTGAGGAAGAGCGAGCTCATCGCCCTCCTGCTCTCTGAGCAGTGAAGCCTCAACACCAGCAGGGGACTGGTTGTTGGCCAGCAACGCAGCGTGAGCCATGTGGCCTTCCTTGATGGTGGTGAGAGAGAGAGAAGAATCGAGCTCGGAGTATAATTCCGTCGACACACATCATGTCTCGACATCATGACAGGCATTTCCCACGCTGACAAGATAAGGCTCGAACACAGCATACAAATGCGTCAACTCTTGTGCAAAGACATATTACTTTGGATCGTTCCATAATGCACTGCTGTCCCGCTCAACACACTCCCGCCCTCGAGCTGATCTGTCTCAACTGCAGATTGATTGCGATTAGAGTCACGTTTGGCCTTCTTGCGGTCACGACGGAGCAGGAAGAGAATTAGACCAGTCCAGAACACTACAGTGTGCTCAGTTCGTCATGCGAATTGAAATGCAAAAAAATCCTGACGGAGAAGGCATTGCAGAGTAATGGACCAATGATATCCTTTCCTCGCACGAGGAAAGTCCGTCGTTTTCCACACAAAGTTTGGTGCGATGGCTTGGACAACGTACGCAAAGTCATTTCCCATGGCGACGCATATGGCTCGCAGCTCATTCTGTGGTCAACATTTCAGCTGGGTATAGAGCAGAGAAAAAATAAGGACTGGCATCTGATTGGGTTATCTCGCTGATCCAGTTGAGAATCAGTGGTCCCGCTGTCGTTCCGAGGACCATCAGGTAAAAGTAAGCAAAATGGGCACGAATGTGGGTGTATAATGGTAAGTTGAGCCAAATAATGTCGAAGATGAGAATGAGGATGGCCCCGTTGATGATGATGGGCCATCGTCGACCTTCATGAATATCAGCCAATAACTTCGGTGCGTGAAACATCATACCTTTCAGGGGCCCGTCGCTGATCCATGCCAAGACCAAAGCCGTCACCACAAATATAGCCGTTGAAGGTAATGGGACTGAAAAATTCGACAATTCTAGGAACAACCATGAAGTCACGACGCACGGAGCTGAATTTGTGAAACGGTCCAATGCTTCCCAGGTACAGGATACGGTTTGACGTTGAAGCTCTTTAACCAGTATTGGAAAGGCGACTGAGCATTGCCGTTGTTCCACAGCACATATTCGATGGGAAGGACGTAAATGTACCAGCTGGTCAGGATCCGTCGAAGCTACGGTACTTTAGGGCAATCCGCGGACAAATATATACCCATGACATACCTTGGGCCAAGACCACGGCTCACTCTCTTTCCTTCCGATAGCTTTCATACGAGCACGAGCCAAGGCAATGTCGGGCTCTGTCAACATGAAATTGGGCTTCGCATTCCAGGGAAGATTGGGGAGGAAGATGTAGCCAAACAAAGCAATCGGAATAGTTCTGTTGACTCTCCGCTTGATTGGACGACCAATACTTCAGTAAAAACACGCACACGACTGCATCGACAATCATCAACCATCTAATCTGTCGTCAGAGCAGTGAAACTGACGATACATAATACACACCTCCACCCAGCGAGTCCATGCACCCCATCAAGGTTGTTATATGCAGCCGTCTGTAAAAAGCCAGAAAACATCGACCCCAACGAGCCCGAAACCCAGAAGATTGTCGATCGCTTTGAAAGTTCTCGTGGCGTGTACCACGACCCAAGAATGTAGTGCATGCCAGGATAGAACCCCGACTCAAATAGACCGACTGGATGGTATGAATGATTTTTCCATCTCCACATCAACGGAACACACCGAAAAAGCGAATGGCGTATAATGACTTGACAGACTTGACGGAATAGGTCGCAAGGGTTGCTAATCCCCAGGCCAATTCGAGCTATGATCGTCAGTACTGCAAAGGTCCGAGTGGTAACTTACAGTCGGTATCACAAGTTGCGGAGAAATGCGGGTGAGAAGTAAGTTTGAAGGTATCTGACCGATGACATATCTGACTTATATTAGACGACAGAACAGAGGGGCAGGCGAAAGGCAAACCCAGCTGTCCAGAAAGATGTTGCATGGACGAGTTCATTTTCGAACATGCCTCTACAGCCGATGAGCTGAGAATGTAGTGAAGACAAGATCAGACTCACAAGTCTTCCTTCATTCCCGCAAAGAACTACGAACTTAGAGTCAATACTGCGCAGACGATCCAAATGTGGCCTACGGCGCTGGTGATATTGGTCTTGTGTGGCGAACGGTTCAGCTGGCAGCATTGACATAGTCATGGAAGGTAGAGACCTGGTCCAGATTCTTGATGAAGTAACCCAGCTAGAGGACACATTCACAAGAGGAAAGGTGGAATTGTAAGGTACCCACCGAGGCAAATAGAAGCAAGGACACATCCACCTTCAATAGCATCCGCCGCTCATGCACCCCAAGGTCAGCCGTGTCCCACAAATAACCTAGCCATGTTTGTTTCTGATGCTCTTGGTCTTGAATGGCGGGCAAGGCAGTCGCAGTTGCAGTTGACCCTTTGGAGGAAGACGAGTCTGTCGTAGCAGCAAAATCGTTGTTTGTCGTGGTCGTAGCTGAAACAGGCATTATCTGGGGAGAGACGAGGAGTCACCCTCGGAGATTGTTCGCATTCCGAATCGCCAATTAAATGCGTCTCTGGAGCAGAGGTTGCGCGATACACGCCATACTATGCACCATTTCGCAGAAACAAGAAGCCATCATCTAGTTTGCACAGCACGCCGATAGAAGGAGGGAAGACGTTAACGTTTTGGCGTAGGCACTCATTCCCTTCCACCAAAATGGCGACAGATGACGATTTCAGCGATGCCGCCAAGAAGATGAATGGAAACCAGACTGCGACAGCAGCGAAGGTCGCAAGCTGTTCCTGGACTGCAGCTTCATTGGGCTCAGAGTCGCGCAGTGGACGGTACTCGTGAAAAAGCTGAGTATCACGTGTGTCCATCATTCATAAACACGGTCATGTGAAGCGAATCATTACTGGTACAGAAGCCCTGGCCAACTAATCCTCACTAGTTTCTCTACCAATCTTCGCCGTACACCCAATCTCCCGACCCTGTGGCGAGCGCAGCTTCAACAAAGCTGGCGCCAGTGGTAGTATTCCCACTAGAGGTGAACCTGTCGACTCCATATAATGCTCTGGACCACACTGTCATAATCTCCTCGTTAGCCTTGGGCTCTCCCTCAATCTTGGATATTTTATCAGTCACAGAAAAGGATGCAAAATCGCTAGACGAACCTGTCTTCCACCAAAGCGAACGGCCGCTTGGTTAAGCCATGCGACAAAGAAGCGAATGCGTGCTGGAATAGACTTGATTCATGGGTTGGCGTGACGATGAAAAGACAAACTAGTCGTGCGTTCTGCTCCAAGGAATTGCAAGTGCCTTCCGTACCCTTCGCGTTCCCGTATACGATTGTTGTAAATTCGCCAGAGCTCTTTTGTGGAAGGGAGAACGGCCTTTTTCGACCAGACCTTGGCCAAAGCAAGGGAGAGATATTCGGCATATGTGAACGACTGCATGCCCCAGTTCACTGTCAGCAGTTGAGGATGGGGGACGAAGCAATCACACAAGCGAACATACTTGAAAGGAAGCCGATAGTTGGCTCCTCAATATAGAGGAAATCTTCGTACAACGCTCGAAGATGCGTCCCGTCGGTGACAATGGGGTTTTTGTTGACCGCACCAGATTCGTGGAACTGGGGAAGGAAAGGGAAGGAGTAATGGAATCCAGTCCCAAACACCACACGAGTCACGTCATATAAGTACTAAAATGTTAGGATATGAACAGTGAAGGACGAAGTACCTACAGTACCGTTGACGAGCTCTATGGAAGCATTGTTGACATGGAAAGCTTTGATTTCGGGAATCCGAGAGATGTTGGGTGGGAGGCGACTGAGCTGAATGCGAGTAAAGGCGTACGGGAGCTTGGGGTTGGCTTCCTAAAGGAAAGGTAAACATCAAGTGATTCCAAAGGTGATTTGTTATTACCCGGATAGACTGATAAACATGGCGCGCATGTTCGTTGACCTCGCGAGCAATTTCAACGGCACTCGTCTGCACAAGAGACAAGTCAAAATCGCCACTGAGGAAGAGGACATCACTGACCCCAGCGCCAATAACAACAATGGTCTCGTTGTGAAATGATTCGGGGCGGCGATATTGTCTCGAATGAGAAACCGAGCCGGGGAACTTGGTGGCCCACTCTTTCAGTCCCTTGATGCGAGGGAGGCTAGGTGCATTATATCGACCAGTAGCAACAACAACTGCGTCGAAGTCCTTGGTGCCCGGTCAAAGTCGCAAACATTTAAAGGTAATGTTGCTTACCTCCGTCCACCAAGTTGCCTTGACTTTCTGACTGGTGATTCTTTCTAGCTGTTTTAGCGTTAACCTCCACCCGTGTTCATTTCCGGCCTCGTCATGTCGCCTTTCCACTAGTTCAACCCGTGTGTTATAAGAAATGTCTGGGTTGCCGTCGTTGTTGTTGATGCCATGGAATGAGGCGAATGCACGAAGATAGCGCGCTAGTAATCTGTGCGGCAATTCTATGCGACAGGTCAGCCGCACCCCCCGAGTGATGAGCAATGTTATATACGCCAAGGGGTGCCCTGTGGCCAGGGAAGTTCGGTGATTTGTTGAACGGGCTGAACGTTTTATAGTAAGTCTGATGAATCAAAAGCCGTCGATTTTCTTACGGATGGTGCATTACTCTTCAGTGACTCCCACAATGGTTTTGGACCACGATGATCCCTCCAGCGTTGATTAGCCTCATCCCCAAGGTAGTATTCCTCCGTCGGCAAAGATCGACCAACTGGCGGTAATGATGGTTGGAAATCCCCAATGGCTGGATCCACATTAGGAATAGGAGCGTCAAGAGGAGTTTCTTCGGTGTAGTGCCAGTTTCCACCAGGTACACTGTCGCGTTCGAAAACACGAACTGTCTCGAAATCACCGCGATTGAACTCTCGGTATGCGATCAGCCCACTGCGGCGATACTTCAGCGCAATCAGACTGCAAGCTGCAAGAGACACAGACCTGACGCCAGCTCCAATAATGGCAACTTTCTTGATTGGCCATTTGAACTCGTAGCCCTCCTGATGGTCCGAGTCGAACGGATATTGTTGCTGAGAAACTATTGGCAGAGCGAGGGATAGAATCAAGACGAGTCTGGGACGGAGCATGGGGAAGCTGCGCGCGAAAGGCGGTCGGGAAGTTCTCCGTCGGACAGTTAAGTAGGGAATCATGTCGCTAGATCAAGCCAGGATGGCGCAACTTCGACATTGGAGGCCTGGCGGCTTCCGGCCCAGGCTAAATTCTGTCTATGGGTTCGGTGAGGACACCCCAAGGACATGAATATGGTGCTGACTGACTCAGTGGTTGGACTCCTTCCAGTCAAGGTTCCAAATTACTGGGGCTTGCCGTCGTGTTTGGATTCGAAGCCGCGATGTAAGTGAGGGTAGATGCGTAAGGCACATGTTGGATAAAAGTCAGAATTCCCGCGGGTCAAGCAGACTCGGAGTGGAAGCAAAGTGGAAGACAGAATTGATGTTGGAATTTGGAAAGAACCGCCTGTTGATCATTTGATGCGCCTTTAGACCCTTCAATTCCTTTGTGACGAACGAATGTTGTGAGTGAAGGGCCTCACTTGGGGGAGTTTTCCCATTCCTTCTTCTCAGAAAATGTACTTACTCTCGTGTTCCAGTTGATCAATTTCATCCTGATATAATCAGGCGGCAAGCTTGCGGCACACTTTAATTGATACCATGATGCATTTGTGAATGCTGTCCTTGACACCGAACTTCGACCGCACTGCGCAAAGAAACCCGCCAGCCAGCATTCTCGCTTCACTGCAAGTCCAGCTTAACACCCGGTTTGACATCATCAATATGCATATATGGACTATGTATGGCCAACGTCAACCGAAAGAGTCCTAGACTACTAGTCATTCAGCACCTGTCGTGCAGATAACGCTAGCCTCTGAAATGGCATCGACGTAACGTGTAACCTCGTTCGCGTCTTTCTTTCTCTCCAGCTCCTGGATGGGTCAGTTCAGTTCCTTCCACTCTTGTTCAGTGCTTGACGACAATATCTGCAGTGCGCAACCTTCTGCTTCTCCTGCTTTTCCCTGCGACGGTCGTTCTAGCCACTGTTAACTTTGAGACATGCCTCCAAGAAGTGCGCAACGGTGACTGGGGTTTGGAGGGAGGCAGGGACAACAATGGTGGTATAGTCAACGTCTCAGAGGCAACCGCGATATCGTATGATCTTTGCGTCGTTGCCTGCGGGACTGGACCTGAGCCGTTTGTGTGGAATAACTTCAGCCAGCAGTTTAGGTCCGTGGTGACACTCTCTTTCTGCTCCCCTCGGCTTATCAGGTTGACTTACATCGCGCAGTGCCTGGCTCCTTCCCTACTTGGCCTTGATGTCCCAACTGCCATTCGGCGCCAAGAACAGACTTGACAACCTCGTGTCGTTGCTTTTGGCCGTCGGGTCGCCCACTCTTGCGGCCTACTCTCTCGCCCTAACAGTGCTTAATGGGCATTATATCGCACACCGATTCTCCCACCTCACCTATCCCAACGTCTCAAACGCAGTCCGCATCCTCAGCTCTCTCCAACAGTCCGCAATCCACGTTATTACGGAGGAAGCGCTACTTGCTTCGCTTATCGTCTTGCCAGAGAATGATGAATGGTGGTCTGAGCTTGTTGTGTGGCTGAACTATGTTCATACATGGTCAGTCAGACAGCAGTCTAGACCGAATTGCAAACCTGACTAGCTTGTTTTTAGGTCTATTTCTGCTGTAGCGTCGATATTATGGGTTATAATAGCCTATGTTTTTACCGTGGTAGACTCGTTTACTTGTGAGTTGAGCCATCGTGCCTTGAAACTTTCTTAGAACTCTTTCAGCTGTCGTGACATACTCGTCGCTCAACTCCAATGGCCAGGCGGTGGGATCTATCTTTCTCTGGCTGCTTCCTGTTGTTGTTGGGTGGCTCCAGATCAGCCCCCAAGTGCGATTATGAACGAGTTGGGGCAGCGGTCGAGAGAGCCAATAAAATCGCCTATGTCGTGACCCACGATGGCGAAGCTATCCTTGCCTCGCATCTTTCCACCAAACGTGCCATCGCTATCCGCCGCGGTTCAGGCGACATTCACAGCGACGAACACCATACAGCGCCAATCTACAATTACGCGCGATTCCTTCCTTGGAGCATGGCCGTTGAGACTGTTTATGTCGCCTTTCGGGAGGCGTCGGAGCGCTCGAACAGTTATCGACCAGTTAATGGTGAGATGGCTTGGCAGAAGGGAGATAGGATGATGCCAGTTCGACCAGAGAATCGACAAGGCTCCTTGGAGCAGATTACAGCCTATGTGAAGACCTACCCTGTAGAAATTGAACCATCAAAGCGCAGCCGATGGGGACGGGGAATGGTCTCGCGATTCCTTCTGGCCTCGTTCCTTGCACTTGTGCTGACATGGGGGACAATTGGAGCGGCAATCCTCGTCGCGTTCTATACCCCAACGAAGGGGATCGCGTGTAGATCAGGGAGCTACCTCATCTATGGTGTCGTTTCGACGCTGATCTGGATTTTGCTTGTTATTTCGAGCGCTCTTTCACACTACTCCTCCCTTGTGCCGACCTACAAGGACCGATACCAGCACACACCTTCTACCCGCGTTGCAGGAATCACAGCGGTCATCCTTCGTCGTGCGGCGAAAACCTTGGCGGCCCTCAACTCCGCGTGGGTGATTCTGGCGTGTCTGTTCCAGTTCAGCAGCTTCTATGATCGCTGCTGGTGCAACTCGTCGGTTTTTTACTGGCGAGAGAACGCGTTTAACGTTATCAATGTGTCTCCGTCGGATGTTGCGGCGCTTGATCCGCCTTGGATCGGCGGGGTTGCCCTTGCGAGTGGATGTGCAGTGATTTTTTTGGGTTTCGTGAATCTCTTAATTCGGCCGACTCTCCCGACTTAGACTATTATGTAGCTGTATTTACTGTACTGATCTTGTCTGTTTACTATGTAAATTCGGTCTGTCTTTATTTTGGGTCAAAATTGCGTCAGTGTCTGTTTACAATAGTGTACATGAACGATACAACTCGAAGGGAATAAAATTTCATCAACTAGTCTACACAATATTTCAGGACTAATCAAAAAAACTTGGAAGCATGGCATTTGTTGTGTGACACTAACAAGTTGGTTAGTCCACAATTTCGATACAAGTTATGGATCTCCTTACATTCACTTCTGCTTTTTAGCAGGCTTGACTTGAGGCTTCTTCTTGTTGTCGCTGTTTGAATTCTTGGTGGTGCGTGGGGTAGTCTGGCCGGGGTTGTGTTTTGGGACAGGCCGTCCTCCATCTAGCATAATATATTAGTCTGGCGAGAACCTAGCGAGTCAAGCTTGTCGGGCTTACGCGCGGTACAGTAAGCGGAGCCCGAAACAGCCCTCATGCCGCATCCATGCGAGTGACAACGATGGGCTGCTCGACGCTGGCTAGGACCGCCAGGATTATAAGCGGGAGCGAACCCGTTTGCGTAGTAGTAAGACATTCGTTCAGAGGGGATACTCTGGCAGTGCCGTCGTAAGTGTAGAGAGATATTGGCGTATAAATACTGCGAGACCCAAAGGGCCGCTGCCTTTTCTCTGCACGGCGTCCACTGGCCTTCCATTTTGTTTGCTTGGAAAAAGCCTCAGGCTCTCTATCTAAGGAGGCTAGAACCAACTAAATCAGTGTCTCCTTCCGCCGCGTTGGGGGTGAGATTCGTTCAAGAGATCGGTTCGATATTAGCACCAAATATATATTGAGGTCCACAGCAAGAGCTGCTGTTAAGCAGAGTCATATGATATGTGGGTGTGTGAGTGGGTTTGTTCGAGTCAGAGTCATTTAGTGAGGTTAAGGTGTCGGACTCGGAATTGAACGCTCCAGGGCTTTTCACATTCGGAGAGAAATGGATTGTGCATGGATAAAAGACGTATCGGCGTTTATAGGGAGCCTCAGGCTGTCGTGTTATCGGTGACGAAAAGAGGGTACGTGGTGGAAAGGCTGATCAACTCTCCGAGGTCCGTATCACGTGAGCGTGAACACACTGTGGGCGTCCTCGTCCACAGCACTTTCAATCACTAACCACCATGGCGCAGAAGGAGTGCATTATCCCCTCATGCAGCTCTTCTGGGTCGTCTGCTCGACCATGCTACTGTGCCATATGCGAATGTTCATTCTGTTGGCAACATTTCAGCTCCAATGAGCACCACACCTGCAACACTTACACGGCACGTCCCCGTCGAAGTCGACCTGAAAGTCGCTTATTGACCCGTCATTAGGGCGAGAAAATAACCGAGGAGCTCCGCAAACGCGACTCTGCGGTCCGTGACCGGTTTCTTCAATCTCTGAACGTAGAACGACTTTTGGAGCGGGCATCGCTGGTTAACGGTGGAGTCAGCTGCATCTCTTCCAATAAAGAGGAAGTCGCGGAAAACCTGTTTGGAGGTGGCCGTAACTTCATGGTCCCCATTGAATTCGAGGATGGGCAATGCTGGTTTGCTCGTTTCCGCCGCCCAGAGCACCGTGGTCCCAGCAAAGAAATGCTGCGGCACGTTCTCCTGAGCGAAGTCGCAACATACCAGTTCCTGGTGTCCATCGATTTCCCGGTTCCGGAGATCTTCGATTATGCGGTCGATGCTGAGAGCAGCCATGGCGTTGGCCTGCCATATATTCTCATGGACAGAGTGGACGGGGTGTCTTTGGATATGATGGCATTTCGATCGCTTGATGCGGAAACGCGCGCCAAGGTACTCCGTCAGGCTGCAGAGCTCCAGGTCAAGCTCGCTGACAACCCGTTACCGTCGATTGGCGCCATCATCAACCCTACGTCGCCAGAGGTCGGGCCATTGACTTTCGATGCTCTCTTTCCAAGCGAGGAGAAGCCCTCAGGTCCATTCACTTCGGTTGCCGAGTATTGGGACCATAGGCTCGAGCAACGATGGAGACTGTCTGTGGGCGACATCGAGACATATCTGACATGCCTTTTCTTCCGCGAGGCCATCGCAAAACTATTCCCCCAGGATAATCAGCCCGAACAAGAGTTCTTTTTGCGTCATATGGATGACGGCGGAGACCACATTCTTGTGGACGACGATTACAATATCGTCGCAGTCATTGACTGGGAGTATGCTTGGGTGCTACCTAAAGCGCAGGCATTGAACTGTCCCGAGTGGGTCACAGAAGACATCGACGAGTTGACTCTCGATCTCAGTCCCACCGAACGGGAGTTTGCCTCTCTGCTGAGAACCGAATTCGGCCGCGACGATCTGGCAGCCTCAGCGGAAACAGGTCGCGCTTATTGGATCTTCGAAAACGCGTTCCGAGGCGAATGGGAATCACCCTTGTTCCGATACGAGTATATCCCCGCTATTCTCACATCGCTCGGGACACCTATGAGTTGGGATGAGTGGAGAACGATGGCACTGAGGAAATACGACGGTGATGAGGTCCTAAAACGTCTGAATGCGGAATTTCCCGCGATAACCAGCGCGTAGTGACGATAATAGACTGAAAATCTATTCAATGGTATTCGCCGAAGAGAAATTTTGACTTGATTGGCTCGTTTCAATCTCTCGTTTTCCCGCAACGATATCGCGCCTGGAGGTTACTAAATATACCATATCAGAATGGAAGTTGGGCCAGTTAGAGGAAAGAACAGACCTGTCCAACGCGTACAACTTTGGTTGCCTCGAGGCTCGTCAACACACGGGATTGAGCGAAGACACTTGATACCCGTGCACCTATTAACCCTTCACATTATATCAGTGATTCAGGAGACCACCGTATCGAATGTAAGGAGAACGTGCTCAGCTTTCTCTCCAGTCCCTTTGTAGCAAACTTCTCCACTGGCGCCGAAATAATCAGAGAAACTGGGTTGGAGAACAACACTTGTTCAACCCTAGATACATTCACAGGTCGTCGGGAAAAAAACCTCGCAGCCAGTTAGCCTCTTCTTCCATCTCCTTCATCGTTCTAGGTCTCCGGCTTTCATCTGCGTCGACGCGTAAAGGTTCTGATCTTATATCGTCCCTCAAGCCAGCTTCAGCCTTTTCAAGCGCTGGGTATATTTTGTCGTTCTCCTCGCCAGAAAAACGGTCGCCGGCAAGTTTTCGGGGAAGGAGATGGAAGTGAACGTGTGGGACAGATTGGCCCGCAGCTGCACCGTCCTAAAGTTATGTACAATGAATTCGGATTTGGTGGAGAGTGGTGTGGATTACCTGACACGCCACTGTGAGCCCATCCGCTCCATATACCCGTTCTACAACAGACCCGACGCGTTGAACAGCACGCATGAGGGAGTTGAGCTCGGGTTCTGCTTCGAGTTAAGTAGAAGAAAAAGCAAAATGTTCAGACGTGCCATTCAAGTCCGAAAGACGGTGAACAGGTCGAGTAGGTATAACAAGGACATCTGGGACAGATGAAATCGTTTTGCAGTATGGGTTTGCTAAAGGCGCACGACTAACGTCCGGGCACGATGGCTGGGATATTCAGTCAACGTTAGAGAGTTTTAAAGAGAGAACACACGCTTGAGGTTCACGATGGCATATGAGAGAGTGTTTCGGTAGAATGCCTGCTTTGTTACTTCAATCGTCGAAAAAAACAGCGCAGAGGACATGGGTGTCAAGGACAAGTCAATTTTGATACCATCAATCTAGGGCTACAAGGTGCCGCCAGCTCCGCGGCGACTGACCAACCTTGCTTTGACATATTGAAAAGAGTAAATGATTTGCAATTTTTAAGTTTGTTCTATCACGCATGAAATATGTCTGTTAGCACTCCGTTTCTCCACCATTGCCTGTTCATTGGTGTGCTTGAGCAACACGGAATCAACCAACTGACACACCCTCTACCCACGTTGACCACGGCCAGATCCAATGTTACTCGGCGGCCGCTACACTGGTTTATGAGAGCAAAGGGTTTCGCTGAACCCCAATCACTTATCCTACCGTCTCCTCTGCACTGTTCCAAATCCACACATACAAAAATCGCAGGAAATTCGTCGAATTTGTACACAAGGATAGGTTGACCTGCAGGGTATCGTTGCCAGAAGTCCAGCATCATTTCACGCAGCAGTGAGCAAACATTGCCCTGAAATAATTTTTGAACGAAGTCTCGTTCAAGTTGGTCGATGTCTGCGCTGCGGAACACTGCCAAGCTAGTCAACACAACGGCCGCCTTCAACCTGATACAAAACCTACTCATGACTGATGCCCTGAACAGAACACAGTTGTGCGCATGCACTGAACACCCCTGTTGTAGTGGGCTATTAACAACACACCCATCCGAGAAACTGAGGAAAGAAGATGAGCGGTTGGATAAGCTGACGGTGGACACCAAGAGGCGAGAAAGGGAGAAAAGGCGAGAAGGAACATACAATATATTACAGCATCTAACAACTGCCGACAGTGCTGGATAGCAGATAGCGCTATGTGGGATACAAATGAACATGGAAACGACAACGAGATGGAATTCAACGCACCTTCGACCGCTCCTTGCATCTACTAAACACCCCCACTTTACCGCACAAGCACGAAGTCGACGTTGAAATTTGAGCGTTGAAATGGCATAAGGCAGGAAATGAAAAGGGCTGCACATGTGATTAGAGAGAGTACGGGAAGCCCGGAAGAAACGGAATGCCTCACCAGCACAGGTTAGAGCCGAGTGCTTCGAGGGGAAGACGGTCTGACGAGCGGTAGCAATGATGTCGTCGGCAGCGAGGATGTTAATGTCCCAGTCGGTATTATTGTCACAGTCGCGCGGCAAATCATGCTATGAGTGCGATGTGCTGGGTGTGGACGGTGTATTGAAGATAAAGAGGAGACCGTGGTGATCAAAAAGAGAATGTCTGCGAGCAATGATGAGTAGGGCTACCGAAAAGTGCATAAGGACAGTGGGGGAGGAGGGAGGACGACGGGGGTAGTGGCAATGAAGGAACAAGTGGCAGGAGGACATGTGTGGGGAAGGGAGCACAGGGAATTATTAGTAGGAAGAGCATATGAAGGGAAAGCAGAGAACGGCGGACGCGTAGGGAGCCGGATCACCCAGTGTTGTGATATGTTTGTTTCTGGCAGACGAATTCGACCCAGGAAACGAAGGTAAATGACGTAAGGTGTTTACATTTGTTTGTAAATGGCAAGCCAAGCGAAGAATAGGATCACAGAGTGATGAGTATTTGATGGAACTTACCATAAAAGGGTCATTTCGACCGTGGGGGACCTTGCATTTTCAAAGCAAGGTGACAGCAAACCATGACCACCACCAGCAGAAATCCATAAGTCATAATAAGAGCCATACTTCTCCTCAAGCGCGGCAACCTCTGGGCATTTCGCGATGCGACAAACTCCATCCCTTCCCATCACTTTTTGACCATGCATGCACCGGTGTGTTGTGGCTGTCGACAAATCCACCACCATTATCGTGTTTCGACTTTCTATCATGTGGCGCTCGTCTAGCAAATCTCCATGAACGATCCCACTGGCATGGATGGCATAGATCGCGTCCATGTTATACCGTCTGAATGCAAGTCAACTTCAAGCAGGAAAAACGCAAAAGCAAACTCACCCAATGTAGTCCCGGTCGCCCATGAAAGGTGGCTTGCCATATTGCATCAGCAGGCACTGAATCTCCTTCCCGTCAACTCGCCCTCGAAAATGTCCGTAGATTTTTGGAACTGCCCTCCCTTGAACTTTCTTCAACACCCGATACATCGCCGCCTCTCGTTCGAGGGTGGCAATCTGCTCTGGCGTCTGTGCCATCTTGACGATAGCTGGTAGGGTTTTCTCGTCGCGGTTGCTCTTCGGAATCGTCATGTCCGTCTTGTGGGCTCCGATTCGCGCGGTGAGCACCCGTAAAGAGTGGTCCCGCCCTCCGTTCGCAATGCTTTTGATAATGTGAGCAACATAATCGGTGTCGGTCTCTGTCGTCCATGACCAGAGCTTCAGATAGGACCTTTTTTCCGGCCAGAAGAGCTCGAGGGTCGACATTGTTGGTTACTGTGGATGGATGTGGGTGGGCGGGTATGTTCTTGGATCCCAAATTCCACGTACTTATACCTCAACAACGGTACTGGTCCTCATTCCAAGCGCACCCTCGTGTGGCCACTGCGCAAGAGTGGTCCACAAAGCGCCGATTACTTCTGCCTTTGATATAAGACGGGGATCAAAGCGTTTCGATGCCATGATACCAAGTCTCCGTCAAAATCTCATTGGGTGTTATTAGCCAAGGCTAGTTTGGACCTGCGTATTGAGTTACTAGTAGAGATGTTCATTATAAACAGTCCTGGATCCTCGAACTATGGTGATGCAGTATACTCATTCTGTGATTGAGGGCAAAATTCTGGACCTCCATGTCAACATTGAGGGGGAAGCTGGGTATTTAAAGATTGTGTGCTTTGATCCAGCTTTGAGCGTTCACGTGATCTTTTGATTCCCTTTCCTTGACCACTGTCATGTCGCTTGCAGCTGGGTTGTCCTCTGAATGGCTCATTGTATCTGAACCTACACCACATGTCCTGCAAGTTTCGCTTTCCCGGTAGGCGATCTATATGCGTGGTTATCATGGTCTAAAAGTCGGAAAGATCACCGGTCAACGCATTTTCAACTGAGCAAGTAGGATATTCCCTTGGGTGCATTTCTCTGACATCGTCTCTCAGATTCTGGACAGCTTACGGAGCCTTGTTTGACCGCATAACGCGTGAACGGCGCGATGTGCGCGCTCTAGTCGTCTCGTCAGCACTTCCTAAGCTGTTCTCTGCGGGCATTGACAGTAAGCTATCGTCAAGCCCCTTGCCCCGACTGATGTCTTGAGTAAAGTCAAGGGCGGGATTGTAGAGGAAACGACTGGTGACGCAGCTCGGTCATCGTTGAACACGTACAACAAACTTAAGGAATTTCAAAGTGCAATCGGCGCCCCACAACGCTGTCCATTTCCTGTAATCGTCGCGGTCCATGGACTCGTTGTTGGCTTGGGGATTGACTTGATTTGCGCCTGCGACGTTCGCTATGCTGCCGACAACAGCCAGTTCACTATCAAAGTGCGCCTTCCTAGGCCTATATATTAACAATGCTCAATCTCTGAGCGAACAGGAAGTTGACGTCGGTCTGGCAGCTGATATCGGGACTCTTGCCTTCCTTCCGAAAATCACTGGCAACCACTCTCTGATGCACGAACTAGCTTACACTTCGAGGATATTCTCTGCCACCGAAGCATTGCAGCTTGGATTAGTCTCGCAAGTCGTTCCAGGTGGTCAGAAAGACGTGATTGGTGCTGCTCTTAAACTGGCTTCAACTATTGCGACCAAAAGTCCAATCGCGGTCTCAGGCACCAAGAGGATATTGACGCACTCGAGAGACCATAGGTTTGATCCAACGCAAAGCAACGCGTTTGATATTCATCCACTTGCAGTGTACCTCAAAATCTCGACTACGTCGCTGCTTGGAACGCCGCAGCCCTTCGCACTGACGTATGCCGGCTGACAAAGTCTACCTAAACACGCTAACCATGCAACTCAGGACATCCCCGAGGGTCTTCGTGCAGCACAGGCGCGCAAGCAAGCCACCTTTCAACCTTTGTCAAAACCCAAACTCTGATCGCTTTCGATGTTGTTCATTATGGATATCTATAGACGTCAATAAACCCTCTCGCTCCTAGTCCTGTTTCTCTTTCATATACTTCTCTGCTGTCACCTTCGTCTCCGCAATTACCCTCGTCATCTCAAACGCCAGCGTATGAAAATCGGCAGAGGCGCAAATAATGGTGAAACCCTGGTCGATGCGCAGCTTGAGCATCTCAACCCCCATTGCTAGTCCGAGTAATGGGACGTGGTGTTTTTGGGACATTTTCGTGGCTTTCGCGAGGGCAGCGACGAATTCCGGCTCATCGCCGGTCATACCGAGAGACAACCCCATGTCGAGACGAAGATCACCAGCACCGATCATGAACGCGGTAATCTCAGGCATTTTGACTATCTCTTCGAGATTCTTGATACCGATACGCGACTCGACTTGGGGAATGATGGCCACGTGCTTATTTGCCACAGAGAAGACTGTTTCGCCAGCGGGTGTTCTGTCCGTGATGCCGTTCACCTATCGAATTCTGGTCACAGAATCCGCGCGACCACTGGAAGGATATACTGACGAATGTAAACGGCGGGAAAGAGCGGTGTCCAATAGGTCTGTGTGGAGTGAAGTGAACATCAGACGATCGTACTCAACGAAAAACAGAAACGACAAACGGGAAACGACAAGCCTTGATCACTTGCTCTACCTCCTCTGCAGTTTCTATATGCGGGATAATGATGCCTCCTGCTCCAGCATCAAGGCACCACGCCTTAAAAAGGGATGAGGCCCACGAAGTTCGAAAGCTGATTCCTTACCATGTAATCGAAGGAGGTCTTGCTCGGCACCCGGACAACTGGGATCATCTTGCCGCCACTCTCGTGGATAATAACCTGGATGCATTCTACAAGTTGGGTCGCTGACCAAGCGACATGTTCAGCATCCTGCTTATTGACTTAGGACCCAATCAGTGGAGGAAGGTCACCCACAATCCAGCACCAATCTGCCCCAGTAATCGCGACTGTTTTTGCCACATGTCGACTTGGGATGGCCAGGCCAGTTCCAACCACGATCCTGCCCGAACGAAATAGCGCATGAGCATTGTTGGGCTGTTGCCGCGTCATTGCTTGGTACTGCTCTTGCATGCTCGTATTGAGGGTGAAGTGAGGCTCAGTAATGGTGCCGTTCATGTTACTCCAAGGTCGTCTGGTAGCTCACTTATCGCCTCGGTAGCCTTTATAGGCTTGGAATGTCCAGAAAAGGAACCCACAAGTCCGCCGAATTGCGACTAAACGACGATTCGGCGTCGCGTCTGCGATCATGATATGCGTTACGATTCCCTCCTTGTAGGGCAGACTACCGTTGTTGGTTTCCATATTTACCCCTTCTGAAAGTCCCCAAGAGCAGAATCACACTCTCTTCTGGCCGCCCGAAAACTCACGAGAGTGCCTGACTCGGAGGTTACTTGTCGGCATCGGCACGAGTGCATACGCGTCCCGCAACCAACTCCCGCTTTGTCCACTGGTTCAGTCTTCAAGTTGATCAAATTTAACTCTGTAGACCTGGAACGGGGTAAGTACATTACTCTGTGCCAAATGCGTTGACCAGCGTGAAATTTAGTGAGCACTACTGTGGATATCCGGGGCAAAGACAAACGAGATCCGTTGGGATTTGAGAATTTTACAAGTCGGCAAGGATCGCCGCGAGTCTTACTCGTGAAGGTAACCATCAATGGGGTTCATTTGGTACCGTCCAAACGAAATGCCTTACACGGAGCAGACCACACGGAGGGACATTGGAAGGAGTTATCTAATTTTGGATCCAGGGAAACAAGTATACACAATCAAGACAGTATGCTACAAACAACAAGTGGGAGATGTAGGTTAGTCAAGCACTACCCATCGACGGCGGTATCGTAGTTCTTCATCACTTTTTCCAATTCGTCCATATCGAATGAACTGTTTGACACGTCAAACATAGCATCGTCGGAACTGGGCTCCTTCGGGTTTGGTGGATTCACATTTGAGCAGCGATCGATGGGTGAGGGTGTGGTTGATTCGGCGGGTGTGGATGGCGGTGGGGTCGCATTAGTGGTATACGGCGACGAGTCTTGGATGGTTTCAAGTAAGTACGTGGATCAGAAAATGCGAGTAGAGTAAAATGAGCAATGTGGAGCGGCGAACAGCGAGAGCACGTAGCAATTGGAATTCCTGTGAAGGGGATATGACAAAAGAAAAAATTCACGCACCAGTCTTCCTTGAGCTGCTGCTCCGTGAAGAAGACGACTTCGTCGATCCGGAAGTTACAGGGGTCGCACATCCAACGTCCACGCTATTTGCCATGGACATAGATTTAAGCGGAGCCTTGTAAGGCTTTCTTAGTTGTGCTTGTGACGAAGCTAACCCTCCCGAAACCATTCCAACTGGTCCACTATGCGACCTCCGCATGCCCAGCGCAGGCGGCCCAGCTCGAGCAAGTCGGTGAGGAAGAGGTTGGGACTGTGAGGGTAATGGGACCTCAACAGCCGGAGCAGGCATGGATTTTGGCTTCGACTTGGATTCGCTTTGTGTCCGCGTTGTTCCGTTTCTTTTCTTCTCTTGTTGCTCAAGCAATTTTGGATGCAATTTGGCTTCCCGTTGAGAATGTTGGAGAATAGATGGAGGTTCGCGTCGGACCGGCGGAGAGTTCGTCTTGGAGGCAATTAAAGCCGGAGTCAATGCTTGCAGTTTGCTTCCTCCGCCCGTCGACATGGTGCTTTGCTTGGCTGGCACTGGTGGCGGTGGCATCAACTCGATATCTGCATCGAGTTCCATTGAGTGATTGGCATCGCGTCTTCCAAAGGAGGTTGACGCCGTATTAGTCCTTGAAGGACTGAAGAACAATGGGTCGTCGGCGCTGTTTGGCGCTGGGGCAAAAGATTGGGGAATCGAAGTACTTGAGAGTGGTGGACGGTTGGATATAGACGCCGACCCTCGTCCGTCGCTCCTTCTATCGCGTTCTCTTTCCTTACCCTTTCCCTTTCCCGAATGCTCGATGACTGAGGCAGGTCGTCCACCGCTCCCAATATTCAGCCTGGTCTGTTTTTTCAAGCCCATTCTCAAAGACCGTTCTGCGATGTTCTCGTCGGTCTTGGCCACCACACTTTTGAGAACTTGAGTCAAATCAGCGCGGCCTAGGTCGAAAATTTGGGCAGCCTGAGCCTGAGCTGAGTGGGATATCGAGCTCTCGCTTGCGGTTGAGGTCAATGACGGTGCAGAGTGTCGCGCTCTTTGTCGCCTTTGATGACCCGCTGTCGAGTTCCGGCGAGTCATCGATGTCGAGGCAATGGGGGCACTGTTGAGCTTGTCCTCGAACCATGGACGTATGCTCGGCGTGGGCTGTGAGCTCAGGTCTGGCTGAGAAAGGCTTGCTAAAAGTTGACGCGTTAGTAGTAGACAGTCAGAAACAACAGCGGCGACAACATACTTCTGAGGACTGCACTCTCTGCCTCTGCCTGGAGCCGTCTGTACACAGGATTGGCGGATTGAGAAGCTTGCCATATTACTCCGGGAAGTGATGGCTCCATTTCGAGGAAATCCGAGGTCCAAGAATCGGCTTCCATTTATATGTAGACCTTGTCTTTGTCCAGTGTCTACCCATTCAAGGATGGGACTCTTTGACGCAGGCAGAAACGGCCACGTGATGATGTCACGCAAGTTACGATACGCGGCACCTACGAAAGCTTCCGCGTTCGACGATGCAGTATATAATTCGATAGATAGGCATATAAACTTTAATGCACTCTACCACCGTGTCAAATCAACTTCTGCCTCCCCGAACACGCTTTCTTTCTTCACCGCAAAGTCATCTTCTCCTTCAACTTCTTCCACGGGACCCGAATACATATCTGCCAGTTCTCTCTGAAGGTACCCCAACACACAGTGGTTGATCTCTTCAAATTCCACCAAAAACCCATCATGACCCTCCCCGCTTGGGATCACGACCAATTCCGAATCAGGAATATGTGTCGCAAGAAGTGCTTGCTCGGGAGGTGTGAACAGTCCGTCAGACTGAATAGAGATTACGAGCGCTCGACTAGGCAGTCGTGAGAGTGTCTGGACCAGCGCTTCTTCTGGTTGAGCCTCCTCCGTAACTCTACCCCTGGCAAGGTCGTGTGTATCCATCTTCCGAGTGATGTGGATGTAGCAATTGGCGTCAAAGCGGGCAATGAACTTGTCGCCCTGATATCGCAAATAGGATTGAGCGGAGAATATGGGAGGTCGAGTAGGTGGCGAGTCGAGAGTATGGGCTCTGTGTCCGTCATTATGCAAATCGACCGCTTCGAGAGGAGGGGAAGCAGGGGGGGTCATGAGGACTGCGTTGTCATCAAGACGAGGGGATGGTGGGTGTTGCGCTTGGACTTTCCTGCCAAATCTCCGTTCGAAAGAATCTCTGGACCTATATGTTAGCAACGCTGTCATACGGGCAGCAGCAAGTCCGTTTCGAGGTTGTTGTTCGACCTCGTAGTATCCTCCTTTATAAGCGGGATCGCTATAGATGCTCTGTCGCTGACTTTCTCCCCATGCAATGCACCAAGCAGAGTGTCGAGCAGATGTCGCTAGAACAACGATTCTCTGTACAAAGCCTGGAGCAATGAGCGGCCATTCGAGTGTCGCCATTCCGCCCATTGAACCACCGATAACTACGGCGACTCTTCGCACGCCAAGATGTGTACGAAGCACATGTTGGTGAATCTTTACGTCGTCTCGAATCGAAGTAGGAGGGAAGGTCGGGCCGTAAGGCTTGCCAGTATCTGGATTTGTTGTAATGGGCGACGCAGAACCATAGGGCGAGCCCAGTGTGTTTGCACAAAAAATGAAAAAACGGCTGGGGTCAAATGCCTTGTTTCGACCCATGAGTGGGCCCCACCTATGGCTTGTGGTAAGTATACCAGTGAGAAACAAGGTAAGCACACACCAGTCTTCGACATCGGCACTTCCAGTGAGTGCATGGCAGATAACCATAACATTATCTTTTGTCTCGTTCAGTCGACCCCAAGTTTTGTACGCGACAGGCACGCTTTTAAGCTCTGTCCCGCATTCCAGAGTAAAAGACGGCAGAAAATGAATGTTCTGGTCAATCTGTGGGATGGTGGCGGAAGCCATGAGGTCTAACGAGAACAAGCGCTTGACCGGGTGTAAATGTTTGAATGGTCTAAAGATGGTGACAAGCGAAGATATGGTTATAGGCGATGTGAGAGCATGTGTAGTCGCTTAGGGAGCTCAAGAAAGCGGGGAACGAGGATTTTCGTCCTAGACAAGATGGACTATGTAGGAGGAAAAAAAGTAAGTTGCTTGGATGATGGCGGAACGGAAACAGAACGACAATCCGGATCGGCGTTGCGCAAAAAACAGAACTACAACTTGACATCCACTTCCTCTGTTCCCCCATTCAAGCCTCTAGATGTTCTCATAGTAGCCAGCCACAAAAAAAAACGGGGCAACGGTCTAAAGGGGTAGCGCCAGGCTTATCAACGACATCGGAAACTTATTCACTGACTAATGGAACTCTCCTTCCAGCCATCGAAGCCGCCTGAGCCACAATGCCCTTTCGACTGTCGAAGACCACTGAGACGTAGACTAACCGACCAAGTAAAGCACCACCACTGGCACTGAACTTACCACTAACCCCTACCTGATCACGTTCAGCGGCTAAACGGCGCGCAACAATTGGGTCAATCTTGTCCACATCTTCTCATCCGGTAGCACCTTTTCCAGGGCTAAACGGCTCTTTGGCCGCTTCATAAACCATGTCGACTTCCCTGGAGGCTGCTGACTCGGACACAATGGATATGAGTCTCCTCTTTCAGCCTCTCGAGGTGGGCGACGTAACCATACCGAATCGAATCGGTGAGCTTTACATTGAGCATCCTTTGACCCTTCGTTTCAAGCCCTTATAGGCATGAGTGCGATGTCTCGAAACCGCGCTGACCCAAAACGCATGCCCAGCCACCTCATGAAGAAATACTATCTTCAACGCGCATTGGGTGGTGTGTTTCATCCGGCTTGCTCTAGTCTTATACTCAAGTTTGCTGACCAGGTGCGGGATTAATTATCTCGGAGGCTACACTCATTAGTCCACATGGGTTCGTTCTGTCGGTCATCCTTCGTCCTCTTTCCATTGACTTCGCCCAGCGCGCAATTTGACCGTTGTCCTGGCATATGGAATTCCGAACAAGTCGCAGCCTGGAAGAAAATCACCAATGTCGTTCATTTAGCCGGGAGTAAGATGTATTGTCAGGTGAGCATCCTTATAGCGCGTTTGCGTCAACTAAAACCAACCCAATAGTTATGGCACTGTAAGCACCCAGTCCATCACTCACGCTCTCCAACTGACAGAATATAGTGGGTCGCCTAAGTCATCCTGATCCTAATGGGATGGTCTACTCGCCCTCCGCCATCCAGGCCTCGGGAGAAAAATACTGTTTTCATTATCTTCTGGGAGAGCTAGACTTCGTTGTGGTCCGTGATCTTGATTTTCTCGTCTCAAAGTCTCTTGAACTATCGTTACTAGCCCTCTGCGATTGAAGACCCTTTTGTTCTTGTCAAACAATTCAAAGATGCTGCTGTTAACGCAAAAGCGGCTGGCTTTGATGGCGTTGAGAGTATGTTGGCCCACATCCCATTAACACTGGCTAATAACTACATCTATCCAGTCCATGGTGCAGCCGGCTTCCTCGTCCATCAGTTCTTAGACACTTCTGCCAACATTCGCACAGACGAATGGGGTGGAAGTCCAGAGAAGCGCACGCGTTTCGCACTCGAGGTATTGAAAGCTTGCAAGGAAGTTTTCGGGATCAATGTCAGCCTCAAAATCAGTCCCGGTAGGTCCCTTTTTCTCTCTCTATCGTAACTTGTTCTTGATGAGCTTCAACAGCTGGAGGATTCAATGACTCCGGAATGCCGCTACAGGAGACTCTCGATACGTATCGTCACCTCGTCGCGGAGGTTGACAAACTGGGACTGTCTTACATCTCGCTCTATCGTCACAACGCACACAAAGACCCAATTGTCGATGGCAAACGTAGAGGAACGCCACACGATCTCGTTGCTTCGTACGGACCTTATATCAAGCAGTCCAAGATATTTGTCGTCGGTGGGGTCACGCCAATGGAAGCTGCTGAGCTTATACGCACTGAACAAGTCGCGGGAGTCTTTTTTGGCATGCCATGGCTCTCACATCCAGACCTCGCAAAAAGGATCAAGCACGGGAAGAATCTTGACAATCTTGTCGCCATGCCGTTCTTGTATGGTGACACGCAGGCGGGGGTCGACCCTCGAGTGGGTTACACAGACTACCCGAGCGTGACCTATTGACCTACGCACCCATATAATATACCCTATCGTGGGCTTCTATGTAGCTTTCCTCTTTGAACACATTTGTATCTTTTATTAGGCTGACGATTCGCCACTTCCATATTGCCAGTGAGAGTCACGAGTTGTGACTCTTCCTTGAACAACACCTCTAGGTGTATTTTCATCGTATCCGTAACCAGTACCAAGCTAGAATAGTCGGCATATGCACAAAAACGTGAGTTTGGGAACGTTCTAAAAATACGCGATCCGAGTCTGAATCGTGACCAAAGATTTCCAACACTAGAATGCAAACCCCGTAGGATTCTGACCGAAACGACGCTCAAGGAACGACATCCAGCCAGTTTATCACCGCCCCACCGAGAAATAAATAGAATTAGAAGCTCCCTCCCCGGGGCCGCCGAGTGTTCAGGGTTGGAACCATTTTATGGTTTGTGTGTCCAATCAACGGTTGCGGTAGTGCAGTGGCCAACAGTGGCAACTGATAAATTCATACAGGATTATAAGCGGCACCGAACATAGAGTACTCAAGCTGAATTTGCCAGCCGCCCTAAAATGGTAGTTTGCCTATTCGAGTCGTTCAAGCTTCAACTGATAATTCTTCATAGGCTTGGAACCTGCATCGAGATGACTGAAATATACGCAGATGCTGACAGCTGTTGGCAAAATCCTAGGCCACTCCAAAATTTCTACTCGTCTGACGTCACACACGCTCTGAGCTCGGAGGGTCGCTTAACTGGAGCAACAGTGGAGCATTGGCACTGCAAACTGCTTTATTTGGGTTGAATTCTGTCCGATGCTCCAAGAGAGGAAATTTTAATGTGGCCTAGGATTTTGCCAACAGCTGGAACGTCACCGACGAATTTCGGTTCAAGCCAGCTGATTGAGGACGGAGACGGGAATCTTCGAAGCCTCAGGCTCGCACATTCAGGGTCCACCCAGTTTACCCAATCATCAACCGGCGTTCTCCAACAGAAATATCGTCAAGCAAACTCTCGCTTAAGGCTCCCTCGGCATTGCGCGGCCCCATAACATATTTAAAAGGCTTTTAGAGCGCACTGTTGACTTAGGTTCTCTCCCAACAACACACTCATTCAAGCTGCGTGAACCAATGTCGGCTCCTCCCGTCCCCCAACTCCCGCCATTGGACTCGACCTACGGCGTATGGCTCGTATCCTTGTTCGTCGAGACTATTCTTTACGGAATGGGCATCCTGCAAGCATGGATCTACTTTGCCAATCGGCCTCAAGACTCGTTGTCTATCAAGCTCACGGTAAGCCGGCCTCCCGTGTTCAACTAAACAGCTGCTCATCGATGCTTTAGGTCTTGATCGTCGTGTATGTTCTTGCTTCGGTTTTCGACTTTCACCAACATGTCATAGTGTCCTCGAAACCTTACAGGCCACCTTCTTTTTTCGCTCGAGCTATCTCCGCTTCGTTCAAAACTTCGGAGTCTTGACTGCTGTGCTTAACTGGTCTGTTTTACCTTGTGCTCCGCCTTACGTCGCTGACTAGATGATTTACAGGGTCGATTCTGTGCAACTCCTTTCGTCAGTGAGTAATTTTTAGCCTCTTCAAGTGGAATCGGACCGTGTTCTTATACGCTGGTCAGTATCTCGGTGCCTTTGCCGTTCAACTCTTCTTCGCAAGCCGGGTTTATAGATGTCAATGCTCTCCTCTCGACATCTAGGACTCTCGATGTTCTGACCCCTCTCTAGTGACCCAAAACACTCGGAGCTGGTTTGCCAAGATCGGAATGTATGGCATCGTACGTCCCATCGTTGTTATTCGCCGCCGCGGACAAATACTAATGTGCAATTTTTAGTTCTTTTTCGCCTTCATTTCCGTTGGTACGCACCTGTGTACTGGGGGGAGGTGTTGACGTTAATCATCAACAGTTGCCGGTATCGCGCAAACAGCCTGGACAAACGCTATCGGCTCCTTCCTCAAATTGGATGAGACAAAGGCTAGTTTGGTTCATCGCTCGTAGCTCGAGCTCTCGCTTATATTATTCACATAGGCTGTCACTACTGTCCAAGCTGCTACTTCGCTTGCCTGCGACTTGCTTATCACGCTCTTCCTTTGTGTCTTCCTCACCAGCCAGAAGGGTGATATCAAAAAGTGAGTCCTCCACCTTGGCATTTGACTTCGGATCGGAGTCAAGTCAAACCGCAACCTCAGAGCATGGTCGCTCATGGGCATACCATTCTACAACAGGACAAACGTTATGATGGATAGGCTCATCTACGAGGCAATCAATCGCGGCACCTTAACTGCGTTGGCGTCTGGAATCAACCTTGTGCTGGTGAGCCGTCCATTTTGCATCTGTGTTTTGATACTCAGACTCTCGCTAGTTCCTTGCTCTTCCCGACACGTTCTGGTTCTTCCTCGGTCTCGCGCCCAGCTCGAAGTGTTGGTCTCCCATCGAAAATCTCGGAATATATTGTGCTCACAAGTTCTCTAGTGTACATGAATAGTATGCTTGCCACGTGAGTTTATTGCCTGGTTTTCCGTTATTCCGAGTTGTCCGACAAAACCGCAGGCTCAACAACCGACAACGCATTCGCGATCAAGTTGCTTCTTCTGCTGACAAGGGTTGGAACTCGATTCCGATGGGCTCCATGGCGCATACTGCTGGTGGACGATCAATGGGACCTATCGAGTTCAAGGCACACGGTAATGACACCAAGAGCAACTTTGAAGGCGACGTCTCGATCGTGCGTGTTTTTCTGTCTTTGAATTGCTTCTTCTCAATACACCTTTCAGATTGACGCGATGGCCAACAAAAGTTTGGAAGTCACCGACAATGCAGTTATGGGTGTCCACGTCAAGGTTCAGCGCCAAGTCTTGGCTCGTTAAACCTACCAAGTAGTGTGCTTCTTTCGAGTTTCTTCGTTCCTATTACTGTATTGTCTCCCCCAACATACGCGCATTCGTTCATAGGACCTCCTACTACTATCGCCACGCTACATATTCCATTCGCTACTCGCGATCATTTGTACTGCCGCTACATGCGTCCCAAAAGCAATAACATCGGATTGGACCTTCTCATCATCACCACGCGTTGGATATTGTCTCGTAGGGAGGGCTTTGATAAAGAAACTCGATCTTAAACACCTCCGCAACCCATCCGACCTCCCGTAAAACATCCGTGTCTTACATGGACGTCCTATAAATCTCAAGCTCGTGAAACTGTTCCGACGTTAACGTTCACAATGAGTTCAACCACTGGCACCAACACTACTTATCCTATCTCCGATGTTTCGAGTTGCAAGCTGACGATGCTTTGGAACTGGTACTTGACTCATTCTTCATCTGAGTCCTCTACTCAATATTCATTTCAGGGACACTGTGAACAGTTGTTTCATCTCCGAGCAATGGCATGTTCGCACCCAGCGTTTGTACCTATTCTTGCTCAACTGCCTCGATTGACGAGAGTTTCCACAGGGCAATATGCCGGAAGCGTCATTGCCATCTTCATTATTGTCATCCTTCTCGAGGGTGTCCGCCGAATTGCGCGGGTTTACGACCGCCACATCTTGCGCGTTCACCAAAACCGCCTCACCAGCTCACCCAGTCAGGTTCAAATCTCAGACACATTCCGCAATAACCGCCCCTTCAGGTAGGCATTTTCTTGACTGAAGGATTAGGTCTTTACTTGTGGTACAGGCCCACGGCGTTCCAGCAGTTGCTTCGTGCCTTCTTTTACTTTGTTCAGTTCAGCACTGGTTACCTTCTCATGCTGGCCGCGATGACGCACAACGGGGGCGTCATCATAGCGCTTTTCGTAAGTCCCCTCTCTTCAACTGACATTCGGCTTATTTGCTCGACAGCTTGGCGCTTTTGCAGGTTATCTGGTCTTCGGCGTGAGTTTGGCTTTATATCTTTGACTCACTGTCTCAAATGTCAACAGCGCGACACAGTCGCTGGCGCGACGGTCATAGAGACAACCGACTACGGTATTTGCCTTGAACAGGTCGGTTTTGGAAAGGGGAAAAGCGCCAAGGGCGATGATGTTTAAGTCCGTGTAGTATCCCAAACTGTATCGAATCAAGCTCCTTTCTTCTCCCCAAACTAGAGTTCATCGCAGTAAGGGAGGTCCTCGTCGTCGTCAGCATTGGTCTCCGGTTCCGGGCTCGGGTTGTTGAGCGGTTTAAGCTTTGATTCAGTGGCGGGCTTTGACTCAGAGGCGGCAGGCCCGGCGGGGACCTGGACAGTCTTGGACACGCAAAGGACCTAAAACACGTCAGAGGATGCCAATAGAGGTACAGGAAACAAAACCTGTCCGATGTAAATGTTCTCGCACTTTGCGTCAATCAACGGGTTGTTCGCATAGAGCACGTCGCTTCCGATACTGAATTGGGCGGTGATTTGTTCGCACGTGTCGTTGGGCCGGACAACATAGGTGGAAGTGCAGTCTTCGTTTCCGTAGCCAAGGCAAAGACGGTTGCCGGGCACAAGGTTGCCACAGTCTTTGTCAATGTCGTTGGAATTAACCGTTGCAAGCTGGTAGCTGAGACACGATGAGCACCGTCACTAAAATTGGAGAGGGTGCTCACGTAGAGACGTTGTGTGCTGCTGAGATGGAATCGCAAATATCATTTTCCTGGATCGTGTACCACCGGTTGCAATCGTCGCGCTCCTCAAGGGGCGTAACAGCCACCGCTGCAGCCGCATTTTGTCAGTGTGAGAGCATATATATGTAGAAACGGAGTCGTACAGTGGACTAGCAAGGGCAGGAGGAAGGCGACTCCGAGGGCAAGCATGAGGAAATGAATGTGTTGGTTCAAATGAGAGACGAAGATGGTGGTTGGGAGCAGGAAGGATATGAAAGGGGAATTTTGACCGTGTTGGCGAAGCGGGTTGCCAGCCCTGTCCGTCACTTTGTTTCAACAACGGACCGCAGCAAGCTAAGCAATGCCAAGCATCACGTGCCATCATCTAATCTTATCGTGAGTCAAGTGTTTGACTAAGCAAGAACCAAGCTTGTGTCCTGCATCCATGTCCCAATTTCCGTCCCAAAAGATCCAGATATCGCAAAGTTGGAAGGGCTCTGACTCACTCAAATTTCTTGTCATCTTGTATGTTCCCTCCAGTAAAAGCCGGGCTCATATTGGGCAGTGGGGACTCGTACTCAGCAGTGGGCTACGATTTCGCTTCCCACGTCCCAACAACAGAGGAGCCACTAGGAATTCCGTTTCCTGGAGAGACCTACACTGAACCAAGCACACCCAACTGGGTCGGCCATTTCATCACGACATGCGCAGTCGAAAATAAATGGGTCGTGTTCGACTACGCAGTTGGTGGCGCTAGTGTCCATGATGTGTGGCATCAAGTCAAATTTTGCTTCAAGGACGACATCGCCGATGCCTCCAGCAAGGCAGACTGGGCAACGGAAAACACTTTATTTGGTGGGGATTTCGATAAGTAGGTTGCGAGATCTCTCTGACGGACTCCAAGTGACTTGGGTGGGTATAAATGATTCTGCGTACGTGGTTGATCAGAATATTATGACCCTCTGCTGAAGCCTTTGGCGATGAAGATGGACGTCCGAACACGGAGGAAACATGAAGAAGTTGCTGTCAGCGCAGGAGGAGTTGTATAACTGGGGTATGAACCTGTCTTTCTTGGAAAGTCAGTGAGTTGAAGCGCGCTACTAGGTGCTCGGAATTTCCTCTTCATTAACGTGCCAGCCATCGACAGAGCCCCAGCCCAAGGAATAGCGGAAAATTACGTGGGCTGGAACACCGAACTGACAAAATCAGCGGCATCATTCGCTGCAACACATTCAGATTGCACAGTTTTGTTGTTCTCCGCTTGGGATACGTTTAACGCGCTTCTCGACGATCCTGTAGGCCATGGCTTCTGCAAAGGAGATGAGAGCAAGGCGTATAGTTCAGTGTGGACCGATATGCTGCATCCTACAAGCCGTGTGCACGACTTTGTCGCACTAGATGTGGTTGAATTTCTGAGAGAAGTAGAAAGATCAAGTTAACGTAATCGATCAGACGTCTACACGTGTCGTTGTGATCGACATTTTGATTGGACACTTGTCCTTTCCTTGCGGTCCACTCTTTCCGTCCTGTCCGTCATACTTAGCAGCCAGCAATGGCTACTCTTACCCAGCCCCCAACTGCATCGTTCCCGGCTTTGCATCTTTATCCCATTGACGACTCATTTATACCAAAACGCATCCAACTCGGTGGCGGACAGCGCGTTAAAATTGCTCGTCCGCCAAACACAAAAACTTTACCGGGCGAGCGGAACGGATACTTTGACTCCCGGGTTCTGAGCAGGTGCGCTCTGCTTCCACCTGTGTGGCAACTACCTTATATGCTATTAGACAACATGCGGAGGTCTGGGAGGAGGAAGGCAAGGTGAGTTTGTCAGCCGCGAACTGTTCTTGGTAGACGCTCAACGGAACGGAACAGATTTGGATTAAAGACATCAAAAGTGCCAATGGTACCTTCCTCAACGGCGAGAGGCTGAGCCCCGAAGGCCGGGAATCCGAACCTTGCGAGCTCAAGACGGACGATATTCTCGTATGTTTGGTTGAGACGAATGTTCTCAAGCTTAGCAATCAACAGGAATTTGGCGTGGACATTGTTTCAGAAGACAACAAGACTATCCTACACCGTAAGGTTGTCGCTCGAGTTGCGTGTATGCTCCCTGGCCAGCCCATACCCCTCACCGACCAGTACACCAATGGTCGACGCTCACAGCAAATGCCGATGATGCATCAAGGAATAGCTGGCCTTGGTGGTATGGGAGGTGGAGTCCGAGTACCTGGCCGTGGTCTCACGCTCGACCATATCTTCAGTCGCTTACAGGCAGAACTCGCCAAGAGTCGTGACACTGGTCATGACCTCCAGGTCCTGACTGGTGCCTTGAATGGGATTGAGGACACGTTGAATGGGGCATTGGTAAGTGCTCTTATTTACTCTGGCATGTTTTCGATGGAGTTCATTTCTTTCAAGCCAAATTCCGATGGGCCGCCACGTTTCCCCGATTCACTTCCGCCAGTTCGACCGCCCCCGGCAAGGTCAATGACCTTGCCAGCGCTACCAAATGTGCCCCCAGTTGAAAATAACCCTCAAGAGCAAGCAATTTCTGAGCTGCAGGCCCAGCTTAGAGAACATCAACGTGCTTTGGCAGCCCATGTCGAAAGCATTCGTGCTTTGGAGAGTGTCCTTGCCGAGCAGGAGGCTATGAAGCGGGAGGTTCAAGAATTAAGGCAGTTTGTTGGCGTCGATCGGAAAGACGAAGAAGATATCATGGCAAAAGACGACGATGATGACGATGCAAGGAGCATCGTAACTGCTGTGGCACACGACCTAACATTGGAGCGGGTGGAGGAGCTGGATGAAGTTGAAGTTGAACGGGAGGAAAATATGCGCCGAGAGCGAGCTCAGACACCTGAACCTACCTTTGAAGACCAAGACCCAGAACCGTCATCGCTTTCTCTCGGCGAACTTACTGCGCGTCTGACAACTCTAACCAATCAATTGGAAACGGCACTTGCTACCTCCAGTGAACTGCAGCAACAACATGCTTCCGCTCAGGCGACTATCCTGATCCTCGAGGAAAAACTCGCTCGCTTGGAAGCAAAAACCGAGCCCCAACCTGCCACTCCTCCTCCACCAACACCACCCGTCCCTATTACGGTCACACTGCCAAGTGCGGAGCTGGAAGAAATGCAAACCCAACTCGCAGCGATGCGAGCAGAATTGACTGCTGAGCGTGGGAGACGAGAAGCTTGGGCTGGCGCAGTCGACGAGCGAATACGGCTCGTGACCGTGAGCACATCGGTCCAAAATGGGCATATCCTAAAAAGCGAGGAAGAGATTGTCAGTCTTTCAGGCTCACCTCCGCCAGCTTACATCGCCAACGGTGTGATCAAGGCGGAAACAAGGATCGAACACCAGCAACCTCCGGTTCCTCCGATGGCGATGCAGACTGCCGTTGGCGTTCTTGTTTTGGGAATCGCCACTGCTGCTGTTCTGTGGCGAGTCAAGCCACAATAAGCCCGGTAGTGGCAACATCAAACCTACAGTATTTGCCTCGCTTATGTCTTGCGTTGGCGGGTGCTAGGATGGGAGCGACGGGACAGGCCCCTTGGTTTCTTCTGGAGAAACCGAGGTGAGTGCGTCGCCGGCTCGGTCAACCAGTGACTGCACAAACTGTCCCACGCTACGCGTTTGGGAGTGGATGGAATACCAACTAATGTCTTTCTTTTGGACGATCTCTCTCGTTTTCGATATTCTTATTTTGTATGCTCAGCTTCCAGTATCCATGTCACACTGTTACGGAGATTGCTTCCAGGTCCCCCGAAATCCCTATCAGAGTTGGTATTGTGTGCTGTGGAAACCTATCACCGACATTCATTCCAACCAATGATATGCAGACTAAATATTGACTGTAGCACTAGCCTAGTCAAAGTGTTGACGCTAATTCAAGTCAAAGCACATATATATCGGTTTCACAAGGCAAAACTTGAGACAACATGCGACACGTCCTCACCCCCACACTTGCCGCCTCCTTCGCTGGGCCAACCCGCCAGCAGCCCGCCAACCTTCGTGGACTGATCCATTCAGGCAAGATCCTCATTGGGCAGGTACTGTCGTACCCGAGCACGCAAGTGGCGCGGACGCTGGCTGCAACGGGCGCCGACTGGATCTGGATTGTGAGCAATTTGACCGCTGATAATGCATATGGTGGGTTGATGTTGGTCGGTGGTAGGACACAGAACATGTTGGCTGGTCGCCTGCGACGCTGGTGGAGTGCATCCAAATCATCAGCCACGAAAGCGCCGGCAGGATGGTACCTATTGTCCGAGTTCCGAGCAAGACCGCGTTTGACTACATGGTAAAGTGTGTTTGATTTCGGGGAGGTAGTGTTTAGCTGAGATGAACTAGGCATGGAGTCTTGATGCTGGCGCAGGCGGTGTGATTCTCCCGCACATCGAAACGACCGAGGAAATTACCGCTGCTGTGAATGCATGTCGGTTTCCGTGCGTTTCTGTGGCTTTCTTCCGTCTTCGTCATTCATCGAGAATCTTATAGCCCTGAAGGCCACCGCTCATTTCCACCCTTCACCTTCGCATGTATCTTTTCCGTCCTTCTCCTTTCGCTAAATAGTGGTCAGATCCCCGGATTGACGGACGCGACTCCCCCTGGCGAAACCGTCTACACCATCGCCAATAAACACATCGCCATCATCCCACAAGTTGAGTCGCCGGCCGGAATCGCCAACATGGACGCAATTATGGCCCTGCCTAGCGTTGACGCGGTCATGATCGGAGGTTAGTCAACACCGGATGTGATTCTTTATCTAATCTCCACGTAAAGCTGGTGATCTCCGGCTTGAACTGGGTCTCCCGGTTGGCTTCATGGGGAACGAGGCTACATTTGTCAACGCGATGGGGCGGGCATCACTCGCAGCCAAAGAACATCCACACAAGGCACTGATTGGGGCCGCACTGGGTGCGGAAATGATCGAGGAGAGGCTGAGATTGGGATTCCGGATGTTGATCACCACTATCGACTTCCATACGTTAGCGCTAAGAACAGTGGTTGATTTAAGCGCAGCGAGAGAAACAGTAGAGGCATCGCGTTATTTGAAGTAGAGCCCCATATTTATACGTTTAGTCGAGTTTGATTGTTGGCGTGGGTGGATACAGACCCAGAAGAGGTGCAGTCGCGCCGAGAGAGAGAATCGGTAAGGCGGATGCTGCTAGAATCTTTGTGACGAGGTTGTCCAGGAAGGACCGGTACCAAACCAACAGAGAGAGACTGGTCCATACGACGTCCCAACCGATTGAAGACTGGGCTGGGTGCTCGTGGAGGGTGGCCCATATGGATTGCATCACTTGTGAAAACGAAGCAGAGTCGGAGAATGCAGAAAAGCCAGCAAAGGCGGATAGAAAGATCGATACGAAGGCTATTTGTGAATATAGGGCCTGGATGGTCACTACTCCGGAGGAGCTTTTGTGGGTGGGGAAGAGAAGCGGAATCATAGTAAGCGCGTGCATGACCAGCAAATTAGGGAGGAACGTTTTGGTGTCGGTGAATGGGCTTGCTGCGACGGTGATCAGCGAGAGAACGACAGGGAGCCACAGGGTGAGTGGGGCCCTTTGTCGCGGGCCGTGCTGGCGTGGGTGAGAAGGGCTGAGAGCAAGTGCAAGGTAAAACAAATTTGACGCGACAGAGATGGCGACGAGCTGGCCTAAGAGCATATATGCCCAGACACGCTTTATGTGGTGTCGTTGGCCTGGGAGTGGATGTGAATTCAAGTATATATGAATAGTTCGACACACACCTTCTATGGCGAGGAAGACCGTCCACCCGCCAACGGTATATAAACACAGCTGCTGGCTCCACCACCAATTCACCTTGCCAAAACACACGCGTGCCCATGCTTGCTCGAATAGCGACGTGTTCAATAGCCAGCGGCTGATTCGTACGATAATGGGTGTGTCGGGATGGACTATATTACTCGCCTCGAAATCGCGAAAACTCCACTGGCATGCTATCAGTCTGGGAGAGCAGGGGGACGAAAAGAAAGCATACGGCCATGAACTTGAACATGTCTGGTATCAAAAAGGTTCAGTATTTTCTTCTCTGCTGAGACAAAACACTCACAGAACCAAGTATGCGCAAACGAGCATACTGTCAGCCCGCCAAACATGTATAAGCGATCGCTGACAGGCTTCTGAACGCGACGGGCGAGATCACGTGATATGAGCGCAAACAGGGCCCCGATAATAGCGAAGTAGCTGATGAAGACGCTGCAGGCAGCAAGCTCTGCTGGTGTGAGGAACATGGGAGGCGAAGAGGAAGTGTTGGATCGTGGGAACCTGAGGCTAGTGGCTAACGGTCACGTGCTTTAGGCGAACATTCTCACACCGTCTTATTTACGCGTTGGGTCAACCTTCCACACGCGTTTTTCGTTGCGGCTCAAATGCCTTTTTCTGCGATGCCGGTATATGGAGCGGAGCCATGTGGATCATCACTAGATGTGCGATGATGGGCGATCGAAGAATCATATGACCCCTTGTAACCAACTTCTTTGTCGTTCGATTTTTTTTTTCTTCGGCTTTTGCATGGGCCAAATTTCGAGTGAGTCTCCCTTCTCTTCGACAACGCTGATAGTGCTGGAGGTAGGCAGCCACAGGAGGCTTAGGCTAGGCACATGTCCCCCACTAATTCCTGCTGAACGGAAGCGAGGTCAACATATTACTTGAAAGTGATTGACAGGCCCACGCCGGGGCCTTACTTACTTAATACTTCGCGACGAAACGTCCACTGAAACTATAAAAAGCGGGTCGTACCATTCCCAGTCCCCAACTCTTTCTTCCCCAGAGTCCACCCACCCACCCAAAAAACTCGTTCCAAAATGCGTTTCACGGTTGCCCTTCTCGCGTTCGCTGCCACTGCCTTTGCGCAGTCATCCTCTGGCCCTGCCTCGAGCCTCCCTGTCTCTGGCGCTCCCTCTGGCACTGGGTCTGCTCCACTCCCCAGTGGCTCGGCTGACATCAGCGCCCTGACGCCCTGCATCATTGGCTGCCTCACTGCCGCTGGTCAGGCCACCGTTTGCAACACCTTGTTCGTTGTCGTTTTTTTTTCCCCTTTTTCCTTTCTTTATTGACATGAAATTGTCTAGCACAAACGTGACCTGCGTGTGCACCAACGCCGACTTCCAACAGAAGTCTGCGTCCTGTTTCCAAGGCGAGTGCAAGGCTGCTGAACTCGCCCCCGCTATGGCCCTCCAACAGTCTCAGTGCGCCGCCGGTGAGTGTCTTCCCCACACTTCTTCTTTTCTTTTCCCACGCCTTGCCGTAAAATGCGACAGACGATCCTTGTTCCCATCTTTTAACCCACTCAACTGAATGCTGATCAAATTTTTTCCCAGCCGGTCTTTCTGCGACTGCTCGTCCCACCGCCAGCGCTCCCTTCCTGCCCTCCAACCCCGCCGCTGACATTTCCCGCTCTGGTTCTCCCTCTGGCTCGGCTGCTTCCCGCGCACCCTCCAGCTCTGGCTCGGCCCCGCCCAGCGCTGCTGCCCCCCTTGCTCTCCCTGGCATGGGTCTTGTCAGCGCTGTCTCCATCGTTGCCGTCCTCATCGGAGCTGCTGCTGTCTTCTAAGCGCCCGCACTAAAAATATAACTACATATACCAGTGTTAGTCTTGTCGTGTCGTAGGAAGGACGCGTAATGAGTTTTTTTTAATGACGTGTCGAGTGTGAATCATCTGACCGCATCTTGCTTCATCACACGAGGTCGAAGGTGTCCAGTCTTGGTTTATGCTCCAGCTTGTCTCCTTTGGTATTCCCGGGGCAGCATCTGACTGCATCATCTTCACCACGTAGCCAACACGTACCTCAGACTCACCGCTCAGTCACTGTCAACGTCTGTCTGCGGCGCATAAAAGGAGTCAATGGACTCTTCAACCGCCAACAATGTCGAGCTTACTCTCCGACCTCATCCGACGCGCCTTTCCCTCTACCAACCCCGGTTTCCGAGCGGTTATGCTTGGTCTCAACGACTCTGGCAAGACAACACTGCTCTACCGAATGAAACTGGCTGGTCAGGTGATCCAGACCATCCCCTCCATCGGGTTTAACGTCGAGGACGTCGTGCTCCAGACTGGTCGTCTTGGGATTCCCCTCAAGCTCACGTGTTGGGACATTGGTGGGTGCGGCCACAGTCATTTGCTTGGGCTCTTCGCGCAGCAAGCAGACATATCTGATGCGATTATCTGGTGGGGGGTTAAACATTGCCAGTGGCTTCCATGCTTATAACCTTTCATATGCAGGCTAATCGACAGCGCGTCTGATGAGGCGTGGTTCAAAGAGAGCCTCGATGAATTTGCCCAGATCCTGCGACATCCAAATTACTCGACCCAGCAGCAACCGATCCTGGTTATCGCGACCAAACAGGACCTGCCCAACCGCCGCTCCATTGACACCATCAGGCAAAGCATCGCTCCAGTCCTCAAGAATCGTCACTGGTTTGCGGTCGATGTGACACTCGAGACGAGCCTCCTTGACGGGCCACTCGTGCGCGCTTTCGGCTGGCTGCAGGGTGCCTTGGGAGCGAGGAAAATACAACAAGAGCAGAACGAACCACCACCACCCTCACCTTCAAAAACACCCTCCGCTCTCGAAACATGGCTGATCCGCGCCGATTCTGATTCGCCTGACGACGTTTTTCTCAGGCAGTTCGAAAATCTGTTATTGCCATCGTGGGACCACTACACCCACATCCGACTGGCGTTCGTCCTCCTCGAAAAACACGGCAGACAGAAGGGCAAAGACCTGCTTTTCTCGGGCATCCAAGACTACATCACCCGTGCCCCCCGCAGTCAGACAAATGGACGCACTTTCCATGTCACTATGACATACCTATGGATCCAGCTTGTGCACTTTGGCATGCAGAGCACCCCGCCCAGCGATAAGCCCGGGGCCTTCCTCCGCTTTCTCCTCGTGAACCCATATGTCGTAGACGGGGGGCTATGGCGCGATTATTACTCCAAGGACATCATGATGAGCCCGCAGGCGAAGGAGGGGATGGTGTTGCCTGACTTGAAGCCGTTGCCTAGTTTAGTTGTCAGAGATGCGATCAAGAGTGTCAGATAAGATAAGAGTCAAAGATTAGATTAGCTTTCTGCCCCTGTCAAAAGGCACGAGTGACCGGTCCCGCAGACGATCACAGACCTGTGCATACCTATCGGCCAGGGGCGCAATGGAGGGACGAGCCAGACAGACGATTTCGTCGGACAAGAGGAGCGACATATAATTTGCCAAGTTTATAAGAACTTGAAGTGATCAGCAAGCTTACACTGACCGGAAATGCAACTTCCCCTTGAGCTCATCCAGACTGTCATCGAAGCTTTCTGGCACATGCCGTTGACTGCTGCAGACCGCACGACGTTTCTTGCATCATCTACGCTGGTCAACTCGACTTGGGCCGACACTGTCGACCAGGTATCAGCCCGCCACGTTTATCTCACCAGCCCCTTGCTGGCTGAGCATTTCTTGCAATGCGCACAGGCCTCTGCGCGACCACCATTACCGCAAATAGCACCGAGCCTATTGGGCCGCCTCTTTTCGGGGCGGACGAAGCGGCCCGAGTCCCGCCGACTGCCCACTCGCCCCGCCAACCTCGCATGTGTTGCTATCACTGTGGAGATTACCAACACTGCAACACACCCCAAACCGCCCAAGTACCTTCCGCAACTGCCAATGGGCTTCGTTCTAGACGAACTGCTCGAGCACGTTGATGCCCACTCCCTCCTACCGAACCTCCGCACTCTAGCCATCGAGTATATTGACGCTCCGTTTGAGAATGTCTTCCAGCGCTACGGATTGGCGGCATTGCCTAATCATGTGCGCGAGTTGGCAGTCAGGTGGCGCTACAGTGAGGGTATGCCAGATTGGCTGGCAAAGTCTCTCAGAGAAAAACAGGGCCCCCAGTGCCACTTCAATTGGGTCGCGGAGGGAGTGCGGAGGGTGGTTGTCGAAGGGGCAGGTGACAACGTTGTCAAGGGTCTGAAATGTGCTTGTCCAGCAGCAAAAGTGGAAGCGGTCCGTTAGAAGCTGTTCATCTACTTTACAATCGAGTTTACACCACGCGCTGTTTATATCGTTATTCAATAATTTATCACTTGCTTTCATGGAACTCACCTGCAAGATAATCCTTCACCGCCGCCGGACTCTGACTCGAAAAATCGGCCAAAGTATGACTGCAGTGGAATGTGTGCTTACCAACCCCTTGATCAACTCGTAGATACTTTTGTCGTGGTACCGCAAGCGCGTCGCCGGGTCCGTATATGGTGCCTACAATAAGATGACAAATCGACAATGGAGCCAAAAGCCACCAAGTACCTCCAGTCCGGTGATATCGCAGTAATGTCGTTGGGGAAGCAACGACGGGGGTGCCTCGATTGAGGTGTCTGCCTCTCTTGAGCACATTTCCACAAACAAATCGCTACTCACATGTCGGAAATTCTTCTTCCTCCTCTTTGTTATCCTCCCCGTCGATTTCCATGCCCTCTCCATCGGCCTGCTCACGCTCCAGCCTACGTCTCTCCCGCTCTGCCTTTTCCCGTTCGCGTTCCTGAGTCAACACTGCCTTGACGTGTTTGGCGCGCTTGGACCCTTTGCGTATGTAGTCTGGGTTCTTGAAGGGACGAGGGAAGTCGAGGAAAGAGAGTTGCTCCGCGAGACTCTGTTGCAAATAAACACGAGTAACAACGGAAGTAAGGATGCCAACGTACAGGCATCTGGGGCGTTGCGGACCCATCTGACGGTGCGGGCTTGCGCTTCGTGGACCCTTTTGGCGGCCTGTGGGCAACGAAGCGTCAGTGAGTCGAGTGTTCATACGGTCCTCGAAATTGAACCGACATGGCTGGCGGAAAGAAAGCAGCGTTGATTGACCGCGTGGGACGCCGATCATCACCTCGATTTTTTTTCCGCTCACGATCATGGTCGCCTCCAAAGGTCAGTCGAAGAAGCGGTCAGCGCCAACGCAAGGCGGGCCTAAATCCAAGAAGGCTCATCTTGAAAGACGCAGGGAAAAGCCTGCATCAGCACCAGCTGAGAAAAAACCGAAACGAAGTCGGCCAGTCACACAAGTTGTGGAGGAAGAATCGGAAGATGATGATGATGAGGGGGAGGATGTGGGTGCATTTGAGGATGTGGAAGATGGGGATGAAAACGAAGATGTAATGGAAACAGATGAGCCAAAGACCTTCAAAGATCCACAAGGTATTGATCAACTCTCTTGTTTGTCCCTCTACCACTAACATACCCACCAACAGCCTCCAAAGAAGCCCACAAGGCGCAAAAAATCCTCCACGAGCAGCGAAAAGCACTCAAACCACACTCGACACTGTTAGCTGACGCCAAACGAGTCTGGTGTCTGGCCAATGCACAGAATGTCCCACCTGCGGAGCGACAAAAGCATATCGACGACCTGATGGGCGTGATTCGGGGCCATGTGAAGGAAATCGTTTTCAAGCACGACGCGAGTAGAATTGTGCAGACGGCCGTCAAACACGGCCGTCAGAAAGAAAGGGACGAAATTGCGTTGGAGCTCAAGGGGTCGTATCTGGCGCTGGTGCAGAGCAAGTATTCCAAGGTGTGCTTACTAACAAACGTAGTATTTCACTCACTGCTGTCCAGTTCCTCGTCTCAAAACTCATCCGGTTATGTACCACTCATCGGCCCGCCATCTTGAAAGAGTTCCAAGGCCATGTGTTGCGCCTTCTCCTCCATCGAGAGGCGACGTCAGTTCTTGCTGACGCGTTTGAGCTGTATGCCAACACCTATGAGCGTGCCCTTCTCGTTCGTGATTTTTATGGCAAAGAGGCAACATTGGCCACTGTCACGAGCGGCAGCGAACAGGATAAAGAACTGGCCAAGAAAGGGCTGGCAGGGCTACTGGAAAACGCGGACAACGATCGACGACGGAGAATTTTGACGTCGCTGAAGGAGTCGTTGACGTCGATGTCAGTTTTCCTTGCATTTCCTTCTGTTTTTTTTCATCGGGTTGCAGCTTCAACAACTCAGATAAAGGCGCGATAACACATGCAGTAGTTCATCGTGTACTGTGGGAGTACATCAGCGTGGTCACCAGCCTCCCCGACGAGGCTGAATCTACCAAACATTTCCGCGAGATATTCGAATTGCAAGTTTTTTCGACAAAAGTACTGACATGATACTGAGTACGATATAGATGTCAAGACATGCTGGCAGAGCTCGTGCACACAAAAGACGGCAGCAGAGTCGTGCGGGAATTCTTGGCGCGGGGCACAGCGAAGGTCAGCTTGCAGCATCTCACTTCCAACCAACACTGAAATTATGGCAGGACCGAAAACAAATTATCAAAGTGCTCAAACCACACGTTGAGCGCATGTGTCTCGATGATGAGGCCCAAACAGTGCTCTTCACCGCCCTTGATGTCATCGAGTGTGTTTTCTTGCTTGCTTTAAACCAAGGCCAATATTTGTTTCCAGCGACACCAAGCTCCTCGTCAAAACACTCGTTCCCGAGATAACCACACCTGTCAACACCCTTGTCGAAACACCCCAAGGCCGGCGCGCCATTCTCTACCTTCTTGTCCCCCGCACGAGAAGACACTTCATCCCCGCTCAAATTGCCAGCCTCGCCGAAACTGATGCTCTCCGGGCTCAGACGAGTAAGAAGGCGGTTGACGTAAGGCAGGCGGAGGTTCGGGCCGGCGCGAGCGAGGCATTGTTGGCGTGGGTCAAGCAGAAAGGCGGGATCCTTCTGCGAGAACCCGCGGCGAGCTTGGTTGTTGCTGAGATTATGCTCTTCACCGAGGGTGGTGAGCTTTTCTTGTTCTTGTGAAAAAAAAAACTGTGTTGACACCCACCACAGACAAATCCGGCGCAAGCCAAACGCTATTACGCGCCGTTTCTGCAACATATCCTGGGGCTGACGAGACAACGACGCACCCAATCGACCTCCCACACAGCTCGAGGCTGTACAAAACCCTCTTGCAGGGCGGACACTTCAACCGCACAGCCAACTCGGTCGACCGGTCGTCAAGCTGGGACTGTGGTGCCTTTGCACGTGATTTTGTTGAGATCGTCGGCCAGGATGTGTGTGTCGCGATGTGCACGACTGGGGGCTGCAATGGGACGTTTGTCATTGCCGAGTTGTGTGGCGCGCTCGTTACCTCAGACGACGACCATTCAGCAGAGACAAGGAAAACGGTCAAGCGTTGGTTCAGCGGTAAGGTGAGGAAAACAATCGAAGCAGGGGATGCAAAAGGGAAGAAGGTGCTACTGGACAGGATAGACACATTGTAGTGAAGCAAATTTATGACCTTTCCCGCAACCTCGCCCGTCGTGAAGCCCACTTTAGCCGCTCGTCCTCTCTGGCAATGCGCTTCTTCTCCTTTTCCAATGCATCTCTAATGGCAAGTGCCTTGGCATCCAATGGGGGTAACGTGATCCGGCGGGTCGGCCCCCACGGCCGGCGCGGTGGAACAGCGAGGCCATTTGGTCCACGCGCTTTCATATCCGGCTCGACCAACTTGAGGGTCGTCATCCGGAAGAGCGAAGGGCGTCTAATGTCATCGTCGTCAGTTAGTATATGCGGCTCCTCCTTCTTCCATGCTGCCTCTTTCGACGTCCGATCCAATTGTTCTGTGCCCACGCTGCCCTTCTCTTCAAGACTCCTTCCCTTCCGGCCACGTCGGCCCGCCGCCCAATTCTTTCCCGTCCGAGGCTGTTGTGCACGGGTCCGGACATCACCCTTCGGCTGATCGATTTGATGTGCTGGTTTTTCATGGTCAATTTCGGGCATTGATATCCTCACCGGAGCCCGTTGGTCCAAGGGTGTTTGTGGCCTGGAAGAAAGGTTGTCCGTGAGGGGTTCTGGAAGCGTTGGTGGGGCCAAGGCGGGTGGTTGGGGCTCGTGATCATTATCATCATTGATCGTATCAGGGAGGAGGGACAACGCTTCTGCAGGCGGCGTCAAGTGCGGTGGGATGCCAGTCGCAGCCTCGACTTGGCTTCGCAGAAGACGATTCTGCAGCCGAAGTGCGCCAACTTCCTTCTCCAGAGCGAGCACCTTGTCGGCCTCCACGCAAACAGACTCGAGATGGGGTGTACTGGACCGGGAAGTGGAAACAACGCCTACCGCGACGGAGGATAGTGTTACGCATTCAGAGACACCGCGACTCCCGGGCCGTGACATGTGGGAAGAACCGCTAGAGCTTGAATCGGAATCAGAGTCTTTGTCAAAGACCCTTCTAAGTTGGGCATTTGGTTCATCCTCGTCAGAAGAGCTTTCCGAATCGCTTGAGCCTGGATCGGACTCGGAATCGTCTTCGAAGACACTTTTCAGTTGAGCATCTGGTCCATCAGCTAGATAGCAGAATGAGCGCGAATTGGACAGTTGAACCAAAGGCTTACCGTCAGATGCACCTGAATCTGTATCGGAATGGACATGTAGGGACTGAAGTTCGTCCTCCAAGACATCATCAACATCTTGAACGGGAGTGAGCGAAAGTATGTTACTCGAAGAAACGAATATACCATGCTCCATGTTGGTACCGTCATTCTCCATGGCATTTTCGGCATCTGAAGCATCATCAACGAGTTGTTTTAAAAGGATGGGTAAAAAGGATATACCATCACGTGTGGCCATATCTGGGAAAGCATTGTCCTTGTCCTCGATATCTAGAGCGAGTGGGTATAAATGGGACAGTAGCAAAATGTGGATATACCGCGAGTGAGGACTGGTTCCGCATTGACATTGAGATAGCCAGAGTCATAGTCCTCCAAATCTTGCCATAGTCAGTGGAATTTGGGTACTTGGTGGTAGAGAGTATACCATATTGTACATTGGCATTCTCATGCTCAGAGTTATGGTCGTCCTCAGGATCTAGAGCGTAGTTATTAGTTGACGTCTGAAAGTGTTTGGCAGCAGTATACCGTGATGCGTGACTGAACTGCTGTCACTGTTGGACTCGTCTTCGTCTTTCTCCTCTAATGCGTCTGTGCAAGGGAGTGAGTGAAAATTGACCGATGGCCGCAAAAAATCATACCACGATGGATGACTGAATCTGTATCATCATGGTTGTCGTAGTTCACATGGGCAAATAAATGCGCAATCGACAAGTGGCCCTCCTCTTTCACAGTTCTCCCCGCGACAGCCTCCAATAAGAAAACTGCCGAAGTCTCGCTTTCCTCGCTGGGGGCAATCGAAACCGAGTCAGACCCCGCGTCTGTTACAACAGGCGTGCTGACATCTACAGAGTGGCCAGAGGGCGACGAAGATAGGTGTCGTTCCATGATGTGGGCGGAGTCAGAGTCGATTGAGGATGAGACTGCATGGCATCAATATCGACACAATTCCAGAAACACCAACAAGTACCTTCTGCATCTGCATTGGCAAATAGATGCCAAAGTTCATAGCACTCCTCCTCGTCCTCTGGCTCAAAGACTTGCACTTTTGCATCGTCATCTTCGATGTATAGGACTGGTGCATTTTGAACTCCTCCGTCAGTCTGAATCACTCCATCTGATCCCCACTCCGCCTCGACCGGTAAGAACCGCGATTCAGAGACGACTGAATGTCGACTGATTACAGATCTTGACTCGACTTCTTGCGTATGTTCGAGGGACTCGAGTTTATCAGGTTCGTAGACGAAGATTTCATGGTTGACATCAGTGGGCAGCGCAAGCGCTGGTACCAATTCCTCGACAGGGGGAGGAACGATGACTTGGGCGTTGGGGCTTTGACGCAAGAACAAGAGCGTTCTACGCCAATTCGTAGCCTTGTGGTCCTGTTTACCATTAAGAAGGCTTTTAGGGTGGTGAATGCATACCTTCTTCTTCTTCGGCGTCGAAGTTGGGACCACCGAGTTTGGTATCACACTCTTGCGCCGGCCGAAGCTGACCCCTTTGAACTTGAAGCGGTTTCTTGAAGGGCTGGGAGCTGATAATGGGGTAAGTTATGGCTGTCGTTGAGCACAAGGGAAGACGCTTGCATGGGACATCGGAGGACATGTTGGTGCAAGTGTGAGTGAAGGTGGAGGAGATTAAGACATCGAGCGGAGTAGGTGGCGGCTCGTAAAGTGATACATTGTTATCGAACACAAGGCTACGCAGCTAGAACGGAAGTTTCATGCAGTTGTCGGGAAACAGCAAACACGGTCAGGTGATTGATCATAAATTTGTGGCCAAAGTATAAATAAACATTCAGTCGGGGTTACATCGTAATGGTCGGTGCGGCCGCTCCGATGGTGATTTTCCCCCAGGGACTGTTAGGGAAAGCGCCAACTCCGACGGCAGCTGGCCAAGAAGAGTCGTCAAACCCGGGCTGCTCCCAGCCTGCAGGAATCATGCCTTTAGTAGACACCCAGCTTGCGTCAGTTAGCGCAAATGCCCCAGCAATACACCCAACTCGGCCACTAGGCACCATGTTGATCTCCGCTGCAAAAATTAATCCGGCAGGTCCAGCCGCTGAGTTGGTGGCAAGGACAGCAAACACAATTTCCTCCGGGGCCGTTGCGAAGTTGATGTTGTAGTGCTGGGCAGTGTTGAAGTTCGAGCCCGTCCCGATCTTGACGCCATTCACCCAGAGTGTGTATGCATTGTCCACGGAGACTATAATACTCGCGGAAGCGGCCACCTGGCCAGGCGCAGGCGTGAATGTCCGACGAAAGGCTCTTGAGCCAGCTGGAATGGTCCCGCCCGCAGGGACAGCATCTGTCCAAATCCATTCGCCGCGGTCGAAAGAAACGACAGGAGGAGAGGCGGGAATATTGATTTCATCCCAAGGGTCGTCACCAAATGAGCCACGGACAGTAGCAACAGGCCACGTAGTGTCATCGAATGAGAGTTGTTCAAAGCCGGCTACAGTTTTATGCACGCGCCAAGAAGCATCGCTCACAAGAGTATCCGTAGTCAAGTCGGAATAAGTGAGGAGGATAGTGGCAATCATTGCTGCTTCATCGACGGTTGAGTCGGTAGCGTTCACAGCAAAAACATTGAAACTTGGTAAGAGGTCGATGCAGAACCTTTGAGCGAAACGCCCACGGATCACGGGAGTGCCGTTCCCAATAAAATCTCCGTTGACATAGAAGCTGAAGCGATTGGACGCAGTTATGACGACCTCAGCTGCAATGAGAGATTTTCCCAGCGGCGGCGTAAATCCTTTGCGAAGTCCCACGAAGCTGTTAGCGACAAAGCCCGTCTGCCAGATCCACTCTGAGTTGGAAAGCGAGATGGGAGAGGTGTCTCTCGTGGTCAGGTTCGCTTCGCTACCTGCTATTGTTCAATCATATATTTCCCTTGAACGGGTAAGGAGCATACCATGAGAGATAGTCGAGCAAATCGCTACTGGAGTCAACAGAAAAGCAAACAAAATGGCTGCAAAATTTCATTATAGAAATCTAGCGGTAGAGAGGAAAAGCCTACAGAGGAAGGGCATTAGATTCTTCTGCTCCAGACATGGCTGACTGCCGATTTATATAGGAACATCGCTCACAATTTGAAGCGCTGCTTGAATACAAGAACTCTTCGGAAAGAGTGTTGAAGCTAAGGCTATGGCAAATTTCCCGCGCATGAGCGCTTCCGGAGTCTGCTCGATGATAGGCACAGACTTTGTTAGACAGTGAAATTGCAGTGAAATCGAAGTTGAACAAACTTGAAGTGAATCTTCGAATGAACAAATAGACCGTCGTCACATCAAGGTGACGTTTGATGGGGAGGTAGCCAAGCGGCGGCAAACAAGCCAAGAAAGACGACCGATCCGACGATCGAATCGAGATCGCGATCGTGCGCGCGTGCGACGACGGTGAGGAGGCAGCGACAGCGGAGGCAAACGACGAGGCCGCGCGACGAGGCCGAAACAACCACGCGCGGCGAGGGAAGGAAGGAAGGGGGAGGGAGAGAACGGAAACAAGAACGCGGGAGGCAAACAACGGACAACGGGGGTATGTATGAGAGAGAGAATGAGGAATGAAAAGAGCAACCGGCCGTAGGCCGGGAAGAAAAATCGAATCGGGGCGGGAAGGAGGAACGGAAAAGAAGGAGGAACGTACCCCGAAAGCCCCGAAAGCAAAAGACCACCACTAGTGGCCGCACTATAGCTAGTGGCCTGATACACTGGCAGTGGCGGCATGGTCTGTTGATTGATTCGTTTGTTGATTCGTTTGAGAGAAGTGGAGATTGCTGGGTGTGGGGATTGCTGGGTGTGGGTAACAGTGGATGGGAGGCGAGAAACGGTGGGGGGAGGGGAGGCGAGGAGGAACTTAGAGAAACGCGTGTTTAGTCGGACGGACGCGGACACGACGCGACACGGTGTCGATCGGACACGGACAGCGGGACAGCGAGACGTGTAGTGAAACAAGATAACTGGATCATTAACGTATGCTGTCAGTAAGGCATGTTTGCTCGGCTGCATACAAAATGTCTTTTGACGTTCGTTCCGACTCAGACTGTCTTTCAGTGTGAATTATGTGAGTGAAAAGACATTTCTCGCCAGCCAAAATTCGCCCGAGCGAACGAGACACATGGAAAAAAAGACCTTTTTGATATATGGGGACCAACAGCCGCCCAGTCCAGTCCGGTGCCGATCCCAGCAGCAGGTGCCGTCGCTTGTGCCTCGCGTGTCTTGTTGTGCTGGGTAATGGTTGGCCTGGCCGCGTTTTTTGTGTGACTTGAACGCGTCGCGTCGCGTTTGTTTATTATCGTCAACAACCCAAAAATGCAACAACCCAAAAATGGATTGCTTATTTAAGCCCGTGACTTGACCTCTCTTTCCGACCTTGCGAACGTCCTCTCCAGCCTTGCTGCCCTCAGCAGAGCAATGCTTGGTGGAGAGGACATTTTATCGAACCCCACTCCACTCCCGTCACAGACAGCCGCCTTCCAGTCGCCTTACAACCCTTGCCTCTGACCAACTCTAGCCTGGCTCGGCTCTGGTGGAGAGGACATTTTATCGAACCCCACTCCACTCCCGTCACAGACAGCCGCCTTCCAGTCGCCTTACAACCCTTGCCTCTGACCAACTCTAGCCTGGCTCGGCTCTCATGACTCACGGGCGGGGGCGGGCATTACAGCTGCGCTCTATCCGAGTCGTTGTGGCGTTGTGGATACTCTATGGCTAAAGGTATGTCTCTTTTTCCCTTTGGTCCCCCGCCAGTTGTTCATGCTCAGACAGCACTTGCCCATCGATATTCTTGCTCGACAGCCATCATCAATGACCCTCATCCACGCATGACCCACTGCACTTCCATCATTGGTACAGCGCAAACACCTCGCCTCGGAAATCTGTGCTGGGCACTGAGCTGCGCCATAATAGGCCGTGACGACTGGGTGGACAGCTTCACATTCGCAGCCAGGGCGTGGTCGTTTTTGCCTTTCTGCTACTTCTCTGTGCTCTGTGGTGAGCCCTCTCCCTCTTTCCTTTTGTTCCTCCCATCTCCCTTCTATGCATGCCGCAAGGAGATTCGCCCTTGGATCCTGCGTGGCATGTTTTCTCTCTCTTTGTTGTTCTTTTTGTTGTGCTTAGCTGATTTTTTCCGTGTTCTTCCAGGTCTGTCCGGGACCAACTGGCTACTGTCTTTGGGAGGCCCTAATCATGCCGCAAATGTATGTACCTCCTCTTTTGCTACTTCCAACTTGCAGGGTTGACATGAATCCATTTGGCTGCAGCGCGTCGACGCTAATCATGTGATCGCCGCCATTCGATTGTCGCTACCCCTCACCCTACCCCTTGACCACTACGACCATGGGCATCAAGCAAATGTGGACGGTAAGTATCAATACTCTGCCTATATGCTATTAGAATCAATGTTTGCTTTGCAGGAACTTGCCTGCGTCGAACGAAAGGTCTCGATGATTGCCTATTCGGTCAACGCTGGATTTCTGGCAAATACAAATGGGATGCGGGCTCTTGTAGTGGGTGTTGATGCCAGGTAACGGTGTTTCGAACTATGTGAATCGCATTGCTGACTTTTCTAGTGCGTGGATGCATTGTGCTGCTGCGAACGCAAAGGCAGGCCGAGGCAACGCTAGGCAGGAGCTCTGGGCTCGTGTTGAGCAGTTTGCAACTGCTGCTGTAGTGTTGGTCTTTGTGTTCGATGGACCCCAGCGCCCGGGCTACAAGCATGGCCATCGAATCTGTCGCAACGGTCACTGGCTTTGCGGGACTTCCAGGAGATCATCGAAGCCTTTGGCTTCAAGTGGTTTATTGTAAGTGCTTTAATACTTCAAAACACATTCTCAATCCCTCACTTAGGCTGCGGGAGAGGCAGAAGCAACATTGTCAAATATGTCGGCCTGTGGTATTCCGGTTCCCATTGATGCAGTACAATCCGACGACTCAGACTGCTTCGCCTTTGGTGCCTCCAGCGTCCTACGCATGTACGTTGTTCTGTATTGAGTTCTGTTCCTGAAGAGTGATCTCATACTGTTTACAGTCGCTCAGACGATAAGAAGACCTTCAACGTTTCACAATATTCAGCAGTGGATATCAGTAGCACCCTCGGTCTATCTCGAATCGACTTCATCTTTATAGCATTGCTTGTAGGTGGTGATTATGACGTGAGCTATCTATTCAATTTGTTGTTTGTCTCGCTGACAATAGCCTTTACAGAACGGGGTTACCAATTGTGGGATTATGACTGCGATGGCTCTTGTTCGTCTGGGCTTTGGTACCAAGCTGGCAGCGGCGGTTGAAGGTCACTCACGAGATACTGCTCACTACTTGCTCTCTCGTTGGCGGGAGGAACTATGCTCCGAGCTTACCACCAACGATTCCGGACTACTGCCAAGTCGAAAAGCTACCCTTGCGCAATCACTCCCTGCTTCATTCCCCGACCTCAACCTTATCTATCTCTACCTCCAACCCATCGTTTCGGGGCCGATCAACGGCTTTGAGCTTGAGCGACAAGAGCCTCAACTCAACAAGCTTGCTCCTCTCGCTGGCGTCTTTTCACATGGGGCCATTCAATAGGCATTCTTGAACGCTTTGCCAAACGAATCCTCACCGGATTTGTTGTTTCGATACTCATTCGTTCAGCTGTATCCATCGACAAGGGTCATCTGGTTTGCGCGACCTCAAGTCCTTGGCCGCATTGTGCGTGAGCGCTCACATGCTAATACTGGCCACACGCGTGAGCTGCGTGTCCTTATTTGCATCGATTCTGGCACTATCCGAGACGCATTGCGTGATCTATCTGGCCACCGGCGGAGTTCCAATACAGCAGTAGAGCAGTGGATGGAAGGAGAGCTTGGGAAACTTCGTGTTTGGCTGTCAAAGTCTATGCTAGAGGTGATTGATCCCTCGTATGTTCTCGACTTTGTCTGCAAGCCCTCCAAGCATATTCGTTCTCTGGCTGACAAGTGTCGTGGAACAGTTCCTCATTCTTTTCATGTCGCTTACAACATGTGTCCAGCTGATAAACGCTACACTGCTATATCGATAACATATGAAGGGCATGAGGAGATTTATATAATGAGTGACTCAGGGCGAGCTCTAGATATACTCCTAACTCATCTCCTACTTTCTTTTGTCATGTCGTTTGACCTTCGCTCACCTGCGTATTCTGGTGTACATGATGCAATCGCTAAACCCGGAAGTCAGTATAATGCTGCAATAGATAGTGCAGAGGAGGAGCGGATGGAAAGGGAGCAAAAGGAGATTGAAGATGATTTGGACGGCGAACAAGAGGCCTATGGATTCCCCAGGCTACAGGATCTGAGTCTCGAGCAGGAGGAAGATGAGTCGGAAGATGACGAGGCTGATGAAGATGAAGATGCAACAGACCAAGATGAAGCGCAAATGAGCAGCTTACCCCAAAGCCATACAACAAGTCAGATTGATCTTGGGAGCATGAAGAAAGTGATTGCTGAGGCATCGAAGGGGGTTATTGAGGCTACTGATGCAAGCTATCGAAGGCAGTGAATTCATACTTTTAAGCTCAAAATGCTGATCATATACCAGGTTGATTACTCAATCGAGAAATTTATGCATGACAAAGGTTTCATTCCAGAAGGCAAACAATTTTTTTCACCCACACCAGTGGCTGACTCGGCAACGTTCCTTGTTGCCTGGATTATGAGCGAGTAAGTTGTCTTCTAAACTCTAACAGATTTATCTAAGAGCTGTAGATGTGATGATATTAACCTCGATGGAACAGCAAAACCTTCCGGGCAAGTCCATGGCTCCTACAGTCATGCCCAAAAGATGCGAGCTGCTGCCACATATGGCTTTGGTCGCATCGCTGATCTTGGTTCACGTCCATGGGAACGAGTTGATTCCTATGAAGTCTCAGGAGCAAGAACCTGGCGCTGGATGGGCAATCCTTCGGTTTCTGAAACAGTTTCACGCTACATGATTACTCTCCGAAAGAAGAAAGTACGTGCTGGAGAGGTTGCTACAAGTGCTCGTGCAATCACACCCGTATGCTTACTATTGATAACTGGGTTTGACTTGTGGCTGACACTACATTAGGAAATGCTTTACAAGCTCTATCACTTTAATAACCAGCCTGAAGTCTCACAAATCAAACCGATCACTCGGAAGTCTCGGAAATCAGCAAATCTTGATAACTGGTGTGGCGGGGCACTCGAGCCATGCTACATGCAGTCTATGTACTTGCATTTCTGTGTCTACTTCGGTTTGATGAAGCTCTCAAAATTCAGCATCAAGATATCAGACGTCTTGATGAACATAGCTTTGAGCTTACCCTTCCTTTCAGGAAAACGAGCCAATATGGAGGCAAGTTTGCTGTATTAATCTCCAAACCTCTTTTCAATAGTATTCCAGACATCAAGCCATTTGTACTCCATGAACGCTCAGAGGACGAAGCTCACATCTGTCCTGTCCGAGCCCTTGCACGTTGGATGTCAATAATTGAACATGACGATGGGTATCTTTTCCCGAACATCACTAAACGAGACCAAGTTGGTGATTTCAGATTTCCAATGGTATGTGTATTCCAACAGTTGAAAACTCTATCTTATGCTATACGGAGAAATCGGAAAGATTTCTTGAACTGTTTCGAAACAACCTGCTTGATATCGGTTGTGACCCAGTTCCATATGGAACTCACTCCTTCCGCCGTGGTGGTTGCCAATTTTTTTCAACACACAAGCGATGGAGCATTCGGAAGATTTGTGAATGGGGTGGTTGGAGTATGGATTTCTCCAACTTGACCATCGTTAAGTACTTGATCAGTTGGAACGACGATCCAACTCAAAGGCGGGAGGATTTCCTCAATCCTAATCAACAGGTCACAAAGTTCTGTCCTGCATGTGGTCGAAACTGCCCTTGTGGAATGTAGATTTTGTTGTCTTGTCTATTTAATGTATTCCTTCAAGTTCCAATTCCAATACCTTCTGATTTCAAGAGAAAATGAATGTGGATTATTGTAAGTATAACACAAATTAAGCTAGTCAATTTCGATTCCATCCCGCTTTTTCAGACGTTTGTACTCTTCTGCAATATGAGACTCGCGAGTCATCACAACACGGTCACCTTTCTGTGATGATACGTAGGAGAATACCTCGGAAAACCTGCTACCATACTCTGCCCGTGCTTGTTCCACCAACTGACGATTCCTTACTCCACGCTCCTCCCGCAGCTTCTTCAAGATGGCCGTGTAGTTCATTCGTGTGCCATTTCGGGTGAAGTCGGCCCAGAAGTCTTCCATAGTACCACGCCGATATCGTTCGACTAGAAACTGAAGTAGAATTAGCATAGAAGTAGAGATCAAGAGTCAACTCATACCTTCCACTCTGTCCACGCTGATTTATGAGCAGACCATTGACCAGTACCTTTGAATAGCCCCCGCCAATGGATAATCGCAATGTGCCGACCACGAATTTGTACCAACGATTTATCCTTCCAAAAAGGTGAGCTATCATCCCACATCTCATTCAGTAACCCGAAATCTTTGGCGAATGAGTTGGCAGGAACGCTAACGCTCATGATCTCATGGCCAGTAACGGGAAATATGGTCCCGTCCCCAAGAACCAGCGAGCGGTCCGCAGGGTATTTCATATTCGAGCTATCCAACAGGTCAGAAGCAGGGCAGTAGCATCGTACAAATTACCTTTCAGCAACGAGCATTATTGGAGGATGTACCGTGGTTGAAAGCATGTTCTGAGTTGATTCAATCCGAGACCCGACGTGGAACACAATCTGTAACATACCATTTCGATATCGTAGGTGAAGCCAGTTGAGTCAATATCCATAGGTGCTGGCGCTGGTGGAGCTGAGACAGGTTGGGGTTGTTGGGACCAATCTAAGTCATTGAATCCCCCCATGAATGTGTTGTTCGTGGCCGTAACTTGCTCATATGGTTGCGGGTTGCAGTCCCATGGTGCCGCCCTTGACGAGAGGAGAGGATAGCTAGCCGACTTTCGAGCACCTCGAGTCGTGCCGAAACGTCAGCTACCTGTCATGCATAAGTTTATCTAGTTGACACATATCCTTCGAAGACTTGACTCACCTCAGTTATAACAACGGGAACAACAGGAACGGTTGCAGGACCCTCCTGTGGAATGAATGGTTGTGCCGGAGGTGGATTCTGCTGCTGAAATGGTGGAGCTCGGTATGGTAGCCTTGCACACGTTCGTTTGGCCTGTGTGATGCATTCATTGAAGCACTTGAGCAAAACAAAGGTGACGCACCCATTCCCGCATGTCCTTCTTGTCATTCTCTGTGCGATTGTCCTTAGAACGCTCTGTAACACGTTCGGTATCGATGATGTTGGCACGACGAGTGTCGGACAGCTTGGTTTTGGTCTTCTTGGTATCTTCACGTGGTCCCTTGTGTGCACGCAGAGCGGAAGCCTCTCTTTCCTTTGCGACTGAATAGAGTACACATAAGAATGAGAATGAGGGGCAGAGAAAAAGAAAAGTCGCACCAGTTGGCAGGATCAGCACAGTATTGGATGCTGAATTCTTGGAGGCGCTTCTCGAGAATAGGCTTGTTTCCGGTGAACGGGAGGTTGTATACGCGAAGGAGCTCTTGAAGCTCGTTCTTGGACTTGCCGGCCCTGGAAATTTGCCAACGATGAGGTATAATGAGAAGGAGTCAAGATATAGACACTCACAGACTGTGTTTTTCGCTGCCATTACCCTCCCTGGCCGGAAACAGAAATGCATTGCATTTTGCAGCAGCAGCAATCTCCTCCTCCGAAATTGAGGCTGGCATCGAAGTGGCTTGGGTGGCTTGGATGGATACGACGATGACCCGGGCCAGGGGCCAGAAGCAGGCAGCGAGGGCAACGGCAGAGAGCGTGAGTGGCGAAGAACGAGCGGCGGCTAAGACAGTGGTGGTGGTGGTAGAGAGGTGACTAGCGGTAGTGGTGACAGCGTCAAGGCCAGCAACGGCGATCGACGAAACGGCGGCAACACTGGAATAACATAACTTGCGTTAACGCGTATACGCAAGCCAAGTGAGAGGGAACGTCAAAAAACGAAGAAGCGGTGCAGCTGATGCCATCATCAAAAAACGGTCAGAATTGACGGCATACGCTTGAGCGTGACAGGACCGTCTTTCCGCCGAGAGAAGTGAATCTTCGAATGAACAAATAGACCGTCGTCACATCAAGGTGACGTTTGATGGGGAGGTAGCCAAGCGGCGGCAAACAAGCCAAGAAAGACGACCGATCCGACGATCGATCAGATCGAGATCGCGATCGTGCGCGTCGGCGACGACGGTGAGGAGGCAGCGACAGCGGAGGCAAAACGACGAGGCCGCGCGACGAGGCCGAAACAACCACGCGCGGCGAGGGAAGGAAGGAAGGGGAGGGAGAGAACGGAAACAAGAACGCGGGAGGCAAACAACGGACAACGGGGGTATGTATGAGAGAGAGAATGAGGAATGAAAAGAGCAACCGGCCGTAGGCCAGAAAAAAAATCGAATCGGGCGGGAAGGAGGAACGGAAAAGAAGGAGGAACGCACCGAAAGCCCCGAAAGCAAAAGACCACCACTAGTGGCCGCACTATAGCTAGTGGCCTGATACACTGGCAGTGGCGGCATGGTCTGTTGATTGATTCGTTTGTTGATTCGTTTGAGAGAAGTGGAGATTGCTGGGTGTGGGGATTGCTGGGTGTGGGTAACAGTGGATGGGAGGCGAGAAACGGTGGGGGGAGGGGAGGCGAGGAGGAACTTAGAGAAACGCGTGTTTAGTCGGACGGACGCGGACACGACGCGACACGGTGTCGATCGGACACGGACAGCGGGACAGCGAGACGTGTAGTGAAACAAGATAACTGGATCATTAACGTATGCTGTCAGTAAGGCATGTTTGCTCGGCTGCATACAAAATGTCTTTTGACGTTCGTTCCGACTCAGACTGTCTTTCAGTGTGAATTATGTGAGTGAAAAGACATTTCTCGCCAGCCAAAATTCGCCGAGCGAACGAGACACATGGAAAAAAAGACCTTTTTGATATATGGGGACCAACAGCCGCCCAGTCCAGTCCGGTGCCGATCCCAGCAGCAGGTGCCGTCGCTTGTGCCCTCGCGTGTCTTGTTGTGCTGGGTAATGGTTGGCCTGGCCTGGCGTTTTTTTGTGACTTGAACGTCGCGTCGCGTTTGTTTATTATCGTCAACAACCCAAAAATGCAACAACCCAAAAATGGATTGCTTATTTAAGCCCGTGACTTGACCTCTCTTTCCGACCTTGCGAACGTCCTCTCCAGCCTTGCTGCCCTCAGCAGAGCAATGCTTGGTGGAGAGGACATTTTATCGAACCCCACTCCACTCCCGTCACAGACAGCCGCCTTCCAGTCGCCTTACAACCCTTGCCTCTGACCAACTCTAGCCTGGCTCGGCTCTGGTGGAGAGGACATTTTATCGAACCCCACTCCACTCCCGTCACAGACAGCCGCCTTCCAGTCGCCTTACAACCCTTGCCTCTGACCAACTCTAGCCTGGCTCGGCTCTCATGACTCACGGGCGGGGGCGGGCATTACAGCTGCGCTCTATCCGAGTCGTTGTGGCGTTGTGGATACTCTATGGCTAAAGGTATGTCTCTTTTTCCCTTTGGTCCCCCGCCAGTTGTTCATGCTCAGACAGCACTTGCCCATCGATATTCTTGCTCGACAGCCATCATCAATGACCCTCATCCACGCATGACCCACTGCACTTCCATCATTGGTACAGCGCAAACACCTCGCCTCGGAAATCTGTGCTGGGCACTGAGCTGCGCCATAATAGGCCGTGACGACTGGGTGGACAGCTTCACATTCGGCCATGGCGCGTGGTCGTTTTTGCCTTTCGCTACTTCTCTGTGCTCTGTGGTGAGCCCTCTCCCTCTTTCCTTTTGTTCCTCCCATCTCCCTTCTATGCATGCCGCAAGGAGATTCGCCCTTGGATCCTGCGTGGCATGTTTTCTCTCTCTTTGTTGTTCTTTTTTGTTGTGCTTAGCTGATTTTTTTCCGTGTTCTTCCAGGTCTGTCCGGGACCAACTGGCTACTGTCTTTGGGAGGCCCTAATCATGCCGCAAATGTATGTACCTCCTCTTTTGCTACTTCCAACTTGCAGGGTTGACATGAATCCATTTTGGCTGCAGCGTCGACGCTAATCATGTGATCGCCGCCATTCGATTGTCGCTACCCCTCACCCTACCCCTTGACCACTACGACCATGGGCATCAAGCAAATGTGGACGGTAAGTATCAATACTCTGCCTATATGCTATTAGAATCAATGTTTGCTTTGCAGGAACTTGCCTGCGTCGAACGAAAGGTCTCGATGATTGCCTATTCGGTCAACGCTGGATTTCTGGCAAATACAAATGGGATGCGGGCTCTTGTAGTGGGTGTTGATGCCAGGTAACGGGTGTTTGAACTATGTGAATCGCATTGCTGACTTTTCTAGTGCGTGGATGCATTGTGCTGCTGCGAACGCAAAGGCAGGCCGAGGCAACGCTAGGCAGGAGCTCTGGGCTCGTGTTGAGCAGTTTGCAACTGCTGCTGTAGTGTTGGTCTTTGTGTTCGATGGACCCCAGCGCCCGGGCTACAAGCATGGCCATCGAATCTGTCGCAACGGTCACTGGCTTTCGCGGGACTTCCAGGAGATCATCGAAGCCTTTGGCTTCAAGTGGTTTATTGTAAGTGCTTTAATACTTCAAAAACACATTCTCAATCCCTCACTTAGGCTGCGGGAGAGGCAGAAGCAACATTGTCAAATATGTCGGCCTGTGGTATTCCGGTTCCCATTGATGCAGTACAATCCGACGACTCAGACTGCTTCGCCTTTGGTGCCTCCAGCGTCCTACGCATGTACGTTGTTCTGTATTGAGTTCTGTTCCTGAAGAGTGATCTCATACTGTTTACAGTCGCTCAGACGATAAGAAGACCTTCAACGTTTCACAATATTCAGCAGTGGATATCAGTAGCACCCTCGGTCTATCTCGAATCGACTTCATCTTTATAGCATTGCTTGTAGGTGGTGATTATGACGTGAGCTATCTATTCAATTTGTTGTTTGTCTCGCTGACAATAGCCTTTACAGAACGGGGTTACCAATTGTGGGATTATGACTGCGATGGCTCTTGTTCGTCTGGGCTTTGGTACCAAGCTGGCAGCGGCGGTTGAAGGTCACTCACGAGATACTGCTCACTACTTGCTCTCTCGTTGGCGGGAGGAACTATGCTCCGAGCTTACCACCAACGATTCCGGACTACTGCCAAGTCGAAAAGCTACCCTTGCGCAATCACTCCCTGCTTCATTCCCCGACCTCAACCTTATCTATCTCTACCTCCAACCCATCGTTTCGGGGCCGATCAACGGCTTTGAGCTTGAGCGACAAGAGCCTCAACTCAACAAGCTTGCTCCTCTCGCTGAGCGTCTTTTCACATGGGGCCATTCAATAGGCATTCTTGAACGCTTTGCCAAACGAATCCTCACCGGATTTGTTGTTTCGATACTCATTCGTTCAGCTGTATCCATCGACAAGGGTCATCTGGTTGCGCGACCTCAAGTCCTTGGCCGCATTGTGCGTGAGCGCTCACATGCTAATACTGGCCACACGCGTGAGCTGCGTGTCCTTATTTGCATCGATTCTGGCACTATCCGAGACGCATTGCGTGATCTATCTGGCCACCGGCGGAGTTCCAATACAGCAGTAGAGCAGTGGATGGAAGGAGAGCTTGGGAAACTTCGTGTTTGGCTGTCAAAGTCTATGCTAGAGGTGATTGATCCCTCGTATGTTCTCGACTTTGTCTGCAAGCCCTCCAAGCATATTCGTTCTCTGGCTGACAAGTGTACGTGGAACAGTTCCTCATTCTTTTCATGTCGCTTACAACATGTGTCCAGCTGATAAACGCTACACTGCTATATCGATAACATATGAAGGGCATGAGGAGATTTATATAATGAGTGACTCCGAGGGCGAGCTCTAGATATACTCCTAACTCATCTCCTACTTTCTTTTGTCATGTCGTTTGACCTTCGCTCACCTGCGTATTCTGGTGTACATGATGCAATCGCTAAACCCGGAAGTCAGTATAATGCTGCAATAGATAGTGCAGAGGAGGAGCGGATGGAAAGGGAGCAAAAGGAGATTGAAGATGATTTGGACGGCGAACAAGAGGCCTATGGATTCCCCAGGCTACAGGATCTGAGTCTCGAGCAGGAGGAAGATGAGTCGGAAGATGACGAGGCTGATGAAGATGAAGATGCAACAGACCAAGATGAAGCGCAAATGAGCAGCTTACCCCAAAGCCATACAACAAGTCAGATTGATCTTGGGAGCATGAAGAAAGTGATTGCTGAGGCATCGAAGGGGGTTATTGAGGCTACTGATGCAAGCTATCGAAGGCAGTGAATTCATACTTTTAAGCTCAAAATGCTGATCATATACCAGGTTGATTACTCAATGCGAGAAATTTATGCATGACAAAGGTTTCATTCCAGAAGGCAAACAATTTTTTTCACCCACACCAGTGGCTGACTCGGCAACGTTCCTTGTTGCCTGGATTATGAGCGAGTAAGTTGTCTTCTAAACTCTAACAGATTTATCTAAGAGCTGTAGATGTGATGATATTAACCTCGATGGAACAGCAAAACCTTCCGGGCAAGTCCATGGCTCCTACAGTCATGCCCAAAAGATGCGAGCTGCTGCCACATATGGCTTTGGTCGCATCGCTGATCTTGGTTCACGTCCATGGGAACGAGTTGATTCCTATGAAGTCTCAGGAGCAAGAACCTGGCGCTGGATGGGCAATCCTTCGGTTTCTGAAACAGTTTCACGCTACATGATTACTCTCCGAAAGAAGAAAATACGTGCTGGAGAGGTTGCTACAAGTGCTCGTGCAATCACACCCGTATGCTTACTATTGATAACTGGGTTTGACTTGTGGCTGACACTACATTAGGAAATGCTTTACAAGCTCTATCACTTTAATAACCAGCCTGAAGTCTCACAAATCAAACCGATCACTCGGAAGTCTCGGAAATCAGCAAATCTTGATAACTGGTGTGGCGGGCGCACTCGAGCCATGCTACATGCAGTCTATGTACTTGCATTTCTGTGTCTACTTCGGTTTGATGAAGCTCTCAAAATTCAGCATCAAGATATCAGACGTCTTGATGAACATAGCTTTGAGCTTACCCTTCCTTTCAGGAAAACGAGCCAATATGGAGGCAAGTTTGCTGTATTAATCTCCAAACCTCTTTTCAATAGTATTCCAGACATCAAGCCATTTTGTACTCCATGAACGCTCAGAGGACGAAGCTCACATCTGTCCTGTCCGAGCCCTTGCACGTTGGATGTCAATAATTGAACATGACGATGGGTATCTTTTCCCGAACATCACTAAACGAGACCAAGTTGGTGATTTCAGATTTCCAATGGTATGTGTATTCCAACAGTTGAAAACTCTATCTTATGCTATACGGAGAAATCGGAAAGATTTCTTGAACTGTTTCGAAACAACCTGCTTGATATCGGTTGTGACCCAGTTCCATATGGAACTCACTCCTTCCGCCGTGGTGGTTGCCAATTTTTTTCAACACACAAGCGATGGAGCATTCGGAAGATTTGTGAATGGGGTGGTTGGAGTATGGATTTCTCCAACTTGACCATCGTTAAGTACTTGATCAGTTGGAACGACGATCCAACTCAAAGGCGGGAGGATTTCCTCAATCCTAATCAACAGGTCACAAAGTTCTGTCCTGCATGTGGTCGAAACTGCCCTTGTGGAATGTAGATTTTGTTGTCTTGTCTATTTAATGTATTCCTTCAAGTTCCAATTCCAATACCTTCTGATTTCAAGAGAAAATGAATGTGGATTATTGTAAGTATAACACAAATTAAGCTAGTCAATTTCGATTCCATCCCGCTTTTTCAGACGTTTGTACTCTTCTGCAATATGAGACTCATGAGTCATCACAACACGGTCACCTTTCTGTGATGATACGTAGGAGAATACCTCGGAAAACCTGCTACCATACTCTGCCCGTGCTTGTTCCACCAACTGACGATTCCTTACTCCACGCTCCTCCCGCAGCTTCTTCAAGATGGCCGTGTAGTTCATTCGTGTGCCATTTCGGGTGAAGTCGGCCCAGAAGTCTTCCATAGTACCACGCCGATATCGTTCGACTAGAAACTGAAGTAGAATTAGCATAGAAGTAGAGATCAAGAGTCAACTCATACCTTCCACTCTGTCCACGCTGATTTATGAGCAGACCATTGACCAGTACCTTTGAATAGCCCCCGCCAATGGATAATCGCAATGTGCCGACCACGAATTTGTACCAACGATTTATCCTTCCAAAAAGGTGAGCTATCATCCCACATCTCATTCAGTAACCCGAAATCTTTGGCGAATGAGTTGGCAGGAACGCTAACGCTCATGATCTCATCAGGCCAGTAACGGGAAATATGGTCCCGTCCCCAAGAACCAGCGAGCGGTCCGCAGGGTATTTCATATTCGAGCTATCCAACAGGTCAGAAGCAGGGCAGTAGCATCGTACAAATTACCTTTCAGCAACGAGCATTATTGGAGGATGTACCGTGGTTGAAAGCATGTTCTGAGTTGATTCAATCCGAGACCCGACGTGGAACACAATCTGTAACATACCATTTCGATATCGTAGGTGAAGCCAGTTGAGTCAATATCCATAGGTGCTGGCGCTGGTGGAGCTGAGACAGGTTGGGGTTGTTGGGACCAATCTAAGTCATTGAATCCCCCCATGAATGTGTTGTTCGTGGCCGTAACTTGCTCATATGGTTGCGGGTTGCAGTCCCATGGTGCCGCCCTTGACGAGGAGAGGATAGCTAGCCGACTTTCGAGCACCTCGAGTCGTGCCGAAACGTCAGCTACCTGTCATGCATAAGTTTATCTAGTTGACACATATCCTTCGAAGACTTGACTCACCTCAGTTATAACAACGGGAACAACAGGAACGGTTGCAGGACCCTCCTGTGGAATGAATGGTTGTGCCGGAGGTGGATTCTGCTGCTGAAATGGTGGAGCTCGGTATGGTAGCCTTGCACACGTTCGTTTGGCCTGTGTGATGCATTCATTGAAGCACTTGAGCAAAACAAAGGTGACGCACCCATTCCCGCATGTCCTTCTTGTCATTCTCTGTGCGATTGTCCTTAGAACGCTCTGTAACACGTTCGGTATCGATGATGTTGGCACGACGAGTGTCGGACAGCTTGGTTTTGGTCTTCTTGGTATCTTCACGTGGTCCCTTGTGTGCACGCAGAGCGGAAGCTCTCTTTCCTTTGCGACTGAATAGAGTACACATAAGAATGAGAATGAGGGGCAGAGAAAAAGAAAAGTCGCACCAGTTGGCAGGATCAGCACAGTATTGGATGCTGAATTCTTGGAGGCGCTTCTCGAGAATAGGCTTGTTTCCGGTGAACGGGAGGTTGTATACGCGAAGGAGCTCTTGAAGCTCGTTCTTGGACTTGCCGGCCCTGGAAATTTGCCAACGATGAGGTATAATGAGAAGGAGTCAAGATATAGACACTCACAGACTGTGTTTTTCGCTGCCATTACCCTCCCTGGCCGGAAACAGAAATGCATTGCATTTTGCAGCAGCAGCAATCTCCTCCTCCGAAATTGAGGCTGGCATCGAAGTGGCTTGGGTGGCTTGGATGGATACGACGATGACCCGGGCCAGGGGCCAGAAGCAGGCAGCGAGGGCAACGGCAGAGAGCGTGAGTGGCGAAGAACGAGCGGCGGCTAAGACAGTGGTGGTGGTGGTAGAGAGGTGACTAGCGGTAGTGGTGACAGCGTCAAGGCCAGCAACGGCGATCGACGAAACGGCGGCAACACTGGAATAACATAACTTTGCGTTAACGCGTATACGCAAGCCAAGTGAGAGGGAACGTCAAAAAACGAAGAAGCGGTGCAGCTGATGCCATCATCAAAAAACGGTCAGAATTGACGGCATACGCTTGAGCGTGACAGGACCGTCTTTCCGCCGAGAGAAGTTGCAGACACTGGCGCCGTGACACAAGAGATCACGCGGTGTGACTACCCATCATTTGACGACCAACTTGAAGACCGTTTTCGCTGGACTCGCCCTAGGACTTACAAGTGACTTCTCATAATACTTGTCTCATCTTAACACTATGTAACGAAACCGCCAGAAAACCAGAGCCACCTCTTCATTCTCTTGACGCGATTTGAACCCGCATCAAGTGTTGATTCCGAAACCATTTCTTTTGTCCTCCTCTCTCAATGACTCTCATGACGTTTGGTTTGGTCATTTCGGCGACTGCATCCGAGTCTCTCCCAACGGAATGTGCATTAAACCGGTGGGCTTCCTTTCTTCATCACTTTTGACCCTTCATTCTAAGTTGCTTAGATTCAGAAGAACCGTCAAGGCGCTTCTCCTATCACCCAGTTGCTGCTCATCGGATATAATGTTCGTGTATTCATACTTACTGTTCGCAATGATCAATATCACAACTGGCAGATCTGGACCATCTGGTGACATTGTTGTCCTCGAAAGCGGCGCTCAGTATTTTAGCTCGGCACAATGTGAGCTGAATATGTAAACACAGAAAATCGCCTCTCTTTTGTTCTTCCATGACATGCTGCTCTACGGATTCGTCATTCCTTTAATCCACTTTCTTGCACGGGCCCATTCCGTGACCGCAATTGGCGTATGTTCCAATTTGACCTATCGCACTGTAGCCAACAAGGTTTCAGGTCCTGCTTCCATTATACGTCTACCCAGGCACCAACTGTGCAGCTTGGAGCGCTGTCAACAGCGCGTATGTTTGTTCCACAGCCTGGTTCCCCCTCTGAGCTCCTTCCTTCAGCATCTCTAGTCATATCTCAACACAATGGTACATTATCATCAATCCCAACTCCGGCCCCGGGAATACCGACACACTTTACCAAGGATGTGTGGCCTCTCTTGCTTCCTCCAACAACCGGATAACCATGGGGTACATTAACACGCGCGGAAGTAATGTCGAAGACGACATCAATAAATATGCAAATTGGCCAGTGAACGCGCGTCCGAAAGGGATTTACTTCGACTTCATCAGCCCTACTTCAGATAACCTCAATATGTACACGAAATATGTGTCATTCGCAAGGGGGAAAGGCTTCTCGTTCGTTCGTGTTTCATTCGTCGTCTCATTCTTCCCTAAACTCAGAGTGTAGATTGGTTTGGACTCTGGGCAGAATGTCCCTGACGGCTACCTTGCCCTCGGAAATCTCATCAACACATATCAGGCGTCGTACTCTTCATTCCAGGCTTCGTCGCTCACCGGTTCGCTCTCCAAACAGTCGATAACTCTGGAGAATGCACCAGCCTCAGACTCCTACAGCACTATTATCAAGCAGCTGGATAGTATGGGCGTCGCTGCTGTGTATATCACAAACGAGGGCGATTCCAGTCAAGCAATTCCCGCTCGTTTCAGCGCATTTGTTGACGAAGTTGCGAATCCTGGCGTATGGGTGGTTAAATTCTTCTGTGGTTCTGTTGACATTGCTTTCTAGACTTCTTTCGGTGGCAACCCCCCTCCTGTAAATCCCGCAGCTCCAACGACGTCAGGCAACAACAACAACAGCAATCCGCCTCCAAATTCATCGAATCCCGTTCCCACACAACCACCCTCCCATATTAGCCTTAGCTCACCCTCGACTACGCCGAAGGGCACTGAAAATTCTGGTCCCTCCCAACTTGAAGATGTGAGTAGCCATCGTTCCACGAACCCCCCACTGAAATACGAAAATTCAACCAGGCTGCATCCAGGTCTTCGACGGCGAATGCGCCCGGCAAGACGTTCAAATCCGATTCGCCCGGCTCATCGCCAGATGAGAACTCCAATCAAGATGGAGGTAATACGGGCTCTGGTTTGACAGCAACCCACCACAGTCCACCGGTGGCTGCTATTGTTGGAGGAATTCTCGGTGCCGCTGTGGTGATCCTTTGTCTATTCCTTGTTGCACTTTATCTGCGCCGGCGAAAAGGACGGTTTGAGGGTAAGGCTGCGCTCTTATTGTCTACCCGACCACTGATATTTGCCAGAATCTGGGTCTCCTCGCAATATTGCTCCCTTTACTACGGAACCGCGCCGTCAGATGTCAATAATTACAGACACCGTCACGGATGGTGTGTTTACCAACCGAGGCTCAGTTACACCAGACACCAGCCCGGAGGAATCGTCAGCAGGAGCGCCTATGCCGCCTTCGCGTCGTTATCAAACCCAACAGTGGACTGCGGACATCAAGCAACCCATTCCCGAGGATGCCGCCTCAGCCAGCTATCTCCCTAGCTCATCTGCTCAACTACCATCAAGACCCGAATCTAGCGACCCCTTCGCTGATCTTGAAGCAGCCACGGTACAAACCCCAACACGAACCTCTTTCATTTCCGCATTTTCCGCCTACACCGCATTGAGTGGTTCGACTATCCCGGCCTATCCCGGTGCCAACACGAATAGTGCGACCACGCGTGATTCAATGCCGCCACCCGCCTATGCTTAATACCATGGTTTTAATTCAACCAGGACTGTTTGGTTTCGCACTTGACATGATCGTTATAGGGCTATACATCGGTATGCGGTACTGTGCTTTAGAAAGTCTGGTAATGAATTCAGAGAAATTTGCGCTTCTATGGGCAGTGAGAGATGGCTCATGAGTCATCATACGCAGGTGGTGGCAACGACTCGCGCTGAGCAACATAAACAGGAACCGTGATCCCAGTCCCAGCGATCGAAATCGCAGACAATGATGAGTTCCGCTCTCTGATTAGAGCGGAATCAGTAGTTAGCTCAGTAGGTTGGCGGGTCGAGGTATCTGCATCCCCCGAGAATGGGGTTTTGACATCCAAGGCTCTGTGTTGGGTGGCCCATTGGCGGGAGGGCGGTATCACATCACCGACAGATGACTGTTCCTGGCCGATGGTCATCTCTTCGGAGATGGTTATTGGCGGCAAGTTTGAACGGCCAACTTGGGTGAACGGCAGAACAGCAGATTCGGGTGAGGCTGCAGGGGAGAGTAAGCAATCGTGACGACGGAGTCAGATAGAGAATGTACTGGTGTTAAGACGCCTCTTGCGTCTGCGAATACGCATGACAAGAAGAATGAGACCCAGTAGCACAACCATAGTACCAAGTATTCCGCCCACAATGGCGCTGGTCGATGAGCCATGGCGGCGCGATGTCCCAGAGTTCGAGTTTGCACCACTGCCTGACGAGGAGTCCGGATGACTGCCACTGGTAACAGTTGAAGCAGAGGAGAACGCAGTACCAAAATTCTTGTCAAAATGTCAATTGTGAGATCAAGTTTGACTACGAGATATACCTACGCCAGCAGTAGAGTGTGTTCCGCTATCCTTGGAGTTGATACCGCTTATAGATGGCGATACGGGGTTGGAAGAAACTGGCTGAGGGACTGTGCTGGGCGAGGTCGGTGGCAAGCTACTGTTCGGATCAGAACCAGGCAAAGATCCACTCGGCGAAGAGCCTGAGCCTCCAGAAGATTCGGATGTTGACTGACAGAAAGACATTAGTATGTAAAAGACAACAAAAGAAATGTATTACCCCCGTATTAGCCACCTCGCTAACAAACTGGTTCAACTGAGAGGGAAGCGCCTGGTTGGTATCATCCTCATTGGTGATATAAACAGCAGCAACACCCATACTGCTGAGCTGGTCGATGACCGTGCTGTACGACCCCGAAGACGGCGCATTCTCGAGGTTCACGGATTGTTTGGAAAGTGCACCAGTGAGGGAAGAGGGTGTGAAGGAAGTATAAGACGATTCGTATGTATTCACGAGGTCTCCCAGTGCAATGTAGGAGTCGGATACTGTTTGCCCTGGGTCTAGGCCGATCTGAAGCGAATAAAAAACGTCAGGAAAGCATCAATACAGACCTCGACGACGTACGAAAGAGAAGCCTTTGCTCCTCGCATATGACACGAGACTCGTATATGTGTTGAGATTGCCTGAGGTGGGGCTGATGGGATCGAAGTAAATTCCTGTCGGACGTGCATTGGAGGGCCAACTCGCATAGGTGTCGATATCTCTTTGAACATTTCCTCGGGTGTCGACGTATCCCAAAGTTACTCGATTCTTTGCTGGAGAAAGAGCAGCTACACAATTCTGATAGAGCGTATCCGGTTTGCCAGGTCCCGAGTCCGGGTTAATAATAATGTACCACTGGGTTGATGAGTGTGTTGAAATCCTTAGAGACAATCGAAAATTAATTAGGCCAAGTCAAACAGTAAGCTTACGCGCTGTTAACAGAGTTCCATGCAGCGCAGTTGTTGCCTGGATAGACGTAGAGCGGAAGGAGGACCTATTTTCGAGTGAATACGAAATTGCAGCATATCGAGGGTAGCTCACGCCAAGTGAGAGGGTTCGCGTAGCCCATGAAAGGCAAGTTAAAAGAACGAGGAGGCCATGGAGAGTCATGGCATGAGGGATAAGAAGGGAAAGGCTTTATGGTAGTTTCCGGGATCATATCAGTTCGAAGTTGACACCAACGATCTTAAGATATGTTTAACACCCGGGGAGAGGCCGCAGAATGCATGCTCAACGGGAACGGGCAGTGTGAACATCTGAGTGGCTTAGTGATTGCCCTCGAAAGTCAGGCAGTACTGTAGAAATATCGCATCAGGGGCCCTTTCCGCGAGAGAGAGTCTGCTCGACGCACATTTATTTCGTCATTTTCCCACTCCAAGGTCCGCCATCTGCCAACCCCCCGTAAGCCTGGTGCACACACATTATCACTGAATTGAGTTTGCCAGAGCTGGAGGCTTCGAATGGTGATCAAGTCCAAAGAGATTACAGTAGCTTGCCACAGTACGGAAGCAAAAGGAGACCAAACCCAGTGCTGTACAAACGGCCGTCCAAATCGGGCGAATGGCCCCAAAACGGCCCCTTTTTTGATTTTGCCTGAAGGGACATTTGATTTGTGACTGAAGGTGCCTATATTCGTACCTGAAGGCACTTAAATTTGCACCTGAGGTCTCAATATTCATGCCTATAGGCATCATTCATTCTTGCCTGAAGGCATCTTGCAATTTATACCTGAAGGGACTTATAATTGTGCCTGAAGGATAAAAAAACTTGACTATAGGCATTTTCATTGTATAAGTACCTCTGGGGACTTGATGGTGATGTGTTCCAAAAAAGGCAATTTAAATAACATGTCATTTCAACTCATTTAAGCCACTCTCTGCTCATAACACAATGTATCTCATGAAGGGATAATTCATTAAGTTGTATCAAACTGGTTAAAAATGTCCTCAATTAATTACAGCTTGATTTTCTTAGATCATCATATACATCAGTGATGCCAAAGTACAAACCATTTATACCGATCCTGTAGCATCTTGCTCTTGTTGCTTTTAATGCTGTTTCTCTGTTATTTGGTGACTTGCCTATAGTGCTTTGCTTCAGGATTTTGAACTGTAGCCTTTTTTTTATATTACAAGTAACTTGAATTCATCTCAGTTTCTTCAAGTAATGATAGGCCTGAGGGCATTTTTATTTGCTACTGAAGGGAAAGAACAAAACTCACTGCAGGAACAAGAATGAACTGTCCTACAGTGACCAGAACTTACACTGAAGGGGCAAAACATAATGTACTGTAGGTTCAATGCACTTGCACCTGAGGGAACAGAAATTGTGCCTCCAGGCATGAAATTGAATGCCTGAGGGAGCATAAAATATTGCCCTCGGGCACGATATTTCGTCCCTGAGGGCGCATTGGATTTTGCCCGAAGGCAACTTTTTTGTCACTGGGCCGTTTTGGGGCCGGCCCATCAATGGGCCGTGACTCGTACAGCACCAGTGGCTATCTGAGCAAAAGAGGATCGGTCACACTCCGCGTCACAACTGGCGATGTGCGGGTCCCTTTCAAAGACTCCATTAGTACTACTAGTAGTCACTCGCGGCGCTTTTGACTCCTCCAATAAACATACGTACCCGTTTTCTATACCCCGCCGCAAGTCAGCAATGAGAAATATCAGTAATCCAGCGATTCTAGCCCTCAAGTATCGTAAATACCAGTACAACTTTCGCGGAATCCAACTGAACAGTATAGCCGTGCCTCGATCACGAGTAAGCTCAACTGACTTACATATAGTGCTACGACTTGTTATGTAACTTGCTGCCTGTTCGTAAACGCCTACGTCTTTGTCTTTGGCCAATCTTTGGCCACTTGAAGGCAAGCATCTAATTTGACTCGGGATTATATCTCAGTCTTTTTCTAGCTCTTTGAGGTCCAGGGCCCGAGGTGAGCTATCTTATTTGGGTTGTTCACCTCATCTTCTGGACGGCCGCAGGAATGTCTTATGTCACTTTCATTGAGCTCTTCGCGACTCTTGTGGTAAAAGTGGACGTGTAGCACTAAGCAAATATGGGACACCATCATCCACTGCTGTCTAGAGCTTCCGCCATGATACCGCATCCATGTGTCCTCTCTTGGTTACCGTCAACTGAGTCGCCCGACATGGCGACACCACACCCTGACATTGACAAGACTTTCGCCTCCAACGAGTCCCGGTGTGGACATCAACATGCTTGGGTCATGCACTAGTCGGATCGGCACACATGGGACGGCCTCCGCCCAGAGAAAGTCAGGCAAATTCCTTTGCCCTTGATTTTCCTTTCACCGTTGTGCTCGGTCGGTACCTCTTCATATGCTTGAGCTCGGTGGTTGCTCGAGCGCTCATTATCGAACACCGTTTGAACTGAAGGAAGCCCTTCGTCGCGATCGAGAAGGTCTTTTACTTATGTAAGTATGATCGACGTAACCGACATCTTGGGTGGCATCGCCACAGCTCTGGCTGTTTATGAGCGTGGATCGTCAACAGCTGGGCTTTCTGTTCCCCTTGACGCTCTCCGACACTGGACACGCTCTTTTTCTATCTTTCTGTTTTTCCCGGCTCTGCCGGCCGTGTTGCTGGCAGCCGTTATCTTCACAAACTCTACCTTTAAGAGATGCAGGTCAATTCATTGTGCGTGGCTATCTTCAGGTGGGTACTCGATGTTTGCACAGCAGACTTCGGTTGATTTGTCTTTTGCTCTAGTTTCCTCTTCTTCTTTGCTCCACTGGTCACACGCGCCTTAATAATCACCGCTCCGAGCTCTGGACTTGTGAAGGGCAACAACACCATCTCATACACCCTCCAAGCTTCGGATGCCGTTGGGCTCTTGACATTCTTTCTTGCACGCAACTCAACAAGCGCGATAATTGCAAAGGACGTTTTGACTCGACCGATCTCCAGTGCGGTTCCCATTCCAGTCATCGTGCCTGCGGGAATCTCCGGGTCAGTATATTATCAAGGCGAAGGATGGCTCTCACTGAAATCATGTCATAGCGATGGATGGAGGATATTGGCGGTCAATTCAGACAAGTAGGTGTCGCTCCCTGCCATGGGTTGTGCGTCTGAAATCATCCAGCACCATTATCGGCCAATCGTCTCCCCTCCAAGTAAGAAACACTCCCGACTCGGAGAGAAAACGGGTTGACGGCGCTGTAATTGGGGGAGTCGTCGCTGGGGTCTTGGTTTTAGCCATTTTGATGCTCGTCCTTTTCATCTTCTGGCGACGTCGTCATCAGCGACAACTTGGTCCCACCTTCGATCTGGAGACTGCGTTCGCTGAGGCCAGGATGGAGCGAGATCGCTCGCGTTCTTTTTCTGGCTCTGTCAACGAGGTGGAGATGGGCAGGAAGTGGACGGAAGCAGACAAAGTGGAATGGGAGCGCGAGCTGGAGGATCAGTTTGCAAGAGCGCGTGCTGGGACACCCAGCGCCATGTTACGGGGCCTTGCTCCACTGAGACCACAACGCGCTGTCGTGCGCAACTAATTGCTATGCCCTTGACCTCAGACTCGGACAATTACGAAGAAATGGACTCTTATGGAAATGTTTCAAGATGCGTTTAATTCACTGCTTTAGTGTTGCGCGTCTGTTCTAGGGGAGAACTCGCCCAGAAAAAGGTTAGTTGTCTCTGTATATATGAACTGGTCGAATCCACGGACCCTAGGATTAGATCAGTGCTTTCTTCACAGTTTTGGCAAGGATGACTACAATGAACAACGTCAGCATGCTTCATATCTATAGTTGCTTGCGCCGTCGTATACCTTACCCTCCATCTAACTCTTACCATGACTTGGATACCCTTAGACTTGATATCCCATCCCGCTCTCTTTTTCTCGCGAAATCTCTTTCATGTCGCTTTGCCGAGTTGAAACGCGTTCTCGGCAGACAACCTTAAAAAGCCGCGCGTCAAAATGAGCCAACACACCAACTTTCCTTCGCAATATGAGCGTGTCCTTGTCAGCTCGCCGGTCTGCTTTGCAAACCCTATCAAGGTCAAAGCCATTGCGCACTGTCCTGCCAAGAAGGACCTTCGTCACTATCATCGAGCAGGGGAAGGAGGGCTGGCGGTTAAGGTACCACAAAACTCTCTTCGTTGGCTGTCTAATATTTTTTATTCAGCCTTGGTCGAAATCCCGTTCGTCTTACGCCAGGACTAAATCTCAATATCCCCGTATACCATTCGCTCCTCAAAATTGACCTTCGAGAATCTTCAATAAACATTCCCAACGTCGGTGTGGACCTAATCTTGGCCAAAGCAGAATTCTTATTCTTCGTAGCTTCCTGGTTACACAGCAGACAACGTGCCAATCATTGTCTCCGGTTCTCTGTTCTACCGCATCGTCGATGGGTACAAAGCGTGTTTCGCTGTCAGCGACGTAGAGACGAACATTAAGAATACGGGGACGTCTGCTGTCCGCTCTGTCCTAGGAACGTTCACATACGACCAGGTTCGTGCTCTTGACCAACCCAGTTTGTGCTAGTTCTCACTGCATATAGGTGATCAGCGACAGGAATGAACTAAATAGTCGGTTGAACACAGTTATTGGCAACTCCATAACGGCAAGTTCTGTCTTCTCCTCTGGTTTTATGTAGGTTCATCCGGCATAAAATCAGAACTGGGGTGTCGAATGTACTCGATTTGAAGTTCAGTCCTTCCAGCCAGCTAATCGTGAAGTTGAGGTATGCCAAAACATATTTGTCTTGTGTTCTTTGGAAGCCGATAGTCTTCCAGCGCCAACTCGAACTGCAAATGGAAGCGGAAAGGAACCGGAGAAAGCAGATGCTTGACACCCAGGCGCAGATCAACATTGCTGAAGGCCACAAGCAGCGTGTCATTCTAGAGAGTGAAGGCCATGTACGTTTATCAATCTATTGGTTAACACTCTTGAACTTGCCATCTCTTCAGCTTTCTGCAAAGTCCAACGAGGCAGATGCCGCATTCAAAACTGTTGTTCGAGAAGCAGAGGCCCGTAAAGAGCAGGCACTAATGGAAGCTTCCGCCTTGGCACAGCAGATATCGGCTGTTGCAGATGCTATCAGCGAACCAGGCGCAAACCCGGGGCCAGCAGAGCGCAAGCAGGCACTCAATGCATTGGTAGAGTTGAGGCGACTCGACCAATTAGGTGCGATTGCTCGTGGTACAGGAAACTCGACGTATTTCTTTGGCGATCGTGCTGCTCTTGCTGCCGGAGAGTCGTTCAATATCGACTATGCTGAACAGGTCAAAGCAGGATTGACAAACTCGAAAACGAAGAAAGGCGAAGTTGGAGCTTACGTGGCCTAAAATTTTCATGGCCGACGTACATCGTGTATCTACTACTTACCCCCACTCACTGTAGCAACCAAATAACCAATACGTTCTGTACAATCAACTTCTGAACTAATCACTTGGTCGCCTATGCGAAACCTAGTAGCACCAGCGCGCCGGAAACCACGATTGCCTAAAAGCGAAAAAGGTTGGTTGTGGGGGAAAATAATATCGCTCGATGACCTACAGCCTGAACGTAAAACACCAACTGGGGCATGGTGGATATCGAGCTATTGCAGCATTAGCAAATCGTTGGTAGCATCGATATCACTCACGCAGATAGTATACCACCCATAAGAACCGGTGAAAGCAGCTTCCCAAATCCAGAAACTATCTCTATCGCTGCTAACGTCTGACCTTGAATTAACGGGTCAACAGCCACAGTCCCAACGCCTAAAGAACTCATTGCAGCCGACGCAACCACACTACGAAGGATTGGGGCTCGTGGGGCGCTACATCCAATGACAACAACAGCTAAATTGTTGTTGCAAATTAGGTTACTGAGTTCGCACGTGCAAGGAACTTGCCTGCGAATTGAGCTTTGCGGCTGTTTACTGAGGCCAAAGCAATGAATCCTGCAGCGTCAATGCACCAGGCCAAAAAGATGAGGTGGATGTCAACACGCTTGCGCCCATCATTCCGTGCTACTTCAGTATTGTCTTGAGTATATTTCGCTCGGAGCATTGCGATGACACGAGGAATGACCATGGTCAACATTATAGTGCCGACTAGGTTGAGGGTTGTGAGAGCATACCCGACCTAGGGATCTCATAGGTTTGAATGAAAAGTTGGTCGCGAGGAATTACCTACCTCCTGAGGCGAATATCGCTCAACGGCAGTGAGATACACAATCAAAGCTGTCGAGCCATAGCCTCCACCAATGTCGACCAAGAGCGCATGGATGGCACAAACCATAAGTTGCCATTGTCTTGAACCAGTCTGGGGGTTGCGAGAGGGAAGAAGACGCCCAAGAGGCTTGCTCAGTAGCTGGACAATGTCACGATTGTTGGCATCGGGTTCCAAAGCACGGCGTTCGTCGCGTTTGCGTTTAGGGTAGGATTCAGGCAACGTGATGACGATGTAGAGAAGCATGGCCATCCAGACGACGCTTGAGACAACATAGACTGGAAGGTCATACTCCAGGTTGGTTGTGATGGTGCCGCCGATTGTGAACGAGAGTGCGGAGCCTGAATGCACGTTGAGGCGAATTCAACCACAAAGGACGTTCATACCAAGAGTTGACCAGCCCCAGAGAGTACTCAATGCGGATGTTCTAATGATTTGTCAATGAGTGCCAGCCATGAAGAGTCAATTGTACCTTTCATCAACCTCGACAAGATCTACAAGGTAGATGTTTGTCGCGAACACAACGATAAGGGGCTGAGAGAGCGAATTAAAGAGCATCCATAGTATCATTAGGGCTGCCCTCGTATGAAGGCTCGAACAGAGGTTTGAGGCGATCATGAGACCGTTTGCGGCCAGTCCCGCCGCAACCACACACAAAATGGCAGGTTTGCGCCCAAACCACGATGAGATCCAGCTCAGCAGCGTATATGCGACCATGGCTGTAATACTCATTATCAGGTCAAAACATTTTGCCCATTCCCCTCGAATTCTCGCTCACACCCAATTCCGTCGCTGACGGCCATGACTGTAAGCACGTTGGCGTATCGCTGCTTGACTTCGGGGATAGCGCAGAGAGTGTCTGGAATGCGACCAGTGGGTGGAACTTGGCCGGGTCCGTGTGCAGAGTACCATAGTTGACAAAGCAGTTGTTCGATGATGTGGAACGTGGTCGTTGAGGGGAGCCTGATGGCAAGGCGGCATATCATAGCAATGGGGACGACAAGGTATGTAGGAGAGAGTCTCGGCTTCAACCGTTGCTGACCGGAAACCAGAGGCTCGCTCTCCGAGTTGTCGTTCATGGCATGAAGCAAGAGATCACACCGAATGATGATTGACAAGTACAAGAATGAACAAAAAAAATTACTACAAGACTGAACTTCCGTGATCATACTCGCACATCTTGGAAGACCTCTTGGAATATCTCAAAATTTCCGGGCCCATTGCTTGGCCGACTATAGACGGCGAAGGCAACCTTCTTGAACCAGCCATGGAACTCTGGCTCAAGCAAGATGTCGCGCATTTCGCGCGAGACCCTCTGGGGAGGACATCCATATGCACCACACCCCATAGCGCCTGCGAATGATAACAATTTTTTTAACTGAGGTAAGCTTAGGTGTTAATCAAGAAACGCACCAAGCACAAGGTATCGCTGCCCGTTATGAGCAGCCAGCCGATATACGAGTCGGATTTTCTCCTGCATATATCGCAAAACTGCGGGTAGTGCGAATTCCGTCTCGTCCTCCGAAAGTCGTGGACCACGTGGTGCAGCAACGGTGATGACAGACACAATTCTCCGCTCTTCCTTGGGTAACTCGACGCAGTTATGGTCGAGGTCATCTCGGAAGATAACAACGCCAGGAGAGTAGATCCCAGCGACACATCCATCACCAAGATTTGGCCATGGATAGTACTTTTTCTTCAAGGTGACATAGAGTGTGGAGCTGTAGCAAAGTGCCTCTTCTTGAGTCGTGGTCATAACCTCGAGCCACGGGCCTGCAGGGAGTATGTCGCTTGCGAGGTTCAGAACAGCAACTTTGGCAGTGGGGTCGTCGTTCAACAGTCGCCGTGCGAGAGTGAAAGCATCGATGTTGACAACATCGACAGTAGTAGGAGTATGTTGGTCGATGTCAGGAGCAGGTCCCAATGGAGGAAGTTGCACCCTGTGGAATATGCCATCGAGCGAGGCGCCCAAGTCTGCGTGCTGGGAGACAATCTCAGCTGAGCGCTCGATGGAGTCGTACGCGATTTTCGTGCGCTGGTTGAAGTTGGGGGCCATGTTAAGCTGGGCAAAGCAGGTCCGTTATATATACGTTTGGTTTGACTCGTTGTGCATCAGAGGACACGTGGACCACTCCGGAATGACATCTTGGCGCTTTGAAATAGAAAAATAGCTCAGGAAGAGTAGTAGTCCAACTCTGGCTATCTGCCAACTCTTGTTACATAATCCAATCATTTGGTATGATACTCGACAGCAAGATATAGGATTACTCAGGTGATTATTCTACGGAAATGGTCTCGATGCAGCACGAGAAGCAGGAGCAGAAGGCATGGACATGGCAAGTGTAGGCGTTCGTGACTTGATGGTACTGGCCCGTCGGATTCCCTTTCGGATTGAACGCAAGGGCCACGAGAATCGATGCAAGATGGAGTATTCGTCTTCGTTGTTGCGGATGAGACTGTTGGGATCCCGTTTCCTATACTGGAATGCAACAATGACCCAGACCGTAATGAGCGTCAGTGGGACAGCGAATGCAACGTAGTGAGCGAGAGTTTCATTAGTGCCTGGGGCGATCTCTTTGACGTTCATCCCGAATACAGCCTGGGGGTGATTCAGCAATGGGTAAGCAAGCTCACAGAAGAGACGCACCGCAGCGAACGATGCAGGCAAGAAAAACATGGTCAGATAGGATATTTGCTTCATTGCTGAGATGAGGAATGAGAAAACGGACAAATTAGCTGGCTATGGTCCGAACCTGCACTGTCTCGTAACGCTGCTTCTGTAAGCTTCTGCATTGTGCGACTGTCTTCTAGTGCAACACTGCTGAATGCCTATGAAAAGCGCATATAGAGTGTGCAAGACCACGGGAAATTGAAGCGTACCAGGTTCATAACGTTTTTCAGCCGATTGTCCTGCATGCTCCGATTTTGCTCAAGCCTTGCGATTTCGTTCAGAAGATTGCTGGATTCCCGTCGCATGAGCTCCCGGACGAGAATTGTAGTCTCCGAAGGTGGGTCAGAAATATTATCTAAAAGCGGATTCGGTGTTTCCGCGACAAAGACCACAGTTTTTCGAAAGTCTTCTAGGACCGATGCGTAATGCAACAGATGAGCCCGCACAACATGTAGTTGTTGTGTCAACGTCATGTCCGTATTGCCCATGACGCGAGACTCCTGGTCGGAAAGTTAGCTGTGGGGGAAGAAGCACTAATGTAACCCACAAGCCAGCATATATGCGTATAAAGCGCTTCCAAGGACTCGTCGAATGCATATAGTGGAAACCATAACAAAGCTAGAAGAACGAATGTCGGGTCTGAATTGATCGTGCCTTCAAATATCTTGTTCCAGTACACAGATTGACCCGCGGCAAGGAGTCGGGTACGAAGCGTGAATGCTGTTGTTGTTCGATGAGTGTGAGGTGGGTGGTAGCTGATGATCGTGCTGTATTGCGGTGATCGGATCATATGGATGGCCAAGATATCAGGAAGAACAATTCGGTTACCTTGCCCGGTAGCTTAGCGCCCAGTGATAACATCCATGAAGGCTTACTTGAACTTAGTCCTAAAGGTGCCTGAGTATCGATGACCTGGTCCGCAGATTGAAGAGTAGGAATAGTCGGAGCAAAATTAGATGTTGGACTTGATGGCAGAGTTGTCGGGTTTTGCATCGACCGAAGGAAAGGCAGTGTCAGCGTGATATGGTCTCCTTCCCCGACAGCCTCTTGGTAACGAGAAGGTATCCAGTTCAGCGAGGAGGAAAAAAAGAAAGGCTCGATGTTATAGGCGGTTCCAAGCATCCTTTAGATATGCGGATAAGTCTTGCTTCATAGACTTGAATAAAGCCGCAAACCCACTGCAAAACTGGTCCACTAAGGTTATCGACGAAGAGAGCACGAAGTCGGACATCCATTGGAACAGCAGCCTTTAGTCGTTGCCAGTATTCGCCTTTGTTTTCGTCTGTGATGCTGACACTATCACCGGCCTTGAACTGGCCATCCAGGTGGACATCAACGCAATGGATTATACAAGGCTCTTTGTAGGGTCGGTTGACGATTTTGCTGATACCGCTTTTCGCCTGCTGCGCAAGAGTCCAATTCGGAAACAAAATTTGAGGGTACTGGCAAAACATGAGCCTAAGAATGACAATGTCAAGCTCAGGAAACACACCTTTTGCCAGTCAGACACTGTTTCCGGCATTGTAGGGCGCCTTGAGCACTCTAATTGCTCGGAGTCGATCTGGTGTTATATGAAGATCTGAGTAAGCGTTCTTGGAAGCGGAAAACACCTCCGAGTCCAAGTCAAGGAAGGGCCAAGGCCCAGATGGCGCGGCATGTCGATGGGACGGCTGTGGAATCCGCGGGGGGCATTTCTCGCGCATTTCGATACAGTTCGATAGGAAACTCCATGGGTTGACTCTGAGAAAATTAAAGATGAGTCTTACTTGAAGCGAACGATAACTTTAAGTACCTTGGGGTATAAATGCAGTAGTGGTGAAAGCAAAGAAAACCAGTCCGGAGGAGATGGAAGGTATATAATACTCAGCTCCACTTCGTTGCATGACAGCCAAACGCTGGAAGAGCAGAGTAAGTAGCCACAGCAAGGCTGTAAAGCGGAAGGAAATCACTCGTTTGGTACACATCGGAGTGTGACCGTGTGATAGGAAGTGTCAATTGAGATTTTCGACCACATCTTTATTTTTGGCACACGGTGACTTTAAGCCATCTACTCCGTCCTTCCTCTGACAGCCTACCTGCGTACCTATCAGGGGTATTAGTAGGCTCTTTTCAACCTCTGCAAGTTGTGTTTTACATATAGTTGCCAATGGCAGCTAGGATGGTCGATGAGGTCAGAATTACCTCTGATCCTGATGCGGGTGGTTCGGGAATCCACGCTTCCTCGGTTTCCCTTCGACTCCACGCTCGCTAGGCCCCCAATTTCTCTCTTTGCAACTGTCTTTTCTTCCAGTAATTTCCGAATGGCCGATCGAGCCAGCCCACAGCGAGGCTATTTCGCGGTCCCAAACTCATCTTCAGCCTTGCTCTCTCCATCGTCGCCAAATACTCCCCACTCTCCATTTCGGTCAACACCAAGCGAATCAGCTCATTCCATAAACCGCCCGTCATCGCTAACCACGTCTCTCTCCGAAAAGGTGCGTGGCTTGCTTGGCTAGACTTGGCTCTTGGCCGTTTACCTTTTTTTAAACTCGCCTATAGTATCATCTTACTGCTGACCCAACCGAATGGGGTGCCGACATAACTCGACCAGAACCTGACGATGCTCTACATGACCCTCGACGCGACGACAAGTCGCATAATGTTTTTACCCAACGTGGGCTGTGGAATGTTGGCTGTATCGCTGTTTTAGCTGTCCTTCTTGTTGCTCTCTTGTGCGTTAACGCCGACTGCATCCACGGAACTAAAATTCACATCATCTAGTCTGGGATACCCTGTAACTTATCACTTCACGCACAACGACTCAGCCACTACGACCTCTGCGCTCGTCAATGCTTCCGGTCAAGTCGCGAGCATAGGCAACTTCGGTCTCATCGACCTCAACACTCCGAAGGCGATTTCCACCAAACCTTTTGAATTGTGCTCAGACTCAAACCCCCACTCCAGGAATTCTACAAGATCGCTTCGTATTATGACCCATCGAAAGAGATGCAGCTCGTTTTCAGCGACGAGTTCGAGGAAGAAGGTCGCACATTTTACCCAGGTATTCACCGGCGAACAGGTACTCGTCTGCTTCGACTAACCCGTTAATCAGGCGATGACCCGTATTGGGAGGCTGTGGATATGCACTACTGGTCCACTGGTGATCTTGAATGGTTTGTCCGCAGTCGTTTCAGTGTGTGTTACGTGGCTCACGACGGTCGTAGGTATGATCCCGCGGCTATTACCACGCGCGGAGGTGCGCTGGAAATCAACCTCACACACTTCGATGACATCAGTCTCAACCATAACCTCGAATATCGTAGCGGAATGATGTCTACTTGGAACAAGTTCTGCTTTACTGGTGGCTTAATGTGAGTAGTAAACGAGCATGTAGCCCAAGAGTTGAGACCGATAGTCTTGCCAACGTTATGCTGCCCGGGACAACAAACGTCTTCGGTGATTCAAGTCTCCGCCAATGGGATAAATTTACAACTGCGGACAGGACTTTGGCCGGCGATCTGGACTATGGGCAATCTAGGTCGAGCAGGATAGTGAGTAGTCTTTGAGCTTCAAGTTTCCATGTGATGCTAACGAGTGTAGTGGAGCGACACTGGAGGGTATGGTGAGTACGCGCGAGTGTCATGATTGTGTTTTGTTTACTGACTAGTTCATCTCTTAGTGGCCCTATAGGTCCGTGAAATTGTTGTCTGTAATACACAGAGACTTATTCATGGTCAGCTACGACGCATGCGATGCCGGCACGATGCCAAATCAAACCCTGAATGGCGGCCCACCGGCGGCGCTCAACACGGGGAAGGATGGTACTGAATTATCATTCCTTCCCGGTCAACGGCTTTCTCGATGTGTCTGCCCTGGCGAGTCTCATCCAGGTCCCGTGCATGAAGATGGGACGTACGTTGGCAGATCAGCTCCGGAAATCGACGTGTTTGAGGCACAAATTGGTGGTCCCGATGGTGCGCATGTAGGGCAAGTTAGGTCAGCATTATCACATTCTCTGCACATTTTTTCTTCTCAATCAAGTTGTTAGTCAATCTGCCCAATGGGCGCCTTTCAACGCAGGATATATTTGGGACAACTCTAGCGCGAATGTTCAGATCCCAGATTTAACCGTGTCGTCTCAAAACACCTACTCAGGGTCCATATATCAGCAGGCGACCTCGGTGTTGACCACCACGAGTACATTTGTTTTCCTCGTTGCTATATATCTTCATCCGAGTTTACAGATCAGAATTGTTATCAACTCAAGAAGCAATGCTACGCTGTTCAAGGCTTCGAGTACATTCCTGGATATGATCAAGCAGTAAGGCACCCTTCAGTATCTCATCATTCAGACTAACTCGCCCGTAGTATGTCACTTGGATATCGGACAATAAGGTCTTTTCTTTTCTTTTTGCTCCTTTAAATAAGTTAGTAAAAACTTTTCTGGCAAGGTTTCTTGGACAATGAGAGCAGCAGCAGCTGGTGCGGACACTGCGGCAGAGATCTCTGCTCGTCCTATCACCCAGGAGCCACTGGTACGATGGTCTGTTTTCTGAAATCGTTCATCGCTCATCAAGACCAAGTACATCCTGGTTAATCTAGGCTTTTCTCATTCGTTCTCGTGGATCGACTTCGACAAGCTCATTTTCCCTGCAACAATGCGCGTCGACTGGATTCGGGTTTACCAACCCCAAGACAAGATCAACATCGGTTGCGATCCTGCAGAAAGACCCACCGCTGCGTATATAAACACGTTCGTTGTTGACTACATATTCTGTCGCTGCCTTGCCAGTGCTGAAGCCTTTCCAGGTACCTGGAGGCGTACACGAACCCCAATCTAACCACGTGGCATGACGATTATAAACAGCCGGTCCCTAAGAGCAAGCTGAATGGCGGATGCTGATAGACATACCTATAACCTAGAACTCTGTATTTGTCCTGAATTGTTGTCTTGTCATCATCATTTGTTTGGAAAGGCAACAGTTGATCATGATGTCGGTTGGCACTCTCTCCTCCTCTACTACTATGCCTTACCCATTCGCACTCACCGGTGAGTGTCTGTCTGCTGGTGCTAGTGTTAGATAGACTTAACTCGTGAAGATCGTCCTTCGGGCGACTGGAAAGACCAATTCGACAACCGAGCAATGTACGCTCCCTGGTTGCTTATATGTAGCCTTTTCAACTTGGCAACCTCAGCGAGATGTCCGTTTCGCACAACATGTTCATTCGTGGAATCAATGCCATCTACGCGCAAGCAGAACGGGTAACCAAAGCTCAAGTTAAGTCTTTTGCGTTCTTCTGTATTTCCTTTGTGCGTATGCGACGGTGCCAGTGCCAGTGTCGATTGGTTGAATATCGTTCAAAGATTGAAATGGTCCACCACCACCACCATATTGAGGAAACTTTGTTGTTCCCCTTCTTCGAGACCAAGTTTGGAGAGGGCTCGTTGCAGCAGAATGTCCAGCAACACACTACGTTCATGGGCGGTTTGCAAGATCTGCAAACATATTTTAAGGCCGTCCATGATGGATCGGAGGCATATAATGGCGTGACTGTCATCGAGAAGCTGAATAGCTTCAGTGACGAACTCGTCCGTCACTTGGTGGATGTGGGTTGTTGTTTTCTTTTACTTATTCCACTCGCCCCTAACCGCCGACGCAGGAAATCCCAACCCTCGAGTCCTCCAAGATGCGGGCAGCCTTCACTGAGAAGGAACTAACTGATCTCGATGCCGCTCTTGGTAAACGTATTCTGGCAGAGGTATCCCTCGTCACGTCGCTGCCTGTCGCACTTGTTTGTCACGAAAAGTCCTCCGCGCCTTAGTAAGGCCCCTTGGCTTGCTAACTATTCATGTACTGAAATTTCATGTCAGCTTTCCCCCATTGCCAACCCCCATCCTGTGGGTGGCCAAATATGGCTTGTATCGACTGCACAGTGACGCTTGGGCCTTCGGTCCCTGTGATGTTCATGGCATACTTAAACCTGGTTTTGGTAACGACGCGTAGTATATCTAAATGGACGGTTCATGAGTGTCGCGTCGTGACTTACGATGCATGTGACCGCGACTAGTTCATGTGGCTGGTATATATATATGTATATATTGCAAGTACTGGTTCTTTCTTCGCAGTATTGGGGACAAGGTATTGGGGACAAGTATCACTTAGCAAATTTTGTAGATTATAGTCCAATTATACCACAAAAACCAAGAGAGTCTCAATTTACATAACCACACACCGTTGATCTGGGTCTAAACCCAGCTCATGCAGCTGCTCCTGGGTCGCCTCCTGCTCGTTCTGCTTCAACTTCAGACTGGCTTCTTCTGGAAACCAGTCGCGCATAAAGTTGAGCAGTGCCCAATCGACATTGGCTATAATTGAGATCAGCAACCGGCCGATGAACAGGGGTCACACTCACATTTGTCTGCTAGCAAGACACACGGCGAGCGACACATCGGACATTGAGAATTACCCCGTTTTTGCATCTTCACCAAGCATCGCACACAGAAAAGGTGGCCACACCTCAGTCGAATGGGCTTGAATGCGATGCCTGTACATATTAAGCATGCGTAGTCCTCTAGCGATGGTATGACGGGAAGAAGAGTCGTTCCTAGCTCCTGAACGAGGATCTGTGGCAAAGAGGTGCGGCTGGTTGGCAACAATACGAGCGCGTTGTTGTTCTGGGAATCGGTCGCTGGTAAAGCCGTCCGTTTCGCATGTTTTTTGAGAATTTTGCGAGTCGCTTCGGCATTAGCCAATTCAAACTGTCATCAGTGACGAGTTTAGTATAAAATAACAGACGAGGATAGCTTCCCCATACCTTCTTGACATTCAAGATGAACAAGTTGAGTTGCAAGAATGACTCAAGTGCTGGCCGGCTTTGTGGAAGCCTCAGCGTCCGTCCGTCGCCGAGCGCTCGAGCGGTTACTCGTTCAATAAATTGCTTCAAGCGGTGCTCGGCGTCTTCTGTCGTTCGTTCCCCGCGGTGTTGCTCCGACACACTCTCGAATATTTCTGCCTCAATATATAGCTGGAATATCTCGCGCCACGAGTACAGGTCGCTCTGTTCTGTGTCAGACTCAACTTTTTTAAGAAACGGTCAACGCACTTTGCGACTACTGGCATCGACTCTAACACCTCCTGCATCCGCATTGAGCGCTGAATGGACCTTGAAGCTCGACACAGCTGAGGCAGGACGGGCCGAATTCGACACGGTCTTCGTCAACTCGGAAAGCGTTGCAATGAACTGGGTTCTGATCGTGAGGAGATTGTCGGAGAGGGCTTGGAGCGTTGTGGTGAGTAGTTCAAAGAAAGCCGAGTCTGACGGCAAAGGTATGACGAGTCCACCCTGCGCAGTGTCTCCGTCGAGCCTCTGAGTCTGCCGCTGCGATGCCCACAGTAGTGCAATTTGTGATGCCGTCTGTTCAGCCTCTGGGTCGACAACGTCGGATGCCTCGATAGCTGGTGGGCCGGCAAGAAGCCGAAGACGAGGTTCGATGTGGCCAGAGTGAGTGTCGAGTTCATACGAAACAATAGCCCTCTCCTCGGCTGCGCCAGACTTCAACAGATCATGGAGTACAGACGGAGCAAGTCCCAAAGATGCTAATTCAACAACGACTTGGTTGATTTGTTTCTTGAGCTATATATCGTTCACATACAGCGCACGTGGAGGTAGAATACTGGTACCTGTCTATATTGGATAGCATTTTGACTGAGTTCGGGAGGGAGCTCTTGCAGTAATTGCGCGTAAGTTTTCGAGAAATGCATAAGAGAAATACATTGCGTGACCGTGACATTTGTGACCCAGATCTTTGGTCTTGGCGGTCATGATCCTTGGGTTCAAGTTCGGCCTGCTCTTCCTCATTCTTTTTCTTTGGCGGGTGGCTACTAGGCTGCGCCGTTCACCCACGTCTAATGTTTCCCGTTTGAAAGCGCACCCACTTCCAACTAAAGAGGAATTGGAGGCGGTTTCCTATTCAGATATCGACTTGCTTGCAACAATTCCGCCCGCAACTCACTCAAGATATGTAGTCATCGGTGGCTCCGGTTTTTTGGGAACGTAAACTGCCCTCTCATTATATATCGCTACGTCACGCTGAAAGTTGTCTTAAGCTACATTGTCCGTTTGCTCATCATGCGTGGCGAGACCAACATCCAAATTCTTGATGTCAATCCACCTCCAGTCGCTATAGGCAACGACCCGTCCGTCTCCTTCATCAAGACCGACATCACCTCCCTTGATTCTCTCCGCCAAGCTATGCCTGCTGAGCACAATTCCCCCACCGTTATCTTCCATGTCGCCGCCACGATAAGATTCTGGGAACGTGCCGAATATTGTTTTAGTGCCTCCCACCATATCAATGTACTCGGTACAAAGAATGTGCTCCAGCTTGCTCAAGAGCTCTCGAATTCAATGATGATTTATACCTCATCCATTGACACAGTCCTGCCAATGCCCAAGTTCCTGCGAGCGGACTGGGATGTTTTCCCTGCTATAATCGACGATGACACTCCCGTGCCAACCCACATTCATGAAGGTTGCTATGCACGCTCAAAGCGTATGGCCGAGCAGTTAGTCGTCGAGGCTTCCATAAATCAGGGACTGAAGACTGGGATTTTGCGGCCAGGAGGGTAAGTGTTTCCTTGGCCACGACTCTAAATAATCGATTTTGCACAGAACCATTCTTGGGCCAAATGATCGTCTTGTGAGCAGCACACTCACCATGTCACAGGTAGCCGTTGAACCCTGTTACGCCTTTCAGTGCTCGTCCTCTGACCAACTTTCGAGGTTCCGATATGGGATGAACCTTGGACCGGAATCCACATATGTGCCTGGGATGCAGCCGCAGCTCATTTGTTGCTCGAAGATGCTTTGAATTGCATTCCAGAGCAGGTTTCTGGCCAAGGCTTCGCAATCACCGGCCGAGGCCCACCGTGGAGTATGGAAAACATCAGAAAAGTTATTCAGGTTTGTTCCTGACCTTGTACACGGCAATGAGTGAGCTTCTTCTAGCACTATGCGACCCGTGACCTAACCTTTATTACAATTCCGCCACTATGGATTTATCTCATGGCTCATATCATGGAATCTTTTCTCTTTCTGCGCTATTTTATACTGCTACCTCTGGCTTCAATGATGGGTCAGAAGCCTAGCTTGACACCACGATGGCTTGGTGCAGCAGTCTTTCTGCAACCTTCCACTCTCGATGTACAGCTGATAGATGTAGCTATCGATGACTCCCGTGCCAGGAAGCTTCTCCGGTATGTGCTGCGCTTGACACTGTTTGCATTTAACTGATTCCAATTACTTACTCTCAGGTATAGACCTCAGTGGGACATCTTACAAGCCATACGTTACTCTGTGGATGAAATCCAATCTGGAACAGTCGCTGCGGAGCATGGTCTTCGAGTGTACTAATCTTAGAGCCTAGAATAGCTACATTCGTTCCGTGTTGTTGGGTTTTCAGTAACGGTGGCTTCTTATCACTGACATAATAGTGGAGTGAATGTAGTGGTGTTAGTGTGGCAAATCTTGAAGGATATAACACTACTTGAAGTCATTTCCAGTCATCATCTTGCTCATGTTTGTGATTATTGTTTGGCTACTTGTCTTGGTTTCTTGTTGTCCAGCTCGCTTGTATCACAATGTGACACAGCTTCCTAAAGCTCATTATGACTTCATCATCATTGGTGGTACTGAAAGCTTCCTTACAGATTTTCCAGATATTAATATTTTTCTAGGAGGAACTGCAGGAAATGTGGTTGCAAATCGTCTAAGTGAGAATCCTGCCTTTTCTGTGCTGGTATTGGAAGCTGGTGGATCGTAAGCAAGATAATATTCAACCTTAGATAAACAGATAATATTGTCTAATATAGGAATATTGGCCTGCTTGCATCAGAGGTCCCTGGATTGGATGGATTGCTCTTTGTACCCCCCAGCAAAAACACCTGGTAGATTTAATTTCAAAAGATCTTGCAGGAATTAATATCTTAAAGGAACTATGTAACAACACCTCAAGCAGCAGCAGGCAATAGGATTCAGACATATCCACGGGGTCGAGTCCTTGGTGGGACAAGTTCAATCAGTTTGTTCTTTTTCCAATCACAAATTTAGGGCTTACATCCTTTCAATTAGATGGAATGTGGTATACTAGAGGTAGCTTTCAACTCATCCTTTAGCTATTGATTCAATTCACTATACACTCAAGGATCCAAGGATGATTTTGATCGATATGCTTCTGTCACTGGAGACCAGGGTTGGAGTTGGAAAGCAATTCAAAAATATTTCCATAAGGTTTGAACAATTAGCTTAAATCACATTTCTTTTGATATTTAAAAAGAATGAAAAATTTTCACCTCCTGCTGATCACCATAATACAACTGGCCAATATGATCCTGCAGTTCATTCAACTACTGGCATCAATGCTGTCAGCCTCCCTGGTTTTCAGTGGCCTTCATTCCAAAAGGTCATTGAAACTACACATGAAATGCCTCAGGAGTTCCCATTTGTCTTGGACTATAATGCAGGAACACCAATTGGTATTGGTATGTTACTGGCATCTTAGGCTATCAAACAAGTTTTATTAACTACACAATATAGGCTGGGCACAAAATACAATTGCAAATGGTGCTCGAAGCAGCTCTGCTACATCCTACTTGGCTTCTCAGTTTATTGATCGACCCAATCTTCATGTTCTTGTAAATGCACAGACTACAAGAATTCTGAGTGCAAATAGGTCACATCATTTTAATCAAGTTGAATTCTCTCAGGATTTCCAAAGTAAGACAAAGTCTAGATTTTCTTTGTTTCTTCTCTAATTAACTTTCAACTTGGTAGAGTTGCAAATTGTTACAGCATTAAAAGAAATTATCTTGTCTGCTGGGGCTATTGGCACACCACATATTCTGCTCAACTCAGGAATAGGAAATCAAACAATGCTTTCTAGCCTTGGTGTCAATCCAGTAATTGATTTACCAGATGTTGGTCAGAACTTCACAGATCAACCCTTGATATCAAATAGCTGGCTTGTCAATAGCACACAGACATATGAGAGTTTCTCAAACAATGCAACTCAAATGGCTGAAGACCTGGCACAATGGAATAAGACAAGAACCGGTCCACTAGTTTCAACAATTGTTGGTGGTCATATGGCATGGCTCCGATTGGAGAACAGTTCTACTATCCTGAAGCGGTTTCAAGATCCTGCTGCAGGAATAAATACCCCTCATTTGGAATTACAAATTGCAGTATTTATCCCTCTGTTACTACTAACGCAATCTACTTACAACTGCATTATAGAGTGGCATTGGCTTGGAGACTGTAATCCCTGAAGATGGAGGCAATTTTATTAGCATACAAACATCTGTTGTGTCTTCAGCAAGTCGTGAGTAATGTCAAAAATATTTAACATAGGAAACTAGAATATTATAGGTGGGACAATCACCCTCAACACATCAAATCCTAACCCTTTCAATGCTCCGCTCATTGATCCTGCAGTCTTTACACACAGATTTGATGTTGAAGCCATGCGTGTTGCCATTCAAAAGGCAGTCAAATTCCTCTCTGCCAATACTTGGAAGGGCTTTATCATCCGACCAATTGACAGCCTGGCACAAGCATTGACCTCAGATGCTGCCTTGAATAACTATATGCAACAAAATGTTATATTTGCTCTTCATGCTGTAGGAAGTGCAGCTATGTCCCCATCTGGTGCATCATGGGGAGTGGTGGACCCCGATCTCCTTTTGAAACATGCAATAGGTGTGCGGATTATTGATGCTTCTATTATGGCAAGTAGTCTCTTGTGCAACTCTTGTGTACAGTTTAAGGGTTCTGATGACTTGTAGCCTTTTATTCCAAGCTGCCACACTCAAGCACCAACCTATGCAATTGCAGAGCGGGGAGCAGACATGATAAAACAGAAATGGATGTAGTTACTTCTAATTCAATCAACACGTGATCGCGTTCCGTTCGAGGGCACGTGGATGTCACACCTCTTCCGCTCTCAGCACAACGACAACAGCGACGACGGATAATTACCAGACTGAATGGCGCCTCTACCAGCAACGCTGAAGCGTATTCACCGTGAAATAGCCGATGTACACAAGGAGGATCTTGGGGCAATAACGCTGACACCTTCCGACGATCTGTTTGCGTGGCATGGGTCGCTGCCTGGACCAGAAGGCAGTGTATACGAGGGCGGAACCTTCAACTTCGCGGTTGAGTTGCCAAAAGACTATCCATTCTCCGCCCCGAAGGTTGTTCTTAAAACACGGTGTGTCCTCCGAAGCCTTCTCTCTCACTCATAGCTTAGTCGGTATCACAGGATCTACCACATGAATGTAAGTGAGGTTGCGACGACTTAAAGGAAGGATATACTTAGTTGCGAGAAGATAAGCGACCAAGGCAACATCTGTCTGGACATCTTAAAACATAACTGGTCGCCCGCCCTTTCGCTTTTCAAAGTCATTCTATCCCTGTCCTCTCTGTTGACGGACCCAAATCCCAGTGCGTCTACGCAACTACTCTAGGACTTAGCCAACTCATTTGCACCTTTAGAGGATCCGCTAGGTATGGCCTATTCGTTTTTGACCGACTTCCCATTGAATGCCCCAGTGCCCGCCATTGCCACCCAATTTCAACGCAATCGGAAACTACACGACTCAACCGCGCGCCAATGGACTGATCTTTATGCACGACCTAAAGTGTCCGCTCCTTCTCCAGTCGTGGCCCCACCACGTGCATCGGCGCCGATAAGACAAAGCAGGATCACCCCGACGAACGCGGCTGCCAGCTCATCTCAGACAAGTCCTATAATCATTGACGATTCGGATGAGGAAACAAGTCGTTCCGCTGGGAAGAAGCGCAAACGAGACAAGGGTAGTACACTCGACGTTGAGGAGGAGCAGCGCACTGGGATTAGGAGTAAGAAGCGCCCTGAACGCAGTGGTTCGAGACGACCCACCGAAGTCATCGACATTGATTAGGTGTCTGGTGACTCTTCTATCTGTCTCCTTGATTGCACAAGACTACGGCTACAAGATTGTTTAATCGTTAAACATTTTACCTTCCAGCACTGAATTAGTGGTTAACTTGGGGCGGAGAAAATAAACCTACCAGTACAATTTGAAGCGCCACAGTAACATGCATTGCTTTGCTTATGACTCGGCCCATCCTCGTCCGTGTCAGGTTTGTAATCGTCGTCATTGCCCTTTAGCTCGTCATCTTCGTCCCCAGGAAGCTATGTAATGTCAGTAAACCTGGACGGATGTACTGACCAATCTGTGACCTTTCCAGAATATGAGAAGCATAGCTCCTCATCTGTCGCGATGTCCCGTGTCGCAAAGAATACAATCAAGGGTCGACGTTCGTCCGGTTCGTCAATGTAGCATGGACAAACACGGCAGTTGGGATCACAAGAATGATTCTGAAAGCCGTCGGTAATTGTCTGCTCGCTGACACGAAACTTACCAAAAAGCGTGTAAACTGGGCGAGATGAATATTGGAGTGCGAACTAGTGGCCCACTCACATTTCCAACATGGTACGCGTCAACCCCAAATTCAACGTTGTCGCCGAATTTGCGTGTTACATTATAGAAATCAATGTCGAGAAGATAGGTACGGTTCGACATGTCATAGACCCTAATGCTTATGTTAGCGCGATCGAGAAAACCATTAAAAAAACTTACATTCCCCGACGCTCGCATTCTCGCTCCAGAATGAACTCTCCCGAGTAGATACCAATAAAAGTACCCTCAAGAATCTTGGACTTGGCAAAGACACCCCAACCTTTCTTCTCCGTCTTTCTCAGGACGACATCACATTGCCTCCCCTTCTGAACCACGCGATTTCGACATTCCTCGTCGTCACATGAGCAATGAGCGTTGCACTCAAATATGGGAATCCCCTGATTCCTGATCCTGCCCTTAGTATCGTATTGGAAACCAGGCCAATACTCTTGTGTGTATTCGTTCTGCCTCTGAAGACATGTGCAAGTTTTTGAATCTGGGTCGCAGGGGCCAACGCAATCACAGCCTACCAATGTCGACATGTCCGATGCCTCAATGTCGCTTCCAAGCCACAGTCGATTTGTGTAGTAAAACTCCCAAGGTGGGGTAGGATCAGAGTCAACCATGTTTTCAATGCGAATAGGTGGCGCTACAGGCTCATCCTCCGAAGTGTTTTCGCGAATAACGGCTTCCAACAGCTTGCGCGTATCGGGACTGTCTCGGAAACTCTGCTGGTATGAGTTGATATGGTCGTGCATTGTGCTCTCCAAATCTTTGGCATAGTACGTGGGGTGATGGAAATTGTGCCGATAACTCTTCCAGGAAAGAGATGGGTATGATGTTGGCCTACTATCGTGCCGAGACTCATCTGCATCAGAAGATGAGGAGGAATCGGGAGTGGGAGAAATGGGAGGAGGTCGTCCTTTATGTGGAATTAGATCAAGTTGGTCAGATTCCTCCTCGTCATCAAGGTGTGGAACATCTTCGGACTGCGTCGAAGACCGCGAGGAAGGGCGCCGAAATGAAAACGGAGACCCTGAGCGAACGGAGGAGTCATCAAGGTCGAATTCCTATATGCCTACAGCTGAGACTGGCTTTTATGGTCAGAATGTCACATACTAAGAGTGCATCAATTTCATTGCTTGAGTTGGATGACATATCCTCGTCAACACTGCTCTGCAGCACTGTCAACTCTGGATCGCCCGAGACCAGTGGTCTGTCGGGAAGGGCAGGGCTATGCACCACGAGCGGCCTATCATCAAGATATTCGAGATAATAGGGTTCAGTATCATCGTAACTCCGTCGTCCTAAGACTAGTAAGAGGGGACAAACCATCAATACGTAGCTGGTAGCTTACCAGGACTAGGCGGAACAAGCGGCACCAGCTCGTCAATGTCGGCACCAGGTGGGAAAATAAGAATGACGTCCTTGACTACTTCACTGTGTAGGGGGATGATTTTTTGTTGATACATCTCAAGTCTCGTGGTTGCGTCAAGAACAGCATGTTGCTCTTGAGATGTGTCGGTATGTGTCAGTCCCGCGTCGGCATCCGCCAACTGAGGAGAGTTGCTGCTATCTGGGGTTTCAATGGCAGAAGCCGGTGGTGGATCAATAGGATTTTGTTCCTGTCTCTGACTCTGAGCTGCGATAGAAACCTTGCCTTTATTTTGCATGCGCCTCATTTTGTTGGCGATTTGTTGCAATATGGCGTCATTACTTTGAGGTAGCTCTGTCTGAATAGGCGACTGGGGTGGAGGCGTGTTGTCGAGCGTCAAGTCGACCACAGCATTGAATTCTGCGTCTTGATTATCGAGAGATTCGGCTCGTCGCTGGAGAGGCAACGTCGCATTCTCGCCGACGATATCGACTGAGGGTACCAGGGAGGAAACCTCAGCATCAGGGTGTTCAGAAGTAGATTGACGGGAACTTATTCGAGTTTTGAGATCTAGCAACGGTAATGTGCCTAGTGGTGAGATCGGTGAGGGGGGGATGGGGACGGAGAACGGGGATGTCGGAAGCAAGCCATTCGGCATGAAAACAAGTGGGGGCGAAATGCGATCCACGGTGGTTCGCGGGGGTGTTGGAGGGGGTGTCACGTCACCAGAATGAACGATTGGTGGTTTCTCGTTGAGAATAGGGCCGTCTTCCTCGGAGTCGCTAATCACGATTATCTCTTTACCCGGCACCGGAGATTCATCGTCAGAGTCAGGGATTTCAATTATTGCTACATATGCAGGTTGACTCTGGCAGAAGGAAGAAGCGAGAAGTGTGTCGTACCTGGCGTTTTCACTGGTGCAGTAATGGATGTCGAAAATCGACTTGCTAGTGCCGCTCTAGTAAATGATATGTTTCTCTGGGGTACTGGAGCAGAAATGGATTGTACGGCCTCGTCGTGAAAGGTATCCTCTTCGCTGTCCGAAAGCCCCGTCTTTTGCCTGTCCTTTTCTTGACGCGTTCTCTTGACGCGTTGGAGCCCTGCCCGCGGTTGACTAGTCAATGTAGTCGGCAGCTGCTTCGTGGTCTTTGCCTCATTCACCAATGGGTCTTATCTTAACATGAAGCAAAGTTCCAACCCGGTAAATAGCTCCTCACCATCGGATATGACCCTTCTCTTTCGCGGCCGCTGGAGAGGTGAGAATTCCTGCTTTCTTTTTTGCTGATAAGAGGGATTGCTAGCACGGTCGTCGCGGTTATTGCTGCGCTCGTCTTCTGAACGTTCCGTCCTGGAGTGGCGTTGAGTGGCGATGAAGGAGCAGAAAAGGTCTTGTGCCTTTCATGATTTCCCATCCTGGAGAGGACGCCTCATGCACGCGTTGCTGGCGCAGTGAACGCGTTGCTCAAGGTGTCCTTCCCGTGACCGTCACAAGCCAACGACGTAGAACGACACTCAACTCTCTTTGCAATGTTTACATTCGGTTTTTACATGAAGTATCATATATACATTGAATATTCCGCTTCACTTCCCACAGGTCGCGCACGAGCTGCAGATGGCTTCTTTGGCGGAGGCGTAGTCCAGGATGAAACTGCTTGAATTGGCCCGGGGTTCATTAAAGATTGGCAAAGCAACTTGTGGGCGGTGGTCAACAAGATGTCGTCCCATACCCCAAGACCATCTTCATGCAATACTAGGCGGTGACTTGGAACAAGATCACGTGGTGCAGGAGAACCAACAAAAGAAGTGGGGAAGAGAAACAATCGTGCATGCCGCGACCTCTCAGCTTGATGCGCGACAAAAGCAGCAGAAGCGGATTGCACCAAATTTGGGGGGGCGAATGGTTGGGCTTCTGGGGACTATCGAATGCTGAGTGGGTGAGGACGATAAGCATGAGGGACTGACGAAATAATTGTCTGTGGAAAGATAGCGAATGGGCGCCTTGACCAATCGTGATGATGATATGTAAGCAGGGGCCGGGTATTCGTCGAGAAGAATGAGTCGCTCAGGTTGAACTGAATCAAGGATAGTTGTCGCATATTGACGTATTGCCCACAGTGGAAGACGAGTTGAAACTTCTGAGATCACCACGGGAGCTGCTATCCAACGGGGTTGGAATAGGAGTCCTACCTAGAAAAACACTGGTCAGTTACAGTAGAAGAGGTTGAAATGACATAGTATCATCTAACCTCGAGCTCGTGAACGAAAACCGAGCCAATCTGTTCCCCAAGATCAGCTCCACGAGCCCAAATTTCCGCTACACTGCCCGTAGCGACAATGAGTTCATTCGATGGAGAAAATCCGGCAAGTTTAATGTCAAAAGATTTCGGCTTTCCGTGAAGAGTCTCCAGTGGGTTGTATTCGTCTTCGTCGTCCGATTCTATTGCGTGACGGGGCGGGACCGTATCGGCGAGAGGATCGACATCCTGGACAGCATCAGACTAGTAGGTTGTCTGCAATTAACTTCTTGCCATGAATGTGGGAAGTAAGTGAACGTGTGTGACAGGTGTTCGTGGCAGTTGAATACCCGATAGATAAGATTATACTCAGCACATCTAATCTAATCTAGTCCTCTTCTTTACGTCCCCAAGCTTTTGGCCCACGCGCACTTTCTGTCCAGCGTGAACCGCAAACTCGAAGTCGTTCGGCGCCTCGAAGACTAGTACGATCGTACTACCCAGACAAAATCCGCCCATCTCTTGTGCAGCCGTCAGCGGCTGGCCATTCAGCAATGTAGAGGCGGCTGAGTAGACCGCTTCTGTGTATGTTCCAGGCGGCGGCGGCTTTCCACGAACATTTGTGCGTAGTGTCTTTGGACCGGTAAGGCGCCGTGAACAAGGACAAAAAAATAGAACAGACCTGGTCAAAATTGACTTTGATGCTGCCAACATTCGTGGCGCCAACCGGGATCATGCTAAAAAAGCCATGCCTCCATCGGCCCAAGAGCGCCACCCTCTCATTTAGCACGAATAAGTTCTCCAGACGCTTGGCCACGTAGGGGGAGACTGAGAACAACTCGCCAACAAAATGACGCCTTTTCTCCACAACCCACGCTGTTGGACTATGGAAACGGTGATAGTCACCCGGGGCCAAGTAGATGACGGAGAAGAATAGTGAGTGGCCTGATTTCACTGTGGTTCCACTCGCGCTACGCGTGAGGGAAGGTTTCAGGCCCATCTCTGCTGCAACCGATGCGTCGTGTTGTATCGTTTCCGGCAAGTCGCGTTCAGTGACGACTGAGGCGTCAATCTGCTTTCCGAATTTCTGTGGGGGCGATTCGGAAACAGGAGTTGTTGTGCCAGAGGTACCAATGAGCTGATCCAAACTATACTCGATTCCGTTGACGTTAGCGAACTCATGGTCATCAACGACAGGCATAGTTGCGTCAACGTGTGCAAAGGTTGCAGGTGGTGTCCCAGGTCGTTCAACGCCGAGTAAAGCATCAAGTGAATATGTGATGCCCTTGACCTGTTCGACTCGTAAATCCTGAATAGTCCCAAAATGCAGTATCTTTCCGTCAGCAGGGCTGACAAGAATTGCATCAGCAACGGGCCGGGCACCGTCTTTCAGTTTGCGATAGAAGAATGCACCAAGACTTGGGTATGACTTCAAGTCTGCTGGCTCTATTTCATCAAGGTTGCAACCAAAAGCGACGGCGTAGAGGCGGAATCCATATGGCCGGAACCAGACCGGTAGTTCCAGCGAGTTGACATAACCCCATAGTCGAGACATGTTGCGAAGTGGTAAGGCACCAAGTACATGAACCTGAGAGATAAGTTTAGCACATGGAGAAGCCGAAACCTACCTGCCAGGGCCCCTTCAGCCTTATAACCTCGTTCCCATCCTCATCAACGTGTACCTCTTTCCTGGCCTTCTTGCGGTATTGGATAGCCACCAGAACTAGGGCGCCGACAGCAATTGGTATAGGATACCAGGTTACAGGGGTATCGCTCCAGGCGTTCAACAACTTGCCTAGAGGGAAAGATGGTCGGAGAGGTTCATTTTATGGGAACTGTACGTACGGTAAAGTGGCTGTTCAGTGTTGGTGGGGTCTGGCGGTCTTGTGGAATAGACACGGTGAAAACCTTTCGACCTCACTGACTTGAACAGCGCTGAAGTTTTGTTCGTGCTGTGGACCCAACATTTGGCGAAAGCCGAGGATGCGGTGGGGAACGAGGCATTTAATACTCGAGATGCTGCGCGGAGCGGTCGTCGTCCATTAGTGACGAGGTTTTTCTTGGAGAACATGAAGGGGAGAGGAAGGGAGTGATATGCGTAGTCTACTAGTATAACATCATCGCTATTACTCTTGGTATGGATATGAAAGCTTCGGCGCATCCGTCCGCCTCCATAATTTCTTCTTCTTTTTTGTGGGGATATGCTCAGCAAACACCTCCACACAATACTTTGCCTTGAACGTGCGGATGAAGCGAGGGTCCCTGATCAGCTTTTGAGCCTCGCAAACAACAGTGAAAGTGCATCTACTCACCATAACTCGCTCGCAACACCCAAATCCTTGCAGCATCGCATCAGCGCATTGCTCTTGGCCGACTCGAATGCAGTGGGAATGCCAGCGGGATCGAAATATTCTTGTTCTCCCCGGGCAATAGCTACTAGCCTGCGAGTAGCGCGTGAAAAAAATAGGATGGGAACGACAGTAGCGACAACTTACCGACCTAAACACACCAGCGCGTACTCTCGACTGACCACTTTGGGGCCTACGTTGGTCATACTTCGCGGTGCAAGTCCCCAACCGCCAGGTCCAAAAGCGCGGTTGAGTATTCGCCTGTATTTGATTTCAGGAAGGTATAGCATTCCGTCTGGTAGTTCGTTACAGGGACGCAAGATAACGCGGTAGATTAACTTACCAGGCTTAACTTCAATATCATTTGGTTCAACAGGCGCGAGAAGAATGTCCGCTACCTCCTTTTCAAATGGCTTTTCAGACAAGCCAGCGTAGCTTTTAGACCAGTCTGTCGCCTCGTCCGTGGGAACAGGGAGTGGGCTTGTAGCATTTTCTGTCTTCTCTGCTTTCAACTGGTCAGGAATCGAGCTCAGCTCAGCTTCTGTTGAGACAAAACGACGTGTTGCGACAAAGCGACGAGCTGGGAAGTTTGAGATTCGTGAACGAAGTGGAAACATGACTAGTGTCCGCAGTGTCCCAGACATGGTTCTGCTCAAGTTTCTGGTCTTGAGGTTGGATCAATCAAGTCACACTCAAATTTTCTTTCCAACATGGCCAAGACCAAGAAATCTGTGCATTCCTCCCCAGTCCTCATCGACGGCCATGTGTCGTCAGAGCAATGTGCGCTAGCGGTCGAGGCGCTGCATCAGCACTTCGGAAAGCAGGAGAAGGCACGCGAAGAGACAGACCTACTGCCAGTCAAAGAGCAGCACATCTGGCTCAACCTGACCGTCAAAAAAATCGCCTCTGCCCACCGTTTCAAACCGATTAAAATTCCCATTACTCACCCTATCGTCGACCCACGCGTGGAGGCGGTCTGTCTTCTCACGAAAGATCCACAGCGCAAATATAAAGACTTGTTAGAGGAGCATGGGATCAAGTTCATCTCTCGGGTTGTGGGTATCGAAAAACTCAAGGGCAAGTTCAAGCCTTTCGAAGCGAGGAGACAGTTGCTCAAACATAATGGATTGTTTCTTGCGGATGAACGGATTGTTCCATTACTTCCTAAGTTGCTTGGGGTCAAATGGTTTGAGGCGAAAAAAGTGCGTGCCTTTTCCAACTCAAGTTTCGTTGCTAACTTCCTGTAGACAGCCTATACCTGTGTGCTTGACGAGGAAAGATCTCAAGGCAGAATTAGAACGTGCAATCTCGTCGACGTATATGAACCAAAATCAAGGCACTTGCACGTAGGCTAGCTCCCTCGTATGCAACGACCTGCGCACTGATTTTTTGCAGAGCTATTAAAATAGCCAAGTTACCTACACATACGCCAGCCCAAACTATTGCTAATTTGACGAGGGCACTTCCCGCTGCTGTTAACGCGATTAAAGGTGGCTGGGAGAATGTGCAAAGTTTGCTACTGAAAACCAACTCGAGCCCGGGATTACCAATATGGAGCTGCGATTTAGGAGAGAGTCGCTGGGTCGGATTGGAAGAAAAGATGGAGGAGAGTGAAATCAAAGAAGTGCAGGCGGGTGGCGCAACCAAGGGTAAAAAAAGAGCTGCAGATTCGGATGGAGATGAGGTTAGGTCTGTCAAAACCGGAGCAGTTGGGATTGACCAGCCAAACGAGGGCGTGGAGACAAAACCGAAGAAGAAAAAGGCCAAATATCTAGATGACTCGCTGCCATCCAAACGACAATCACCCGATTCGCAGGTCGACGTTCGAATCAGCAGCACCAAGATAACAACGAAGAAAGAATCGACTGAAAAGACGAAAAAGAGAGCGGAGCAAAAAGAGGACGTGCAGCTACCTGATACCCAGGTTGACGCGCGAATCAGCAGCAGCAAGGTATCAACGAAGAAACAGTCGACCGAACAGGAGAAAAAAAAAGCGGAGCCAAAGCAACCAAATGATGACGTGCCGCCCCCCGATACCCTTGGAATCAGCAGCAACAAAATATCGACGAAGAAAGAATCGACTGAAAAGGTGAAAAGGAGAGCGGAGAGCAAACTACCGGAGGCAAAACAACAGAATGATGACGTGCAGCCCCCGCCTCCGATAGCGACAACGTCCACCGACCTGAAGCAAAAGCGACATGGCGAGCGCAAGAAAGAGGTGATCGTGGGTGGAAAGGGGAAAAGGAGCAAAAACGTGAAGAATTCGGTGATTGGTCGGAAAGCAGGCCAGTAAATCTAGCATACAACGGTTGTATTGCAATACTGTACATGCGTGGAAATAATGGGTGCGCAACAGAACAAGAATGGATGGTATGGGGTAGATGTAATAATTACGTAGGTAGGTATGATGGTTCAAAGCCCCTGGATCTGGACAATGAGGAACTGCTTCTCATCGCTGAATTGCTCGTCTTTGGGCGCGTTCAACAAGCGTCAAAACTCGAAAAAATACATCGACTTACCTTCCTTATCATTGTGGAAGTTCTGGAGGAAGACAAGCAACTTGTCCTTATTGCGTCGCAGTATAGTTTCAATCTGAGTCGGCTTCTTGGGATTCGCTACAAAAACCTGGAGGAATCAATGACCAGCTTTGCTTATTAAAAGTAAACAGTACCTTGAAGACATGAAAGGCTTCGAACTGGATGTTCTTGCTCTTGTCGCGAAGCAGATTCATCATCATCTTGAGATTAGCTTCGTTGGCAATGTACCGAGTCATCACGTTGAAGTTGGCGCGGTCAAGGAGGATTTCACCGAGCAGCTTGAGAGACTGCCGCTTGGTGACATAGTTATTGGACAATATCAACGTAGTAAATGATGAGAAAAACTGAATCGGCATCAGTCAAAAAGATGGTAGAACGTTGAGCAAGACGGACTCGGTCATAGTTCTTGTCGATATATTCAGCAACCATTGGCTTGTGTCGGGTGAGCGTCTCCTTGAAGTTGGCAAATGCGTCACATGAAATGCCGAAGGTGGTGGTTTCAATGTAATGAGGGAACTTGTAGAATCTACGTCAATTTCAGCGATTAGGTCGAGAGCAAAGGTTATGTGTGGCACTGGTCTGAATAGAGCAGTATTTTACTCAGCTGCTCGTGACGCAGGATCTCCTTCAGAATCATCCCAGTGTTAAGCGCAACCTCCTCATTCTCATAGCCAGCCAGAGCAGCAAAGATGACCTCAGGCTTCGATGCGATGTAGTCAACTGTAGGCCACCGTGTGCCGATTTGCCTTCGTAAAAGATTATTGAAGATTTGGACAACGTCTTTGCGCGCCTCAAACTCTAGTCGAGCGATATTCAGCACGAGGAGATGGAGGAGGTCGGTGTTATATGTCTCTTGGGCTAGTTGAGCGACAACCTCGGGAAGGGGATCTATAGTTTGCTTAGTTGCAGTGCCGCTTGTACCGAAGGTATTACTCGCCGCCATCGCCATAGAGAATCCCCTTGATTTGCTGCAGATTCTTGGTAATGTCTTCGCTAGCCTCCATACACGTTGTTAGCGATGACGAACGGGCGGATCAGCAAAGAAGTACCTTGCGACGGGACTCGCTTCCAGGTGCGCCATGCTCAAGGCGGGGTATTGTGTCGCGCAAACCACGAACAAGGTCTGGGGGTGTCCGTTGCTTGGTCTTGAAGAAGTTCATCTGGTCGCCGAGGATGGACTAGTAGCGGCGGCGAGGGCGCAGTCGCGGGGAGGAAAGAAGGGTCGGTTAAACGGAGAGGTCCGTCGTCGACGTCAACTGAGGGAAGGAAGCTGTTTGTTTTGGGTGTGTCACGATGTTACAGGGCATCCAACACTCCTCATTATTACGCGCCGTCTAGCGCGTCAATGCCCGCCCCACGTCCCTCGGAGAGTGCTGCAGCTCGAGCCGCAGCACAACAGGCTGAATTCAACGAGAAAAAGTGGGTTTGGGTTCCCGATGACAAGGACGGTTACCTCGCAGGATGGGTGAACTCAGAGGAGGGTGATTATGCCCAAATTATCATGTCTGCTAACGGCGAGGTGTGTATTTTCCCCGTTCCTGTTGTATTTGAGCACGATCTGTTAGTTTCGGAATGTGCCACTTTATGCATTGTCCAAAATGAACCCTCCCAAGTTCGACCGCGTCGAAGATATCGCCGATCTCACCTTCCTGAATGAAGCCAGCGTAGTACATAACCTCCGTCTACGCTTTGGTTCCGGCGCTATATACGTGCGTGCAAAGCTACTAGTGCCTCAAGTGGAATTGTAACTTGGCTTTGGCATCCAGACCTACTCAGGCCTGTTCTTGGTTGCCATTAACCCCTACCAAAGTTTACCTCTCTATTCGGATGCTATTATCCAGCAGTATCGCAGTAAACGGCGAGACGAGAACCCTCCTCATATCTTTGCGGTCGCTGAGCGAGCGTGGGTTAATATGGGCGATGAGAGGGAAAACCAGAGCATTCTCATAACGTTTGTCCATTGATATATTCTTTCTGCGACTGACTTATATGATTCTCAGGGGCGAATCTGGTGCCGGAAAGACAGAAAGTACCAAGAAAGTTATCCAATATCTTGCTGCGATTGCGACAGACGTCCATATAGCTCACTCACGCTCTCCTACAATCGGCACGTCGGCTTCTACTGCGAGCATTTCTCGGAGCGACTCATTCCGACGTGGTCATGGCCCCTCATCATCCAGCGGTACGGGTAGCCATATGACAGCTCGGGGCCGCCTGGGTCTCCTGGAACGTCAGATTCTGCAAGCAAATCCAATCCTAGAGGCCTTCGGAAACGCGCAGACTCAGCGGAACAATAATTCCAGTCGATTCGGCAAATTCGTGCGAATAACCTTCGCCCCAGATGGCAGCATTGCAGGAGCGAACATTGATTGGTACTTACTAGAAAAAAGCCGAGTGGTGGTAAGGAGTGAAGCAGAACGAAATTTCCATGTGTTCTATCAGCTGATGGCAGGTGGTGGTAGTCTCAAAGGTCGATTCTTTCAGCATGTTGATGACTTGGGCTCACTTATTTGTAGAGAATCTGTTACTGAGCGGTGGGATTGAAGACTATGAATATCTCAACATGAGCCGACGAGAAGTAGATGGTGTGGATGATAAGGAAGAATGGTCTCTACTCAAGGTGAACCGATAGATCTCCGCCGATTCTTCCATCTCAAACATTCAAGGGTGCTCTTGACATAGTCGGGTTCACGACTGCTGAACAATTCGATTTGTTCCGCATTGTTGCTGCCATCCTTCACATCGGAAACATTACCATCACTTCGACAAGGGCAGACGACGCAGTCATGCCAGACCCATCCCAGGCAGAACGAGTTTGTCATTTGTTAGGCATGCCTGTGGCAGATTTTACGCGTGCTGTCTTGCGTCCACGGACGCTTGCAGGACGCGAATGGGTCACTCAAGCCAGAACAAAGCAACAAGCTCTTGACGAGCTAGGCTCCCTATGCAAGACCCTCTACGAGAAATCATTCAGCGCCATTGTAGACCGCATCAACGTAGCTCTTGATCGACCATCCTCGAAGTCGACTTTTATTGGCGTTCTCGATATCGCCGGTTTTGAAATTTTCGAGATCAATGGATACGAACAACTCCTAATCAATTACACCAATGAGAAACTCCAACAGTTCTTCAATCACCACATGTTCGTACTGGAACAGGAGGAATACGCTCGCGAGGGAATCAAATGGGACTACGTGAACTTCGGACTCGATCTACAGCCCACGATCGACCTCATTGAGGCCAGTGGCTCGGTGATAGGCATTTTGAGCTGTCTCGACGAGGAATGCATTATGCCACGTGCAACGGACCTGACGTTCACGAATAAACTGCATGGACTGTGGGCAGGCGGTGTTGATGATGAACATTCGCACTCTGGCCGAAGCAAATACGATCCGACCCGCTTTGATCAAGGCTTCATTGTGCACCATTATGCTGCTAATGTTGAATACCGGACTGATGGTTGGTTGGAGAAGAACAAGGACCCACTCAATGACAATCTCACTCGTGTCTTGGCCGCATCGTCTGACCGCTACGTCGCTTCGCTCTTTGCAGAATATGCTGACACACCCAACGCAAGTGGAAGTATGTTCGTCGCGAGTAAAAAGCGTGGTACCAAGAAAGGTGCTTTCAGAACAGTGGCCCAAAGACACAAAGAGCAGCTGTCAAGCTTGATGTCTCAGCTTCAAGCCACTCAGCCCCATTTCGTACGTTGCATCGTCCCCAACTCGAATAAGAAACCAGGTCGACTCGATGTACCTCTCGTACTGGATCAGCTCCGCTGCAATGGTGTTCTAGAAGGAATACGGATCGCTCGGTTGGGATACCCCAACCGGTTACCATTCGTGGAATTCCGGCAGCGTTATGAAGTGCTGACTCCTGGTATCATACCCAGAGGATATATGGATGGGCGAGAAGCGTGTCGGCGGATGGTCAAGGCATTGGAATTGGATGATGCCATCTTCAAGATTGGTACTTCCAAGATATTTTTCAAGGCTGGCGTGCTGGCCGAATTAGAAGAGCGTCGTGATGCATTGCTCTTCGAAATATTCTCCCGACTCCAAGCCGTCGCCCGAATGTGGACCGCGCGGCGCCAGATGAAGAAGATTCTGCACAGGGCCGTTGCCATTCGGACCATCCAGCGAAATGCCAGGGTCTATGCGGAGCTTAGGGACTGGCCTTGGTGGCAATTGTACACTAAGGTATTCCGTTTCTTGCGCCATTCACCAGATATCACAATGCGGAGCAGGTCAGGCCATTACTAGCGGCCACGCGCAACGATGAAGAGCTCCGAAAGAAGGAAGCCGAACTGAGCTTAATCAAAGAGCGCGCTGAACGCGATAAGCAAGAACGTGAGGCGCTCGAAACGCTGAAATCATCGCTTGAAGCCGAAAAACGGAGAGTGGAGGAAGAACTGGAGGCGGAACGCATGCTTGCCATCGATAAGAATATAGTGCTTGAACGGAGCAAGAAGCGCGAAAGCGAGCTCGAAGATGAAATTTCTGCCTTGCAAAGTGACTTGGATATGCTCGACTCGCAACTCGATCGCGCAATGAAGCTTCAGAAGGAAAGTGATGACAAGTTCGAGAACCTTCGGCAAATGTTCGACCAAGCTGCGGAGCATCTCGTGCGCTTAGAAGCCGACGAGAAAACATGGGCATCCAAGGAACAAGAATTAAACGCCCAACTGTTATCAGCCCATAAGGAGGCTGAGTCAATGCAATCCACCATCCAGGAGCTCCACAAGATCGGCGAAGAGCTGAAAAATCTTGCTTTGCAGCGGGAAGAAGACCTGGCACGTACGAAGGAACGGGCAGATGGAGCAGTCAAAGAGTGGGAAGCGAAGCTCCAAGCAGGGGCCAAAACCGGGTGCGTCGTTCCATTCTGCCCCACCTTTTATCCTCATGAGTATCAGCGAAATCTTACAACACAAAGTCGACGAACTCGAGGAAAGTCGACGACAATCGCACCAGCATCTCGCCGAGATGGAGCGTACCGTCACAACGTCAGCCAAATCAATACAAGACAGGGACACACAGCTGAAGAATCTTTCCGACCAAATCGCCTCCATGAAAAAGCTGCATGGGGAGGCGCTTACCGAAATCCGTGCTTTGCAGAACGACATCAATGCCCTCGAAGGAGAGCTTGAGGTTGAGCGCGGGTACCGGACCAACGAGAACGAAACTCGAAAGAAGCTGGAGCATGAGTTGGACGAATTGCGCAAGATGATGGAAGCTAAGACAAGTGAGGCGACGCGGAGGGCCGAGGCGGAGAAAAGTAAGGAACAAGAACTGGCAAATCTCAGAGAACAGGCGCAAAGGCTGCAACAGGACCTCAGTGATGGGCGGAAGCAACTTGTTGATGCGCAGAAGCAACTCAAATTGGAGCTAGAGACATCACGGAGGGAGCATCTAGCATTGCAAGAAAGCCACAAATCGTTGGAGGCGCGTGAGCAGACGGTTGAAGCAGAGCTCAAACGGGCGTTGGCGCAAGTCGGAGAACTTGAGAAATCCAGGCGTTCTTTGGAGTCAGAACTTCAATCGACACATACTCGACATAACGATATCCAAGAACAGCTGGCTGAAACCAAGAAGGCCAAAGAGGTACCTTCCGTGTGGTAATCCGTTTAAATGCTCACATTCATCTATTAGGCTCTGGATCGGCAATTGGCAGTATCTCTACACAAGCACCATGAAATCGAGGATGTTATGCTTCAACTGGAACGCGACAAGAGCGCCCAAGACAGACAGTTGGATGTGCTGAAACAGCAGTTCGAAAATGAGTCTACCAAGCGCAGTCAACTAGAACAATCTCTTGCCAGTCGAAAGAATGACATCGCACAACTAAAGCAACAAAATACGGAACTTGACGCTGCTCTTGCGCAAGCTCTGCTGGACATTCAGACACGGGATCATGAAGTCAAGCAGATTGAGACGAAACAACACACGACGATTGTAGAGCATGTCCATGTTCTTGAAGAAGCCAAGCGAGTGACTGATAGGGAGTTGGCGGACGCAAGGGCGGAACTGGAGCAAAATAGAGCCTACATCCGATCCTTAGAGAAGGCTAAGACTGGGCTCATGCGAGAGGCGGAAGATCTGACCAGGGAAACGGAAAGAGAACGCCTCGAACTCCAGGCCAAAGAAAGATTGGTCAAAGCACAAGAAGATAAAATGGTCAAAGCGGTCGCAGAGGCTGAGCGGGACAGGAAGGAGAAGGACGCTGCCGAGTTACAGACAAGAAGACTCCAAATTGAACTGCAAAGCACCCAACGACAAGTGGAAGAGCTCAACCACCAATTGTCTCAACTTCGGCGCTCCAAAGATCAGCTGGATGCCGACTTAGACAGGCTTGTGGACGACAATGCGGAACCGGCGAGAAAGTCGATGGCACGGAGGATATCACAGCTCGAGGGTCAAATTATCGAGTCGAATTCACCTCGGATGCCCGCTCGATATGATGGTGAAGGACCGAGTGACTGGAGGCGACAGAAGGAGCGGTTGGAGTTGAAGCTGGCTGAAATGACCAAAGCCTACGAACGGTCCTCAGCCGAGCAATCCGAACAACGAAGCCAAATCACAACTATGCAAGGTCAAGTTAGTGAACTACGGTCCGCATTGAACGACGTGGAGGCCGACCGACTGATGCTTCAAAACGCAAGGAAGGCGCTTCAGAGCGAGCTGGAGACCATTCGACATGACCATATCGACACAAGTCTGGTTTCAAGTGATAGGGAGATGCACAAGCTTCAGTTAAGACAACTCGAACTGGAGAGAACAGTGGATGAACAAGAGTATCGGAGTGCGCAAAGCCTTGAAAGGATGAAAAAGGCCGAGATCAAAGCGTCTCAAAGCGAAATTGATTTGGGTAAGGTAAGGGTGGAGAAGTCAGCACTAGATCGTCTGAATGTGAGTGTTTTCTTGTCTGAGACGCTCAACGTGATTGATCCCACAGGCGAATTTGGAGAAACAAGTGATTGAACTTCGGGGACGTATCAACGAACTAGAGTCTCGCCCACCCAGTACTCCACGAGCGGTGAAGAGAGAAAGTCGGATTGAGGAACTCCAGAATCAGCTGCAGAACAAGTCGCGACGATGAGAAGGGTAGAGCCATAAATTATATCTTGCAACATTTGTATTGTACTCATGCATTTGTACCACTAATACTTTGATATGTTCAGTCCCATTCGTCATCGTCGTCGGCCTCCTCGTCGTCATCACTGTCTCCCATGTTCTTGTTGCGAAGCATGAGTGCTTCTGCAAGTGCAGTAGTGAGATCTGGAGCAGCGGACCCGTTTGTCGGTGATATCGGTTCTTCGGGAGCGGCTCGGGATGGTGGCTGTGGGGATTGATCCGTCTTACGTAAAGAGTGGATACCTTTTCCTTGGATTGATTCCAGGAGGGCTGCGCGACCTGGCTGAGGGGTGGGTAATGGACTGGATGTACTCCCATTTGTTGTGGGTGCTGGCGGGGGTGGGGGAGGTGGGGGAGGTGGGGGTGGGGGTGGGGGTGCGGATGAAGGAGCAGGTGTCGCATTATTAATATTATTATTTACGACTGATGGTCTCGGCGGAGGTGGGGGTACTGGTGTATTTCTGGTAGAGGGTCTGGCTGGTGGCGGTGGCGGTGACGGTTGTGCAACTGGTTGTCTCGGTGGAGGAACTGAAGGTCGAGCTGGTGGTGGCGGTGGTACCTGTGACACCCGGCTAGACCTTGGCGGTGGTGGGGGCGGAGGCATGGCAGTTGATGAAGAAGTGCTATCCGTCTGGGCATGAGTTCGGCTTCTTGACGGTGGAGGAGGGGGTTTGGGCTTTTTGGGTTCTTTCGTTGAAGGCAATGCTGCCTGCGGATGTTGACGGACGTAGTCCTTGATAAACTCCATTTCCTTGGCGATAATGTTCTTGTCCACTCCAGACTTTTCCAATTGCCCGAGGAATGCAGTCCAAGACGGGTCCACCCCGGTCGATGTGAAACCTTGGTTTTCGTCGTAACCCATATGCGCCACATGCTTGAACGCCGTTGGCGCAGAAATCATCGTCTTGTCAATTTTGCCACCTTTGGCTGCCTTCTTTTTCTTCTCTGACGCTGGTTTCGCTATCGTCGTGTTAGCTCGAGCTCAAGCGGAAGGGTAAGAAACATCTTACACCCCTTGGACTCCTTACGCTGCGTCACTTTCTTCCAAAAGGACTTGCCTTCACGTTCATCGGCGAATATGAATGCGACCATGCAGTCCTAGGGTTGGATGAGAACAATACCATGAAATACTAGATCCCAACGTACGTCGGAGGGGAAAGAGTGAAGATAGGCGGTGTCAGGCGTGTATTGAAGGCCATCGTACAACTCATGGTCCCAAATAACTCCGCGAGTTCCCGTCAAATCCACCATGCGGAAATAGTGCGAGTTCTTGCTCGTGTCTTTCACGAGTGCGATGCCGCCTTGTAGTCCAGCATAAGACCATTTCGTTGGGTCTGGGTGCGCATAATAGATACGGGCAAGCGTGGCAAAGAGGATCTTGTTGGTCGTTGCGGGTATTGCAGACTTTATTTTCGCCTTTTCGTCGTTGTTTAGCGTCGACTGTGAAGGCATGACAGAAACTGCGGGTCAGCGTGACCGACTGAAACTCTTGCTGTCTTACTCGATGGATGCACTGAACCAGACACAGCAAAGCGCAGTGGCCCAACTACGTGACCTCACAAACGGCGACGAGGACGTAGCTATCAGTGTTCTCCAGACTGTAGACTTTGATGTTGAACGGGCGGCTGAACTTATATTTGGCACCGCACCACCACCACCTGCTGGCCATGGACGCGTCGCACCAGTTGTAGAGGAATTCGACATTGACGACAGCGAGCAACGACATCACGGCCAGCCTGTTGTTGTGCGACCGACACATGCTTGGAGTATATCAGTCCTATTCACCTGGCCCTTTCAACTGCTGTCTTCGCTGCTCAGATTCATACTTGGTATTCTTCGGGTCCCTTTGCCTCGCCCATTTGCTTTCAATCTCGCTCTGTTCCGGCCACGGCGAACTTCCCCGCCGCGAGGGAATGGTGGGGCTGATCGTTGGGTGAGGGAATTGGAGGAGGAAACTGGTGCCCGGTCTCTCAGTGCCTCCGGTATTGAAACCAGTCCCAGCGCAGGGCCCTCTACGCTCACCCACCGACCCCAGAATGATAGAAAGGTCCTTCCGGATTTTACTCTCGGTACTTACGAAGAGGCTCTCCGAACCTGCCAGCGTGATCTACGCGTAGGCTGTATCGTTTTGGTCAGTGAAGAACATGACGATGTACCAGAATTCAAACGGTAACGCTCTCCCTCCTCTATGTTATCTTGCATGCTGATATCCGTTGAACCAGATCGACACTGACGGACTCCACATTTGTCAGGCTTCTCACAGAAAACAACGTCCTTGTTTGGGGTGGAGACGTTCGGGACCGTGAAGCCTACAGTGCTGGACTAAAACTGCAGGCCACTACCTACCCATTCGTAGCATTCCTCGCCCTCCAGCCGCGTCGTGGTTCTTCTTCAACATCATCGCCAGTTCTCACAGTATTGTCGCGCCATCAAGGCTCTCCCGCTGGTCCTACTTCAGCCAATACCTTAGCTAATCATCTGGAAAACCAAGTGTTGCCTCGCGTCACGCCATTTCTCGGCAGCCTGCGAGCCGTTCAACATGCTGCTGCTGCTGATAGGGCATTGCGCGAGGAACAAGGCCGTGCTTTCCGCGAAGCTGCCCTTAGGGATACTGCCAAGATACAAGCAGCAATTGAAGAAGAAAAACGTGCGAAACAAGAGAGAATTGAACGAATTAATGAGGCTGCGCGTATTGCTCAAGAGGCTGAGGTGAAGGAGAAAATGGCGAATGATCGTTTGCAATGGCGAGCGTGGACAAGAGCAGTTGTCGAACAAATTCCTGAGGATCGCGATGGAATACGGCTAGCAATGCGACTCCCCGATGGTAGAAGGCTGGTTCGCAAGTTTGACGCCAGCCGTTCACTTACTTTCCTCTACACATTTGTGGACGCACATCTCTCAGACCTCAATCGAGCCACCACGACGTCAACTTCGCCTGACGGCCATGGGGCAGACAACTTGGAACGTGCTATGGAGGAGCAAATCGATCGTGTTGGTGATCCTCAGTCGTGGTGGGGCTTTCAACTGATGCTGGCATACCCTCGACAAGAGATTTCATGGCGGCGAGGTGCCCTTGTTGGACAAATAGAAAGCCTCAAAGGCGGCGGACAGCTTGTTGTTCAAATGAACTCTTTGATGGTTGAGGGGGAAGCAGACGAGGAGGGATACATTTCGGAGGATTAACCGTGATAGAGCGTAATATACATTCTGGAACTACTGCGACAAGATCGTCCTGACGAACGATTCGTAATTGACGTTTCCGTCGCTAGAGTGTTGGTCAGCCTTTAAGCAAGTGCCGAAGATTAGGTATAACGCACGCCCCAATTTGGACTCCTTTGAGTAACTCATCAACCTCCTGGTCGGTCATTTTCTCTCCAAGTTGCGTCAAGACATAGCGTAACTCCCCCGCACCGATAATCCCATTCCCGTCCTTATCGAAGACTTGGAAACCGCGAATAAACTCCTCTGTTCTATCATGTTAGCTGGAGGGGGGGGGGAGAGGGGTAAAGCAAGACGAACCGGCAGTACCGGCGGGCTTGAAACCATCAGGTCGGTTGAGAATGGCCAGAAATGTCTTATAGTCAACTGCAACTTGTTCGGTAAAGTGAAGCAATTGTAGGATAAAAGAAAAGGACCATCGCGCGGAGCAGCACTGACGATCTCTGCTACCTCCGCTTGGGTTGGATTCTGGCCCAATGCACGCAGTAGATCGCCCAATGTTTCTCGGGGGACAGAGCCAGTTCCTCGTTTATCGAAGAGAGCGAAGGCTTCCTTGTATTCTGTGCAACGCAAGAGTCAAAATGGCTCAACGAACTGGAACACGGTATAACCTGCGTTGTCGCTCTAACAATAGGGTTGGTTGAGTTCAAGTCACCCTGAAGAGACACTGACCATAGTAGAAATGAAGTCAGAAGTGTGTGTGACTGGTCACTCAAATGATAATATACTGATTTAAGCAAGCAACTAGGATACATGGCGTCTGTACTGTGCACTAACCATCGCATGGTCTCTCTCATAAGGCTCGAGAGTAACCTGCTCGATAGGTTTAAACCTTCCTGCTTTCAGTGTCTGCAACTCGGCGGCAAAAACGACATCTGGTGGTGCAGTAGAGTCGATACAGCTCGCTTTTATCGAGATCACGACATGGCCGTTGTCTCGCAAGAAACTTTCCGCATTGCGAATAACGATACGAGCTTGGTCGGGTTGCGCTACGTCAGCAAAGATGACGTCCACAGTCGATATCAGCATTCGATACTTGTTCGGAAGTCGAGCATCTTCGACGATAGCTGAATTTGCTTAGTGAGAAATCTAACAAGAGGATAAAGAAAGAGAGATGTACGAATAACGTTGGTTCGTTTTTTTGCCATAGTGATCAGGTCACGGCCTGAACGCGGCGAGAATTCCACTGCGTAGACAACCCCTTCCTGCGCAAGTCCAATGAGACTATCAGGACAAACAAGAGAGAGTGACATACTGGGCCTACAATATCAGCGACATGGCTGACGCTGGTCCCGCTCGCTGCACCGAGATAAAGCACTTTTTTACCAGGATGAATATAAATGTTGTCAAGACCGCTGAGAATTCCCGCAGCAAGTTTGCTGCGAAAAGGATTCCAAACACGATATTCGATTTTTGTGCCGTCAACGCCGCCGTCGATGGATATTCTTTTTTCGCCATAGACAGATTCGCCTGGGACCAGATTTTTTGTAACGAGCATGTGTTCTTTGCCTTTTGCAATGAACACTCCTGGATGTCGGTGAGGTTCAAGGACAGTGTTAGATCCACCCTTGGCTCCACCCCGCCCACCGCGCGGAGCACCTCTTCCTCTTGGAGCACCACGGCCTCGCCCACCACCTCTGGGTGCACCTAGAAAGGAATCAAATCCAAAGAAAAAATAAAAATAAAAAAGAACAAGGCTCACCTCTGCCACCACCACCACCACGCATACCACCTCCCCGACCTCCCCGACCGCCTCTGTCGCCACCACCCCTGCCGCGTCCACCGCGTCCACCAAAACCACCTCGTCCTCCAGATTCACCAAAAGCCATCGAAGTTTTTCTGTGGAGATAACGCCTGTGACTGATGGTTTGTTCATGTTCTCCACTCGCCGATGTTTGCACGAGAATCCACTTGTTGGTGATATCTGAACTGAAAATCGCTCATTAAATAGCTACTAGGGGCTTCAAAGACTCGCATTGCCACGAAAAGCGACTGGGATTCCACAGAAACGTTGTATCCCAAATGTTAAACGTGTCGTAGCTGTCGCAAGTGGCAAAGGCGGCGTTGGAAAGAGCACTGTTGCTGGTAGAAAAATTTCCCCGCGTCTCTTTATCTTGCAAACTTGCTCTACAATAGTCAATCTTGCGTTTGCTCTATCGACTCGCAAACTACGTGTTGGTATCCTTGACTTAGATATATTCGGTCCTTCCATTCCAACTCTAATGGGACTACAACATAGCGAAGAGCCTCTAATCACGTCAAGTAAAATTTCGCTTTATTGCTTTTGTTGCTCATCCACGATATTTTCCACTTAGACGGAGCGCTGATTCCCTTGATGAACCACGGAATAGCAAGCATGTCGATGGGGTTTCTTCTGCCACGAGACCTCAAGTCTAGTTCTACACACGATAGTCCTGTCGTCTGGAGAGGGCTGATGGTACAAAAGGCTGTCCAGCAGCTTCTATTTGACGTGGACTGGTCGAATGAATCACGACTACCTCCTCTCGATGTCCTTGTCGTGGATCTTCCGCCTGGAACTGGTGATGTACCACTCACTCTCGGTCAACACGCTCAAGTCGATGGCGCAGTAGTCGTGTCAACCCCGCAAGATGTGGCACTTGCTGATGTTCGCAAAGGTATCGCCATGTTACGCAAAATAGACATCCCTGTGTGTTCTTGTTCAAAAACGAAGTGCTACTTGATGCCTTATATGTCTAGATCATTGGCCTTGTCCTCAATCTTGCCACGTTCCTTTGCACCTCTTGCCAAACGGCGCACCAACTTTTTGGATCCCCTGCAGCGTTTCACAACGTTGCTGAGCGCTTCGACATCAATGTCCTGGCGAAACTACCTCTCGTTCCTGGTGTCAGCATTGGCGGGGATAACGGTTCACCGTTTGCACTCTCTCGTGAACAACAGAGACATAGAGGTCCTGATCAGTGGCTATTAGAGATGGACAAAGCAGCAGAAAGTGTCTGGCAAGCAATAGTATAGCGTAGTATCATTCGACAACTCCAAGCATCGTTCTCATGACATATTCGCCTTTCCTTCTCCCTCCACCTCGACTCGTGTGACGGATGAACCCTAACAAATCAAGCTCGTGAACTGCTCGAACAAAGCGTGCTTGCACCCTTGATCGCATTTTATCTTCTGACTGTTCGTTCTCCAGTCGGACTGACGAGTGTTTTCGTTGCCGACCGTCTTCCTGGGCCTCCACTACGACTCTGAAAGTGTCAAACCAATCAAATACATTGATCATTTTGCCACCCTTGAGATACCCTTGGAATAGGATATTTGTATCTGGGAATGTGGATATTTCAGCGCTGATATTCTTGTCGAACGCTACGTTGTCCACGCCATTGAACGTGTACTCATGAGGAGAAGACAGGCCGTTAATCAGCGATGACCGCATAGCAGGATTGACGAGCTGCGGAAAGATAAGCTATCCAGCAAGCCACGAATCGATTTTGTTCACTTCACCGGGAAAGCAAGTTTTGCCTGTGTACCAAACGTCCCAGAGAGGACCTATTTCGTCCAAAGGTTTCAGCAATTCCCTGAAGCACTCAAAACCCCATGCAGCCATTTGAGCTTGAAGTTACCTGATGATTTTTTCCATCGCACTGGCACTTTGAGTTTCACTGTCACCCCTCACACTTTTTAACGTAACTATTTCGCTTCGAATTCTAACGTAGGCTTGGCGGACTTCAAGAGATGATTCTTGAAAATACTCGTGGAACTTGCCGAGCACTGTGCTAAGTTCAGATGGTGCCAGTTTCCTAGAAGCAGTTGTGGGATGTGCGGTCAACGGTGAGATGGACTTACTGTAGAAGACCCGCGACAGCATGACCCTCAGTCAATGCGCGAGACATCCGTGCAGCTCCGCGCCATCTTTCGATGGACTTGTCTGGACGAGAGCGGAGAAAAGTAATGACAAGATGAAGCAGCGAAAATGCAAGTTTGATATCCGTGACCTTGCGAGAAGCCGAGTCCCTGATGTCGTCGATGGCTCCAATCAGAGCGGCAAGAGACGAAGAGCAATTCCGCCAATCCTCCTTTTGTTTCGTTGAAAATTTCCCAGCGCTGTAGCGGTCGAGAAGATCTCGGGCAAAAACAGTCGATGTTTCGAACAGAAGGGGTGGCGTTGTCTGCGCAAGCAGACTGAACTTAATGGTCGAGAAGTGGTGCAAATATGCGATCTGCTGCAGGTTGAGAGAGACGATGGCGTTTTTTCCAAAGTACCTCCTTGTAAAACACTGATTAGTGCACTGATAGAAGAATCGTTTGTTTCGTAATACTCCTCCACGAACTCGAGCAGCTGTGGGCCGGGGAAGAGGGTTGCATCGAACGCGGGATTAAAGAAGACCTGTTAAATAATGAGCCAAAAAAGCAGAGACCAAGGAATGGCAGACTCCAAAGAGAATAGAATCGAGAACCGTTCGCCCGCCCGGGACCTCCAGGTGGTATGGTCGCAATAGTTTCAATGTGGAATGTGGAAGAGTCTTTTGAAGATAGTTTGATGACGATGGTCCTGATAGTAGCAACACAAAGAGGAATGGAAGGGTAGTCGAACTTGGCGATATGAAAACTCGGCCGCATCACACAGCAAGTAGTATTACACTGACCTGCAGATATAGAACATGTCTTGGACCGTCTGTTGGTCAAATTTCTCGAAATCGTGTAGAAAGACTACGAGACGTAGGTCTAAATAGGGTTAACGACTGGGTCTGTCCAGAGAAGGATAACTCTCGCCTTGAGCCATTTCCTGATACCATGCGCTAAGTAGTTGAATATCCACTGATGCCAAAGCAGTGCTCTTGCGCTGTAGGGCTTCTTTTTACTGTGAGCAGTGTTCGAAGATACAATCTGAGGTACCTTTATCCACAAAACCTGTGATCAGGCTTTTCATCGCTGCTCCAATGCTTAGATTGTCGTTAGGATGGATGTGGGTGTCCACAAAGTTGGTGGCATCGACACTCTCATTGACAAGGCTAAGAAAGATGGAGCCTCCTGAGGCGTCTATGGGATCCTCTAGCAGACATAATATTCCAAGGAGCAAATGGTGACTGACTGGTGACTGTAATAATAGGTAGTTCGTGAGAAGGTAAACCAGGAAGAAGGTCGATGTGAGCGCTCTCTAGCTTTTGGATGAATGTTGAAACGACCGGAGCGTAAATTTCCGCGATTATTTTCTACGATGAAAGGCGTGAGCTGAGATGAGGGCACACAAATGCAGCAGGGACTTTGATCCTATCCAGACAGCGGGCCCAGGCAACTGTGTACGCGTGCTGTCGTAGTAGAACTAAGTTGGTGTCTTGGGTTTGAGGCGGATCATCCTCTGGTTGAAAAGGAATAGAAACCACAATCTGGTGTGGTGGCATTGGTGAGTGTCACACTACTCGTGACCGCGCCAACTCATGCAGTCACCACTCATATCGATCCCTCGAAAGACGACAGAGGAGGTTGACTGGACTACAAGTATCAAGAATCTTATCTCGCATTCCTATGGAGAGAGCCCAGAAAACTACTCTGCGGAATGTGCAGCCCTTCAACGCTGTCGTCAAGACGCAGTTCGAGGTGCGGGCAGCGATATGACTGCTCGCGACCTTCTCTACAAGTATTTCGGCCAATTAGAGCTTCTGGAACTCCGTTTCTCCGAGATTCGTGTCACATTTCCATGGCACGATGCATTCACCCATAAATTAACTACCCAAACCTCTATCGCGTATGAGAAGGCATCCATACTCTTCCAAATCGCATCGACGCACTCCGCCATCGCTTCCTCGCAGAACCGCTCGTCGCCCGAAGGGCTAAAACGTGCATTCTACTACTTCAGAACATGTGCGGGAATGCTCACCTACATCAACGAAAACTTTCTTCACGCACCGTCTAAAGACCTTAGCAAAGAGGTCATCAAATTCCTCGTGAATCTCATCTTGGCCCAAGCTACGGAGGTTTTCTGGGAAAAGTGCGTCGAGGAGAAGAAAGGTAGTGGCCTGATTTCCAAAATCGCTTCTCAGGCTGCCACAATGTATACAAGTCTCGCTGAAGAGGTAAAGGAATTCCAAGGCCAAAATATATTGGATAGGAACTGGGTCACTCTGATTCAGGTTCGGACCTTGGTATCGGATGTGAACGAGCTGACAAATCCTATAGATCAAGTCAAAATACCTCACCTCGCAGGCTCAATACCATCGTTCTCTTGCAGATACGGATACTGGAACATATGGCGATGCCTTGTCGCGCCTCACCCTAGCCGAATCTCTTGCTAAAGAGGCTTTACGACTGTGCGCATCATTCAATCCGACATTCACACCAGCAACGGCCTCTGCACCCTCTTTGTCCACTTTTCCTGCCGACGCCAGCTCATCAATGCTTGCTCTGGCTAAGTCTCACCTCGCACTCGTGAGCGATCGTCGGGCAACCGCTAATCGCGAGAATGACCTGATATATAATGCCATCCTTCCTTCTGTCGATGCCCTTCCTTCCATCGAAACCAAGACTGCCCTTACCTTGGCGACTCCGATACCAATTCAAGAAGTCTACGGCACACCCGAAGTGCAGAAAACCATCGGTGCCGACATTTTTAGTCGTCTTGTACCTCTCAGCGTTCACGAGAGTGCATCTGTCTACTCTGAAGAGAAGGCAAAATTGGTTCGCGGAGAAGTAGAGCGGGCTGAAATTGCGGCTAGCGAGTCGAAAAGCTTTTTGGACGGACAACAGATCGTTCAGGGTCTGGATCGTTTTCGTCAAATGCTTCGCGGTACCCAATCAAATATTCCCCCCGAAGTCAAGCGATGGTCTTCCGAGATCTCCTCGCCGGAAAGTAGAGAAAGTATCTCCGATCTCTTGTCACAACTCATCCGACTCAAGAATGCCTTGCAGTCAGAGCTGGACCCTGCAACAGGGATTGCTAGAGAGCTGGATTCCGAGAGTAGAGAATGCGAAGCCATGAGAGTTCGGTATGATCACAGATGGACACAACAACCGAGTGCGGCTTTGAACAAATCCCTACGACAAGATTTGAAGGCTCATATCATCGCGATGGAGGAGGCCGCCAGAAGCGACGCTCAAGTTCAAACCCTTTGGGATAGCGTTTCAGCGGACATTAAAGCACTGGCGACTGGTCAACTAGAGTCGTACTTTGTTCAGATCTCGACGTCTGAGAAGCGAATGAGTCTGTTGGATCTCGGGGATGAAGCGGAAGTTGCCGAGAAGGAGGAGAAAAATCGCATTGCCCACTTCGTCCGCGAACTAGAAGAACGGTTAGCGGTGTTGCAGAAGATTGAGAAGGAGCGCAATGAGGTCTTGAAGGACCTGAAAGAGAAGGTAAGCATGTCTCTGCGAGCGATTGCGATTCTTTCTGATCGTTTTTTTTAGATACAAACCGACGATGTCTCGCACTTGCTTTTATTAAATCGTCGTAACACTGGCGTCGAACAAACACTCTTCGCTGCGGAACTAGAAAAGTTTCGGCCCTATCAGCAACGAATTGCGGCTACCATTCACCACCAAGAAGTTGCACTACAAGAAATTGTCGCTTGTTGGAAGGATCTGTGTGAGTTTGCAGATTCAAAGAACTCTTCACGTCAATGGGACGATAACGAGAAACGACGCGAGGTGGGTGTTCGTCAATTGAAGAGTGCTTGGGAAGGTTATCAGGAAGTTCGAGATGGTGTTGCGTGCGTTCTCTTTTCCCGTAGTAGAGGACTTTTCATTGACATTCTTTATAGCAAGGGGCTGCAATTCTACTCAGAGTTAACAGATCTGACCGTCAAGTTAAGGCGCAATGTGAAAGCGTTCATTAGCGGGAGGGCTGCTGAGCGAGAAGCCTTGGCATCCAAGCTCCGCGGCAAGAGGCTCACCCAGCCGGGCCCGCCCCCTCTTGCGCCAAAGCCATCATCGACGGGACTCGAGTCAACATTTTCTACCATGAGCATTGCACAGTCAACATCACAATGGTCGCCTCCAGCCTCTAATTTCCCTTCCCCACCCCCACCCCCACCTCCAAGCCAATTTCCACCTCCGACTCATTCAAATCCTCACTACTTGCAACCAGTACCTATTCAATCATTTCCCCCACCTCCGCCTCCCCCACCCCCAAGTCATTTTCCCTTTCAGTCCCACATTGCACCACAAGACCCCTATGCAAACCTAGGAATGTTTGCTTCATCATCAACACATGCAAGTGTATCATCACCTCAGAGTTCTGTGAAGCCAGAGATATATGGTGGTTATCACCCACCTGCAATACAACAATCTGGTTTCCCACCACCCTCATTGCCTGTTACCTACCAATACACTCCATCTTCTCCTCCTCCTCCTAACCAGTCACATTATACTGGATTGTATCATGAATCTTAATGTAGACAACTATTTTGTGTGTATATAACTTGTGGCTATAAGCCTTGTCAGATTGCTAAATATTAAGTTTTTCAAGGAGGAAGGAGAGAAGAGAGGGATATTGTAGTATACCTTAGGTACTTGATATACTGGTTTCTCTGCCTGATTTATATCCCATGCATCTTCGGATGCTCCAAGGTTATCCTTGGAGTGCAACAGGGTTTTTATATAATGAAGATATCTAAGTGTTTCCCTTCAAACAGTTAATCTGCACACAGACTCCCTCAGACAAGTTCAGACCCTTTGACTATCAATATCAGACCTTATCCCATATCTTCTCGTTCCCTTTTGTAAAGTGCCGTGCAAAGACTAAAGGGAAGTAATGGAGAGTCCAAAGGAAAACTGAGTAGCCATCACAACACTACATCAGAGTGAGCAACTACACATCTTGCAGGCTGAATACAAGTTTGAACAAATACATGAACTCTTGTATATATGTTCCGCAAGTCCAAAGGCAGCAAGGACTTAGAACACAAGGGGAGTCAGATAAGAGTGGAGAGCAAGGTAAGAAACATTAATAACGAAACTAACATATAGGAGCATAGAGTACAAGTATTTATACTAAGTAGTAAACATAAGGTATATGACCTCACAGGGAGATCCAAAGAGATCTTCCTGTGGAATAAGTACAAAGGCAGAGTAAAATAAGGGGAATGAGAAGACATACATAAGGCAAAGGAAACAAACTGAACACAGGTGTTATATGCATGCAAATATGTGTACCAGCTATATATAGTGGAAGCGCATATGACCAGTATTTGGTCATAGTGGTCTTTTGGCCTAGTTGGATTCTGTGTTAGCACTTCTGTATGGATTTCACAGTGATAGCCTCGGAGCGTCCAAAGATGCACAAGATATAATAGTACTCCTGTTAAAACTATTGCCCCGAGAGTCATAGAACCATCTAGAACAAAGCGTAACCTGCCGGTGATGGCCGAAAATTTCACTATATAAGGAGGTGAAACATTCCTATTAATTTCTGCTATGTCATCCGTAGCGCCAAACTGCCAACTGCCCAACAAGGATAATAAGGGGCCAAGCAAAAAAGGCTGCCCTAAAACAGAAGTCCTGCAAGGGCAAAGAGCCAGCAAGGAAGGAGGGGAGCGATTCGGAGAGACCGAGCAGGGCCCAGTTACCGCCAGTCAGTGCATCATAGCAAATCTGAATGGGCCGTACTAACCTATCCCACAGAGGGAAGTGGCCACCAAGATAGACGACGCTGTTGATATCCCGTGGCATCTTGTTGATCCAATTGATCTAGAAATAATCAGTCCGTGTGCTAGATTTTGAGTTTGACTGACCTGTTGCTATTGAGTAAACCCCACAAATCAAATCCTCTTCCTCAGGCGTTAATTTCTCAAAGAAGACAGTCCGGTTTGGCCCAGGAATAGGGAATGATGCATTGGCATCATATATATCGAGGTTATCTCGGGAGCATAGACTAATTGGGATCTCGATGATAAGATGAGTGATTCGCGAAATAACACCGCCAGCATGAATTGCAAGTTTGCCCCAAGGCAAGCATAAAAATTTGTCGGCAAGCTTGATATATCCGTAGTAGTCAAGGAGCATCGTGTCAGACTGCAGGTCGGGCCGTGCAAGGACTTCTCCTAAGAACGCCGCGCGCCCGGAACAGAACAGACGAATCATCGGGCCCGTGAGTACGGCGAGCGGGGTAGATCGAAACCGAAAGGGCCCATTAACTCGGTCCCTTGTCGCTGTTGGTGGTCAAAGGTTCGAATTGGGTCGTGTCGGGCCCGATGAGTTGTTGGCACCTCCTTGCATGGAGAAAGGTAGTTCTTCAGACGATCTAAGTGATATAGTACATGGTACGTTATCGTGCATTATATACACTGGCCCGCAAAGGGGTGATCGAACACCCTGGCCTCTCCTGCTCCTCCTCGCCCCCATTCCTGGCCGCAGAGGGGACGATTGTACATCCCTTGCGGGCCAGGCGCTACTCCTAACCTCCTAGCACTCCTCCTCAGTCCCCTGGTGTCGAGTTGGGCTCGGCAACGGCTCGACATGTTGTTCTCGGTCACGTGCTTTCCACGTGTGCATTCCTCCTACTGGGGCGCATGTTCCCCGTCGTCACATGCTGTGTGTTACGGGCCTGCGGTGGCCCGACACCAGCGCCAGAGAGGACGGGCCGGGTCTTATCCATGACATCACCCCCTCCCTAGGAACGACTCGTCTCGAGTTGGCGTGGCTTGGTCGCCCTGGTTTCTCAGGTTTTTTAACTTTAGCTCGTCCTTCCAATCGCAATTTCCATCCACCCCATAAGCTTAAGCTAAGCTTCAGCTGCGCGTTTTAATCTCCCGTGGCTTCTGTCGCCTTATGGCGCTCGCAGATCGCTTCTTCCTGTCCATCAAGTGTTTCACCGCAGTCACGTGCACAGCTGTGTTGGCATTTCCAATTCAGTTTCGCATCCTTTGTTTGTACTGATTGCGAGTAGGCTGTGCTGCGCACCTCTGTCAGGTTCGATATAGAATGTATTCGTTCTTTCTTTCATATAAGGCCCCGGGTTTTTCCTTCAACTCGACTTGCTTCCCTTCATGGCATCCCCCAACTTGTATCGTCCAGGGCTCCTGCCCCCGCTCCACTCGCAGATGGTCCCCCCGTCTTCGGAGCCCGGTCGTCTGTTTGTCCGATTCACGTCGATGTCTCTGATCGAGTTTCCTCCTTTCTGGCCTATCGCGCAGGGGCGAGACCCGTTGTACCAGGAGTCACTCGAGCCCCTTTGCTCTCTAGATGATCTGTCTCCTTCCCAGGCTGCCAAGCACTCCTCTAGGCTGGTTCCCCGTCTGGCCCCCTTAGTGCCTTCGCATCGTGCTCCAACTCCTCCGACTGCCATTCGTGATGTTGAACGCCGGATCCTTGTCGCGCAGGGTGCATGTATATCGAATCTCGACCTCCAAAGTGAGTAAGCTAAGACCCCATTGTCCGTTCCCATTCGCCGCGAGCGGGGACCGCACAGTGTTCGTCAGATGAGGCAAATTCTTCGCCCCCGTTATCCTCCCGTCCAGTGTTGTGACAAAGGAGTTCGACCGCTTGATACAGGCGCGCCTATGGCAGCCGGTCGTTTTTGGGGCCCCATCACCTCTACTTTGGCGTCCTTTTTGATGCATTCCCTTCTTTCACTGCGGGCAATGGAGCATATTCTGCCCTGGAATATGTTGAGAATATTATGAATATCATAGGCTGTATTCATTCCATCTTCTAGGCTGGAATATGACAGGAATATCCGTGGAATATTCTCAATTTTCTCACCATCTGTCATATATATGACAGCCCGGAAAATGTTGAGCAGATCCGTGGAATATTCTCAATATGCCACATGTTTTCATTCAATATTCCGGCCTGGAATATATCACATGTTCCAGGCTGGAATATTGTGATAAGATTTTGAGACTATCATTGATTGGGATTCTGATTAGGATTCTATAATTAGCTACTATTTCAGCAACCACACAAATGCTTAACAAATGCTGCCTCTAGAAATGCCCAGCAGACTTGCAAGAGGCAGAGCACAAACCTAAATGCTCTATTGCCTTCTAAATACATATATCTCATTACTAGCTAATACTACTAGTAGCACAGATGTAAGCCTGGCTTACATGAGAGATGATGGGATTGATAAGATCACCTTTTTCTTTGCTTCTGGACACTACATCGCTTGTACCGGTACATATCCCGAATCACCCACAGAAGGGTTCTGTTGTCTCTCGGCGTACCTCTCGACGCTCTTAGTGTTTCCAGTCTCTCCCGAGCACCGGTTTCCACTTTTTTGACAACATCAACCACTTTCTGGACGATAACTTGTACAAGACCTTGAAATCAACACCCCCACACCTTTCCGAGCATCTCGCCAACCTCTCCGTGGACTTCGACCTCCATTCGGAAGCCTCGCCGAAGGCACACGACCACGGACTCGTCGCCCGACTTATCACACACATCACATCCCTCGCTTGATCACCCGTAGCTGTAACATTTAGCCTAGTGTAAGGGCAACCCTGGAGACTCCGACGAAAGCCTAGCAGGGGAGGATCCAAAGAGAAGAAACTCTAAGGGTCCACCTGCTAGGGCACCCACCAACTATATACTGGTCGTCCGTAACTGCCGACGTAGAGCGCAGAAGGCCTGAGCGGCGTCGCAGGCTCTGTCCCAAGGTGATCGTTGGGAGGGTCTTGACGGATCGGTGATTGTGCGGGCGAAGGAGGCCGTGGACGATGGTCGGGGTGGGTCGGAGCGTCCGAGGGGGCGCTGGTCGGATGCGCCTCGGATGCGTTCAGAGGGTCCGAAGGAGGCCGAAGCGGGGGTTCCCCTGACAGCCAAGCGCGAGGAGATGGTGACTGACTACGACTTCAGGACCGCCTACTACCAGAGCACAGTACAGGTCCTCCATTTTCATGGGAGTCAATCCAACCTGCAGAAGCACGCCTGGTACTTGGACTATGTGCAGCCCATCAATGCGCTCGCTTATGCTCTCTACTCTACCGACTTCGAGCGCTCGGTCGGCGACTTCTCCTATGAGATGTTGTTCCTCCTTCAGGGCATTCGCCAAGAAGATCGTGTGCATGTCGCACTTTGTTATCGCGCAGAAGTATTTCAACGAGACATATGAGGAGCGGCAGCACCAGGAGGCACGCACTGGCCAATTGACACGGCCTTACAGTTATCTGACGGAATTGCTGATTCGGCAGAATGAAGAAGATCAGAAGGCATTCAAGACTCGTTAGTGGCATCATCTGTTCAAAATGTACAATTTACGTAGTGATTATGCAGAATTTTCGTTGATGAATCCCGCTGTGTCTATGGACTTCTACGACAGTGAAATGCGACAAAGAATCTAACGGTGGCGGTCAGAAATTATCTGACGACGACAGCATTACTTATTTGGGACTTTTTTCATTTACATCAGGTAAAATTAACGCAAGGGAAATCAACTCTTGAGAGTTGAT